GACAACTCTGGGATCGTAAATTATCTTTACATGTTCACCAAACTACATTTTGGGCTGAGACATCTCACCTTAAAGCCACACACATAGCTTATATTAATTAAAATTGGCCAGACTTGGTATTTCATTCATGAATGTAATTTTAGTAAGTAAAATCACTATTCCAATTCCAATTATATATAAATAATAATAAACACAACAGTATCCTCAGCCTATCGCACAAGCAAACGCCCATTTCCTACCAACCTATGCAGGTCAAGGTCAGGTTTCTCGAAGCCTTGCAAACCACCGCCTCCCCTCCTCCTCCTTTTCTCACCCTTCCTCAAGCATGCCTCTTTCCTGCTGCCCGAATGCCACCACCAGTGCCTATAGGTCCCAGGGGGATTGTGCGCACACACACGCAGGAGCCTCGCTGACTGAACCATAGACTGTATATATTAATGGACAGAGTCACGCCTATCTCTGCCGTTCTAACTAATGGGCCAAAAAATGTGCTCTACTGGAGCAATCCAAAATGGCCGCGAGTGGTCCCGCCCACAAGAAAATTGTGGGCGGGAAAAAAAACGCATCTGCGCATGCGTAAGCCGGTGCAACTCCATTCATTTGAACGAGAGACTTAAAAAATTCACAGCAAGTAAACTAGAGTGGACCAAAAAAATCCCCCCCTCAGCATTGACACTAGGGGTGGGGAACCTAAGGGTACCTCACGATACGATACGATACACGATACAAAGCTCACAATAACGATAATATCACAATAACGATATTACGATAAACAATTTTATCACAATATGACGATTATTGATATATTGGTCAGAAATATACAATATGCCAATTTATGGCATAAATAAAAGAACAAATACTCTTGATTTCATGGTTAATAGAATGGAGATGCGTAATGTAGCCATATATTAAGTATTGATGCAAATAAAATAAAAAAAATTAAATTGTTTTTTTCAAATCGATATCGATACTTGGCAAATGCATATCGATAATCAAATCGCGGGAGAAAGTATCGCGATATATCGAAAAATCGATATATCGTCACACCCCTAATTGACACACATGTGGAACGGAGCTTTGGGCCAAGAGCCAACTTTTGGTCCATCCTGTAAAGACGTTTTTGAGAGGTCTGCCAATGCTATATGTTTAGCATTGGCTAATTCTACTTCTGGGTCCACCCCCATCGGCCCGGGGGTGGTATTGCAAGCATGTCAGCGCACGTCATTTGGCCACTTTTGAGCTGGGACCCGCCCCCACTGGACCTGAACGCTGCACCAGGGCCTAGGGCGCCAAACCACCTTTCAATAAAAACATTCAAAATGCATTTTGTCTTCTCCAGTCTCTCCAGATTGAAATACAGATGGCCGTTTTCAGGGTTTTTTAATTAAAACCTCTCAGTAGAAAAAAACTGTGGGAAATGTACAAAAACGTATTTACAGAGCTCGGTGAAAAGTCTTCAGGCAAAAAGGATATTCACAAAAAATATACATGACTTCAACACTATAGCGGCTGCCTGTTGCCTACAGCCGCGGAGAGGCGAGTTGGGTCCGGTAAAATTGTATGACGCGCTAAATTAGTATAGAAAACAAACTAAGGCTGGATCCAGTTGCGATGACATTGATTTAATTAATAATAAACGCAGCGGTCACAGGCCAAAAATGCGTGGTGATTATACAGACAAAAATTGTGAATAAACTTAAGCCAAATAGCAAAAATAAATCAAACAAACTATAATAGCGGTCAACAAAAATTATGGCCTCCCAAACAGACCTCTCTCCCCTTTCCCGTGCCCCACAGGTGTATGCTCATTCATAATTTCGTTTACCGCGCCCAAACACACATGCACGCCCCCACACACACGCCTACACACACACACACAGACAGGCTCTCACGCACACACTCACACATACATGCACGCCCACAACACATCACTCCCATCAGCCAAACATCCATTCATTCACACAGTGCCCAAACGTGTCTCCTACAAACACTATGTCTCTTTTTCCTTAGCTTTTCACTCAAGGTCCTGCAGTCTACGTTACCTTTTCTGTAACTGTCACGACTCCCATGGGGCAGACAAGCACACCTTATGTACCCTGCTTGCCCCTCCCACATTACATTGATAATATCAATCATCCTACTTTTACACCATATCTACACTACATGGATATTTTTCATTCGTGATTCATGATTGCATATTACTGTTACACATTGTCACATTTCCAATAAAATACATGCTGAGCTACACATTATGGAGATTCCAAATGTTTATGCAAATGAGCTGTGGTCCACATGATCCACAGACAGGTGCATTTAAACATGGATCTATTATAATAACATTTAAACCACTGGCTCCTTATGTCCGGGTTTGCCAAAACGCAACATGGAGACGCAACAACCACGCCAGCACACAGGCGAGTGAATGAAACATGTAACGAGACGTAACACAACATGCAACGCTTCGACTTTAAAAGTCAAAATTTCGACTTTAAAAGTCAAAATTACGAGTTTTCAAACTGCGCATGAGCAGTTGAAAACTCGTATGTATTGTGACGTTTTAGTCAAATAAGTCACGGGAGATTTTCTTTGCTCAACTCACTGACTGGTGCAACACTTAACTCACTGGCAGGCATTTTCAGATTTGAGAAGTGCATTCTGCCAACAATTTCAGGTGATTTGACCCAACATTGAAGTGCCATAGAATATTCATTTTTTAGACGATGTAAACACCAAGGGCACCAAATTAAAGATTAACCTCTCTGCTTTACTCTGAAAAAAAACAGTTTGTTTCTACCTCCTTACCGTTCTTGAGCTATTCGCCATAGAACAAAGCATACTTTCACCCATAACACCTGGTCTGAGCAAGAAAACAGAGGAAACGAGCTGTATGTAAACAGGAACATATCAAGCAGAAAAGAGACTTTTAGGTGCATTTTTGCTGCTTTAGTGACAACTCAAAACATCTTCACACTTGTTCCATTACAAAAATTATAAAAACATGACTCTGAAATAATACTTTTGATGGCAAATTGTTGGCAATTTATTCACAGATAGAAAATTTAACTTTCTTCTATACCATCAACCAAAACGTCAAACAACAACAACACAAAGATCAATAAAACTATAGATGTATAAAATAGAATGAAGCATGTGAATTTGAGTGTGTGTGTGTGTGTGTGTGAATGTCAGTGTGCGAGTGAGTGTCTGTGTGAGTGAGTGTCTGTGTGTGTGAATGTCAGTGTGCGAGTGAGTGTCTGTGTGCGTGAGTGAGTGCGTGTGTGTCTGTGTGCGTGAGTGAGTGAGTGAGTGCGTGTGAGTGTTCGTGAGTGTGTGTATGAGTGAGTTTATCAGCTTTTTCAGTCCTCCCAGTAGTTCAGCTTTGAGTTGTAGAGGTTGAAACACTGTGTGCAACGGAACACGACACGCTGTGTACCATTTGTAGTTCTCCCTCAGTGAAGAAGAGCTCCAGAAAGTCTGGATCAGATGAATCCAGCTCCAGAAAGTCTGGATCAGATGAATCCAGCTTCGCAGCTTCTGTCCGCAGCCTCTGTGGTCCAGGAGCTCCTGTGAAGGGCAACTGACTCGGCTCCCACGGATCCTCCTGTCAGCCATCTTCCCCAGAGCTTCTGGGTGACGAACGTGCTGGAAAATGGATACACACAATAACTATATTATACAGTGAATTTGTTACAATAAATCAATACACAAAATACAATGAAGGCCATCCTCCCACATTATCGACTGACTACTTTTGGACCAAACACAGTATACTATATTATTATTATATTATATTGCCATGGGATGTACAAGAATAGAAATAGTAGTCCTTTTACCTTTTTTGTGCACAGCAACTGCCTCTTGATGCACCACCTGTAAATAATATAAATTTGTAAATCACTATACCAGGAGAATATATACAATAATATGTACAATGGTATGAGGAGGAATCATCTTTACCTCCATGCTCTGTCAACCCCAATGGGGGAGGGCTCTTTTATCAGAATCTGTGAATGAACACATTTCATTTAGTCAGAGCTATGTCACTGCAACAAGATGTTCAAGTATGAAATAACTAAACATAAAAATAATAAATACAACAATGATAAAACGCATAACTGGCATTTACTAAAGAAACAGTAGGATTTGAGCGTTGTGTTACTTTGCAGATCAGAGCAAGTTTCCGCGCCTTTCCCTCCTCTCAAGTTAGCATATTCTAGGCAATTCAGCAAGTTCTTACCTTCGACTCTTTGTGGAGCTTCTGGAGAGGATGCTCTGCTGGATTGAGACTGCAACCACTCATCCGATAAATCATGATCAGGTTTGCTGAACGAATCCGAGGCATCAGTAACAGCAGCAGCTGATACGCTGCGAGAGGCGGAAGGTGTGTCTCTGCTCTTGCTCCGCGCAAATGTGGCTGCAGAGACGGACCTCCACCGGGGGGAGACCCCGGCTCTCTCCCCTCTCGACCTCACTCACTGATCCGCGAGTCAATCCCTGAAGCAGTGTTAACTGCTTATAACTATTCTTTTTCGCCATCACTCTTGCTATACTATCGCTAAACTAGATCACTGATCCGTCTCAATGCTACGCTATCATCGCACGCTCTGCTACAGCAGCACGCTCTCCAAAGACCCCACACTCCCTCCTCCTTCTCTCCACTGACTTATGACCTCTCCTGTGGTGCAATACTGCATCCTACTGGTGTTGATTTATCATTACAGGTACATTTGCACTATATATCAGTGTTGTGGGTCATTCACAAGGTGCGCCAGACATTACTGTAGCCTCCCGTGTAATAACATGAAAAAGTCGTCTAAGTCGTTTTGGGCAGTGAGCGTCACTATACAATAGAACGACTTTTGTCGTCATGGGCAGTGAATGAGTTAACAGTCAACATAACAATAAACCTGACAAACGGAACACTGCTGTGGCACGTTACATAACCCCCACCAGAGGGGGTTAGTCGTCCCCGACAACCCCATCACATAACACATAGTCCCTCAAGTGACCAGGTTGACGACGTTGGCGAATTGGGCGTCTGGGAGACAGATGAACTTGGGGGGCTTGGACAAGTAATCCGTCTACTTCACCAACAGTCTCAGGAGCATAGGGGCGGTACGGAGCTAGCCGGTCTCTGTGCAATACCACTAAACGGCCCTTATTTGGCATGCGTACACGGTATACCACGTAGGACAGGCGTGCCACAACTTCGGCTGGCCCCCTCCAATGACTGCACAGCTTAGGAGAGATACCTGTCTTTCGATCGGGGCAATAAACCCACACTTTGTCCCCAGGTTGGAAGGGCTGACCGCGGCAGTGACTGTCATAGGCCCTCTTCTGACGTACCCCGGAACTGGCTTGAACTTGGCGAGTATAGTCATGCACCACCCGCAGGTGCTCTCTGAGTCTTTGGAAATAGTCCATCTCGTGCCCTCCTGCAATCTCTGGCTCCGGAGGGCTCCCGAACACCAGATCCACGGGTGTGCGGAGCTCTCGACCGAACATGAGAGCAGCTGGGGTGCACTGACTGGACTCCTGGACTGCAGTTCGATAGGCCAAGAGGACGAGGGCAAGATAACGGTCCCAGTCACGCTGGTGCTTGCTGACCAGGATAGCAAGTTGGGGAGCCAAAGTCCGATTAAACCTCTCCACTAGCCCGTCACTTTGGGGGTGAAGAGGAGTTGTCCGCGTCTTCTTAATTCCGAGCAGTCTGCAAACTTCACTGAACACCTGGGATTCAAAGTTCCGCCCCTGGTCACTGTGAAGCTCAGAGGGCACTCCAAAACGGGTGAACATCTCATCAACCAGTCTTCCAGCTGTTGTGGCGGCACTTTGATCTGGTACAGCATAGGCTTCCGGCCACTTCGTAAAATAGTCCATGGCTACTAGGACGTAGCGGTTTCCAGTATCGGTCACAGGAAAGGGCCCAAGAATATCCACACCTACTCGTTCCATGGGAGCCCCGACCAGGTATTGCTGAAGGGGGGCATGTGAGGGCTGGGTGGGACCTTTCCGAGCAGTGCACAAATCACAGCAATGCACATGTATTTCCACGTCCTGTCGGCAGCCGGGCCAGTAGAAACGTCCCCTAAGCCGATGGAGGGTCTTGGAGATGCCAAAGTGGCCTGAGCCGATTGAGCCGTGCACACTCTGAAGGACCTGAGGTTGAAGTGAACGGGGCACTAATAACTGTAAGATGTCTTTGCCCTGCCCTGGAGCCCGCCACCTCCGGAACAGCAAGCTGTTACGAAGCTCAATGTTTCCCCACTGAGAGTAATAGGCCTTAATATCAGTGCCATGGGGGGGGACTGCCGGCCATTCAGGACGTCTGGGCAGTTCCAGCCACTTCCTGATCAGGGCCAGGGTGGTATGGGACTCTTGCAGTTGCTGCAGCTGTTCTGAAGACAGGTCATCAGGGGGGTTAATTGCGGCAGTGGAAACCCTAGGCTTGTCCCGATCCCGCTCTTCCTGGCGCTCGCAGTAACGACACTCTGCTATAACACACGGACGTTGTGACAGGGCATCCGCATTATTGTGTTGTTGTCCAGGGCAATGTTGATTGTCAAAATCGTAAGTTTGGAGAACTTCCAGCCAACGAGCTACTTGTCCCTCTGGCTGCTTGAAACATAAAAGCCAGGTCAGTGAGGCATGATCTGTGCGTAGGAGGAACTTGTTGCCGTGCAAATAAGGGCGAAAATGGTGTACTGCCATCACTACAGCCAACAGCTCTCGGCGTGTGACACAGTAGTTCCTCTCCTCACGACTGAGAGCGCGACTGTAGTACCCCACTACTCGCTCTCCTTCGCCTCCCTGCTGTGAAAGGACAACCCCAATTCCGGTGCCACTAGCGTCTTTGTCCACCACATAGGGGAGATCTACGTGTAGGTACGCAAGGATGGGCACGGCTGTGAGGGCTGCTTTTAGCTGGTTGAAAGCAGTGTCACAGCTGTTAGTCCAAACAAAAGGCTCTCTTTGGTCCGTCAGGCAGTGTAGGGGCCCTGCGACAGAGGCAAAGTTCCTGACAAAGCGGCGATAGTAGGACGCCAGTCCCAAGAAACTGCGGAGGGCACGTACGTTAACCGGGATCGGCCAATCCTGGACAGCCTCTACTTTCTCTGGGTTAGTCGCTACTCCTTCAGCACTGACCACATGACCCAGGAAAGTAGTCTCTCTCTGCAGAAGGTGGCACTTGGCAGGGTTCAGCCGCAGACCAGCGTGACGAATAGCACTGAAGACGCCGCTCAGGTGGCCCAAAGCTTTGCTGAAATCACTCGCATGGACCAGCAGGTCATCCAGGTACACCACACAATGGCTGCGAGGAATGTCGGCGAGCACCCGCTCCATGAGACGCTCGAACGTGGCCAGCGCATTGCACAGGCCAAATGGCATTACACGAAACTGCCAGAGTCCTTGCCCGAATGTGAATGCAGTCTTTGCCCTGGCCTGGGGGCTGAGCTCCACCTGCCAATATCCACTTCGCATGTCGAGGGAGCTGAACCAACTTGATCCACTAATGTAATCCAGAGCATCGTCAATGCGGGGTAGTGGATAAGAGTCCTTCTTTGTGGCCGCGTTGAGACGACGGTAATCCACACAGAACCGCCACCCACCCAATCTCTTGCGCACAAGAACTACTGGAGCTGCCCAGGGACTACTGGATGGTTCTATTATCCCAGCTGCAAGCATTTTGTGGATCATGTCCTCTGCTAACTGTCTCTTTGAAAGGGCGAGCCGCTGGGGCCTAAGGCGTATCGGGGGGCCGAACCAGTGTTAATAGAGTGCTGGACAAGCCCAGTTTGTGTACAGTCCTCATCTCGAGCGGCAAAGATGTCCACATACCTGTCCAAGAGATCTCTCAACTGCTCTTTTTGAGAGCCACAGCTCTTTGACAGCATTCACAGTCTCCGTGGATGGGGTTGGTATGGCACGGGGACTGGCTGTGCAAGCGCCAGCCGGTGTTGGGGAGCGGTGATCTGCCGCCTGGACCACTGCTGGGACCACCGCTGGAACCGCCACTGCTGGAACCGCCACTGCTGGGACCGCCACATCTGGGACCACCGCCGCTGGGACCGCTGCTTCTGGGACCGCTGCTTCTGGGACTGCCTGGACCTCAACCGCCTGGACCTCGACCACCGCTGCTGGGACCGCCTGGACCTGGACTGCCTGGACCGTCACCGCTGGGACCACCTGGACCGCCGCTGCTGGGACCGCCTGGACCTCGACTGCCTGAACCACCTGGACTGCCGCTGCTGGGACCACCTGTAGTGCCGCCGCTGGGACCGCCGCTTCTGGAACCGCCTGGACCGTCGCCGCTGGGACCGCCTGGACCGTCGCCGCTAGGACCGCCTGGGCCTCGACTGCCTGGACCTCGACCGCCTGGACCACCCGGACCGCCGCCGCTGGGACCGCCTGGACCGCCGCTTCTGGGACCGCCTGGACCGTCACCGCTGGGACCACCTGGACCGCCGCCGCTGGGACCGCCTGGACCTCGACTGCCGCTGCTGGGACCGCCTGGACCTCGACTGCCGCTGCTGGGACCGCCTGGACCGCCGCCGCTGGGACCGCCTGGACAGCCGCTTCTGGAACCGCCTGGACCGCCGCCACTGGAACCACCCCCCTTGGACTGACTTTCCGGGTTCTCTGCCTCTTTCTTGTCCGCTTTTCAGGCTGGAGATCAACTGTGAGAGGCCCAAGAGTGAGGGTCGACTTCACAAGGTCAACAACAGCACCCCAGTGAACTAACAAGTCTAATCCAATGATACAAGGGTCCTGTATTCGCGCTAACCAGAATTTGTGTTCCAACATTTGGTCTTGAACTTCAATCCGCACACTTTTTTTTCCTTTCATACCCGCCCTCTCTCCTGTGACAGTGGTGAGCTGCATGTGTGTTGGTGACCAGGAGGTGGAAAGTGGGCCTGTTGTACCAGGGAGTACTCCTGGCTGTACGAGCGAGATAGTGGACCCTGTATCAATCAGTGCATGACAGGGTTGGCCATCTACAACGCAATCCAAGTATAGTCCTTTTGAGCAACCAGGTTGGCCCACCACAGTGCATTGTCCTTGTAGAGGTGCAGGTTTTTGGGGTGGGGTCTTCCTCTCTACTCCACCCCCCGATCGTTTCCCGTTAGCTGTGGCTCCGTAGCTTTTGGGGATGGTACAGGGCAGTTTCGAGCTAAGTGTCCGGGTTCATCACAGCGAAAACAGCAATCGGTGGCAGTTCTGCGGCGTCCCCTGGGGGCTGGAGTACGGACCTGATAAACGTCTTCAACTCCGACTTCTTCATAATCCACTTGGCAAACTCGCTGCAGCATATTTGTGGCCCTTCCCAAGTTTGGCCGTGTGGAGAGCACTATCTCCGCTCGTTCAGCTTCCTGGAGAGCTTCATTCAGGCAGCAAATGCGAGCAAGACGCACATATTAACGTAGCCTTTCTGGGGTAAGACCTTGGAGAAATGCATGAAGTGCGAGTTCGTCACGTGCAGCAATTGGAAACTGTGGGTAACCACGCTGGGTATGGAATTGTATATTGGCCGCGAAGGTACCCAAGTTTTCCCCTTCCTTCTGATATAGGCCACTCAGCTGCTCCCTGCTCTCTTCCGCATGCAGGCGCTTTCCAAAGCGCCGTTCGAGACCAATCATCAGGGCCCGTAAATCTTGCTGATCCTCTAGGGACAAGTCAAGGAGAATTTGAAGGGCGACACCTTCTAATGCCAAGGCAAGGTGGGTGGCAGTTTCATCGTCGCTCCAGCCACTATGCCATGATGCTAGTCTAACTTGGGCAAGGAAGGGCTCTACTGGTGTGGTTCCACTGTACTTGGGTAGTTTAGCAGGGGTCTTTGGTGTAATCATCTGTCTTGGGGCATGTGTTATCACAGTTTGCCTCTGAATATGTGCTGAGCCCCCCCCTAGTAAGTCATTCACTTGGACATTCTGCTCTATGTTGACTGTTTGAGAAATTATATCTTTCCTGACAGCCTCCAGGGGGCGTCGTGGCCTCACTATGCTCTGTTTACTTGAAGTGTGGTGTGGACTGGTCCTACCGGCCTCCAGGGGGCGCTGTGGTCTCTCTGTGCTCTGGTCCTCTGAAGCCTAGTGTGGAGGAGTCCAACCAGCCTCCAGAGGGCGCTGTGGCCTTGCAGTACTGTACCCATCTGCAGCATGTCTCTCCTGAAATCTCTTGGGCCTGGCTCCTTCAACCTCCTCAAGAAGACGGCAGTTTTCCAGTACTGCGCGTTCCAGCTCTTCAATCTCTCTCTCCATTTCTTCACTTTTTATGGGAATTATCCCACTTCTGACACCTGTGTGACGTTTTAGTCAAATAAGTCACGGAAGATAGAGTTTCTTTGCTCAACTCGTGCCACATACACCGCAAGACCCCGAGAAGGCAGTTTTATTGCAGTTTTAACAGTAGACTGCATAACACACTGAAAGCATAGGACCCTATCAATTAACATGGTGAGCTCAGTCATGGTGCAACACTTAACAGTCAACATAACAATAAACCTGACAAACGGAACACTGCTGTGGCACGTACATATTCTGGAACGGTCTCTGGTCATCCCTATTCCAAGATCCATGACCATGGGTCATGCTCTACCTGCAGATTATGTGAAGATTTTGCCTACAGACAGTGACCACATCCATGAAGTAGCAGCAATAATGTTGTGGTAGTAATCGCGTTAAAATGCAAACAGTCTCTCCGTTTATGATTAGAATCCGCTTCAGAAGACTGTATTTACTTTATCCTAAACGGACTGTGGAAGATTAATAAAACATATGCGGCTGTTCAAAGTCATTGAGCATCAACTGGTTGACATCTGGTCAGTATCACGACTATCGATGGATGCACCAGAAAAGCAGTGAATGATATTGTGACTGACAGAGAGACCGTTCGCGATTACTGGACAGTGAGGGAGGTCCGCAGACAGAGGCAGGAGAACCACAGTCACGGGCACTGACAATATTAAACCTTTTGGAATTGCGATCAGTGCATTGAAGAGTATGTGACGTGTTTGCGTGCACACGGCCGAAACGTGAGTGCGCTCTGGGGTGAGCTGATGGAGCGAGCGTGTGGTAAAGTTGTTGGCGTATGAGCAAGAACACAGAGACATACAGGGAATAAGTGCCTTGTCTGATTATTTTTTTGTGACTAAATAAAGCCCACGACTCTTTTCGCAACAATACGGAGAAATAACTCCGCAGATAACAGTGAGGTTCTTTGAAAAGGGAGTTAAACCCATTATAGATGCATGAATAAAACCCCGTACTCAACACGTAGAAAGCGCATCCTTTCAGCCGTGGAAAGACTCGCTCCGTGTGGACCCCTCTCAGCGCCATGGTCTGGTCAGAGTGGTCTATAGCAGATTGGATTGGAATGTCTCGATGGCTCATTTTCCTTTGATTTATTATAAAAACATATTGCTCACATTATTTGTTACTATGTGGAAATAAGAAGTTGTTTGATTTAAATGTTGTATATATGTAAATTGAATTTAACATAAATAAATAAAAAGACAGCTCCCCCCTGCGTCCTACGGCCGCGGTCTGGGGCTTAAACAGGAAAGTTTTACAGAATCAATCAAACAACATTATTTCTGGCTACTTCAAGGATGCAGTGGTCACTGTAGGCAATATCTTCACATAATCTGCAGGTGAAGGATGTCCAAAGACCGTTCCTGACAACAATTACATACGTAATTTTGACTCTTAAAGTTGAAATTTTGACTTTTAAAGTCGTAATTTTGAGTTTTAAACTTTTTTTTTTACATGGCGGAAACGGGCTTCCATACATATACATTTACACTACTAAAAAATTATTTTGAAAAAATGTAAAAGAAAATCACACAGATTTGTAACTTATAAGTACCAAAACTAAAAAATATGCTTTTTTTGACGGTGAAATGTTAGTAAAGCAGTTTGGCACAATTTGGCACACATTTTGCCAAATTGGTTCCGAATGGCACTACTTGATAAAAAAGAGAAACTGCATAAAAACTATAAAACTTAGAAGTCTGAAACTTTACACAGTTGTTGTCAACAACACAATGAACAAATTGGCATTGAACATTTTCTTCTTCCAATGAAGTAGGCTTTTTTAGGGCATTTATACATTTAATTTTTTAGGCGAGACTAAAAAAAACAGGTTTTTTTTCCCAAACTCCAAAGGATGCAGAGTGAAATAGGAATGATATACATTATTTCAGTGTATATTTACATAAACTATAAGGGCCTAGCTTTAAAATGATGCATCACACAAACATGTGAGATGTAAGATGTGTTTTTAAATAAGCAAAGACATTTGGGTATGCCAAACTTTTGTGCACGAGCCAAAACAGATGTAGGAGTTTAAGAGGTTAAATTTAAAAATGCTGTATTTTAATGCATTTTTAAAACTTTTATTTCTTTATAATGTTATTACTTTTTTGTGTTACAGTCAAACATTTTGAAGAAGCTTAGCAAGATACTCCAAAACAAAGTCTCCACAAAAATGGCAAGGAGCTACACCTTCGAGAGACAATGGGAAAAGAAGACGCTTTTCATTTGGGAACACTCCAGACATGGAACTCGCAGATGAGCCAGAAGAGCTGGTCATGGACTTGAGCCTGTTTCTAATCTCTCTCCAAGAAGCACAACTTGTGGAACCTAGTTAAACCAGGCAAGTCACCTCTAGCAACAAAAGAACAACAATTTAAGTTTGGTACCGTCAATGTGATAGGCCAGTCAGTAATAATACAACCTTTGTTATTGTTGTAACTTTGGTATCAAAGTATATTATGAGTATCGGTATCAAGAGTAGTGTTCATGTATCTAAATTGGTTTTGAAATTTTAGTTTTACTTTTAATATGTACAATGGCTTAATTGTATGATTCTGATATTGCTCTTGAGATTTTGATTTTGATAGATTATTTTTAGTCCATATCTCAATTTAATTATTTTCTATTACATTTTTGTGTAGGTCCAGAACTGCAAGACAGCAGTATTTCCCAGGCCAGACACCACAAAACACTGCAAGAAATGTATTGAAAGTCAAAGCAAGACTATACATGTTATAGTATATTATTTATTATATTGCTATTGCTATTATTCATGTATTGTGTGTTCCTTTTAGTCTCACATTTTAGTGTTTTACTTATTGTATTGTTTTTAGTGTACCCAGTGTTTCCTCTGGAGGAGCCCTCTGCACTGGGAGCAGTGGTCGGTGTGGCTGTGGGGGTCGGACTCTTGGGCCTGGTGGGGGCCTGGGGCCTCGGTTTCATGTCTCCTCTGGGTCCTGTGTCGTCCCTTGTGGCTACGGGCGGCTCTCTGCTCTCTCTGCTGACGCTTTTTCAGCTGGTTGCATCTGAACCCTGCCAAGTCTCTCATCATGGTTTTATTGTTTTACTGGTGTGTGTGTGTGTGTGTGTGTGTGTGTGTGTGTGTGTATGAGTGTTCATGAGCGCGTGTGTGTGTTTGTCTGTGGTTTGGGGTGGGTCTGTTGGTTGGTCTGGGGGAGGGGTCTTGGGTCGGCGGGATTGTTTTGAACCAAACTGTAAAGCACTTTGTGTTGCATCTTTTGTATGAAAAGCGCTTTATAAATAAAATTTGATTGATGATTGATTGATGTTAAACATTTTTTTTCGGCTGTTGTCTTATATTGCTTATGAATGATGTACTTGTTTAAGTGTAATGGAACTTCTTGCTTTAATTTTTATGGTTTCTTGAATTAGAAAACCTTAAAACCTTGTTGGGGCCCTATGCTGACTTCTGCTTAGGGCCCCAACAAGGCAAGCACCAGCTCTGCGTTAAGATCCTTGCTGGACTATTTTGAATGAGCTGGAAGCTCCTCAAACTGTGGCATACTGTGGTATGATTTAAAGAGCTGAAGGCGGAATCTATGAGTGGAAGCGGGTTCTTTATAGTAATGTATAACACATGCTCTGGAAAGAGAGAGAAAAACAAATAGCATCATGACACTTTCTTTACTTTTTTTGTCTTATTAAAAGAACATTCTCGGCCTTCAACATCGGAGGACAAAATTAACTTTTTAAATTTAAGATTACTTCTTTTATTTCCAAGTTGAAGAGAAGATTGTTTAAGGTCATCCATGTTTTCAAGTCCTTTATGGAGGCCCAAAGATGCTCTAATTGATCTGTCTGATTTGGTGACATGGACATAGTAGTCTTTATTTTATTATATTTCACAAAGCGCTTTACAATTGTTGTGGGCATTTATCCTCTCACTCCACACATGGGAGCAGGGTCAACATACAGCAGGTACATGTTTTTAGTGGTGGGGAAACCATAGCACCCGGAGGAAACCTACACAGACACGTGAGAAAAGGCCAGATGTGGAATCGAACCCAGGACCTTCATGCTGTGAAGCACAAGCGCTGACGAGGTTGTATGTCACCTGTGTAGCCGTGGAAGTTAAAGTCATGCTTTCTTATGATGTAGCCTGTATATAATCTTGTGTATATAATGTCCTGTATGTAATCTTGTGTACATTGTATTCTTTGCATGATTTGTATTGTTATGTCTTGTTTGTTTTTTATGTTTTTTGTTAACATCAACCTGCCAGGGGGTCTGCAGGTGGAAATTAGCCTAAGGCTATAATCTGGCATATTTACATTGGTTAAATGTTCATTAATATGCATTTTACCTCCTTTTAAAACCCAAATAAATAAATAAATAAATGTAGATTGTGATGAGAATCAGGTACTGACCCTTGTGACACTAAATTTCACTTTAGAATAGGATGAGGAGCTTTGGTTCACATTAATAAACTGATATCATTATGATGAATAGGATTTAAACCAGCCAAGTGCTGTTCCTGTGAGACCTATGTCACATTCCAGACTCTGCAGAAGAATGTTGTGGTCTGTTGTGTCAGATGCAGCTGAGGTCCAGCAGCTGCATTTGACACTAGTCCATTATTCTCTTCTTATTGACTATTAAAACCTTTGTCAATATGTTCAATTGTTAAAGCAAATTAGAGATAAAACATTTTACATTTCAGATGTATCAGTTTTAGGAATTTCCAGGGATAACACAAGGAAGTACTTGTATTGGTATTTGGTATGGGAAAGTACTCAAATTAAGGTACTTGTACTTGTATTGGTTTTGAAAAAAGTGGTATCAGTGCATCCATAGTTTTTGTTACAGTTCACTTTTGTTGCGGCAGCTGTTGAATTAGAGTTGAATTTATGTGTTGTACATGTTATAATTGACCAGTTTTGTTTTGTCCCTTTCCATTTCACTCATTTGGTTTTGTTAACTTATCTTTACATTCCTATTATAAAATTACTTACTAGCTTACGGCGACAGTAGCTCAGGGGTGACAGTAGCTCAGTTGGTAGAGCATTGGCCTTAAGGCCAGAAGGTCGTGGGTTCAATTCCCACCTCTGCACCTTCTCCATCGACTCCCACTGATGACTGCTGTTGTTGTGTCCTTGGGCAAGACAATTAACCCCACTTTGCCCAAAGCCCCCACTGAAAGATCAAGGCTATGCTCACACTCAGAGAGCAGCCGTCCTCCTGTGGACTCACCACCTGCAGAGGGTCAGTGAGGGGCTGGTGCTATGAGACTTGGGTGGCGTCTCTGACTGCCACCCCCCAGACCCAGAAATGGATTAGAGGGAAGAAAATGGATGGATGGATGGATTACTAGCTTACATACCATTATAAATCTTTTTGTTGTTGTTACCCCTTTTACCCTAGCAGAGCTGGAATGTAACATCGACAATAAATGGCTGGACACGACCATGAACCATGAGTGAAAAAGGTTTTTATGTATTTAGGTTTAACAAAAACAGAAGCACTGTTTAATTTTGTTCAGTGAAATAAAAACAACAAAGAAACTTGCACTTTCTTGACACTTTCTTTAATTTCCACGTTGTACAATGAGATAGAAAATGAACAAGAGCGAAAACAAACAGATTTGTATAATCTAAGGAATAGATCGGGAAATATTTAGGGTTTATCGACAGTATTTCATAACGTCTATTTAAGATGAAGGGAATATTGTTTAACTTATGGACAGTGATGGATCAAATTGGCAAAGCTTACTATTTACGTCATGTCAAGTTTAAGTTCTAGGCTTTGATCTCTTTCTCGCGGATGCCCATAGGACCCAGAGTGACAGTTCCTTCCCATACGACAGCTGCAAAAGAAAAAACAAAAGATTCGTGATAAACAAGAATTTATGTTCATTCTGTCATGAGCAAGGAAAAACTGTGTACTTACATTGGACCTTAGACACATCCCGGGCGTGCCTCTGGACGTTAGTTACGACAGTATCACCATCCTCCTCTTTCATGACGGTAACATAGCGGATACCGGTGCCTTGACTAGCACCAGTCTGTGACCACTTGCTGCCTGACCCAATTCCAGATGACCCAGTGGTTGTTGACCCACCCCAGTGAGACCCGCCGCTACCCCCACTACCAGATGATCCACCGCCAGTTCCACTACCTCCAGACTGTTGCCTTTCCCATTTCTGTGCCCAGAAGCTAGAGCCCGTGGACCCACCCTGAACCCCTGAACCAGTTGTACCAGTTGTACCCCGCCCTCCCTGATTCTGTGACCCAGAGCCACCAGTCGTGCCCCACTTGCTAGACCCAGAGCCTTGACTTGTAGTAGAGCCGCCAGTCGAGCCCCAACTGGAACCCCCTTGGCCCTGCCCTCCTTGATTCTGTGACCCAGAGCCACCAGTCGTGCCCCACTTGGAAGACCCAGAGCCCTGACTCCCTGAACCAGAAGAACCAGTCGAACCCCAACTAGAAGACCCAGAGCCTTGACTTGTAGTAGAGCCACCAGTCGTGCCCCAACTGGAACCCCCTTGGCCCTGCCCTCCTTGATTCTGTGACCCAGACCCACCAGTTGTGCCCCACTTGGAAGACCCAGAGCCCTGACTCCCTGAACCAGAAGAACCAGTCGAACCCCCACTAGAAGACCCAGAGCCTTGACTTGTAGTAGAGCCACCAGTCGTGCCCCAACTGGAACCCCCTTGGCCCTGCCCTCCTTGATTCTGTGACCCAGACCCACCAGTCGTGCCCCACTTGGAAGACCCAGAGCCCTGACTCCCTGAACCAGAAGAACCAGTCGAACCCCAACTAGAAGACCCAGAGCCTTGACTTGTAGAGCCACCAGTTGTGCCCCAACTGGAACCCCCTTGGCCCTGCCCTCCTTGATTCTGTGACCCAGACCCACCAGTCGTGCCCCACTTGGAAGACCCAGAGCCCTGACTCCCTGAACCAGAAGAACCAGTCGAACCCCCACTAGAAGACCCAGAGCCTTGACTTGTAGAGCCACCAGTCGTGCCCCAACTGGAACCTCCTTGGCCCTGCCCTCCTTGATTCTGTGACCCAGACCCACCAGTCGTGCCCCACTTGGAAGACCCAGAGCCCTGACTCCCTGAACCAGAAGAACCAGTCGAACCCCCACTAGAAGACCCAGAGCCTTGACTTGTAGAGCCACCAGTCGTACCCCAACTGGAACTCCCTTGGCCCTGTCCTCCCTGATTCTGTGACCCAGACCCACCAGTCGTGCCCCACTTGGAAGACCCAGAGCCCTGACTCCCTGAACCAGAAGAACCAGTCGAACCCCAACTAGAAGACCCAGAGCCTTGAGTTGTAGAGCCACCAGTTGTGCCCCAACTGGTTCCCCCTTGACCCAGCCCTCCCTGATTCTGTGACCCAGAGCCACCAGTCGTGCCCCACTTGCTGGACCCAGAGCCCTGACTCCCTGAACCAGAAGAACCAGTCGAACCCCCACTAGAAGACCCAGAGCCTTGACTTGTAGAGCCACCAGTCGTACCCCAACTGGAACTCCCTTGGCCCTGTCCTCCCTGATCCTGTGACCTAGACCCACCAGTCGTGCCCCACTTGGAAGACCCAGAGCCCTGACTCCCTGAACCAGAAGAACCAGTCGAACCCCAACTAGAAGACCCAGAGCCTTGAGTTGTAGAGCCACCAGTTGTGCCCCAACTGGTTCCCCCTTGACCCTGCCCTCCCTGATTCTGTGACCCAGAGCCACCAGTCGTGCCCCAAGACCCGGACGCTTGGCCCCCTCTGGAACCGCTGCCACCTGAACCCCAACCTTGCCCAGAGCCTCCTGTCTGCCCAGAACCACCAGTAGAGCCCCAAGACCCACCACTCGACCCAGACCCGCCTTGATTTGAGCCAGAGCCGCCGCTACCCCCATATCGACCGCCAGTAGAACCGCTGCCAGACCCGCCCCAATTTGATCCAGAGCCACCCCCAGAGGTTGACCCAGAGCCTCCCAAGTAACTTCCAATGCCATTCTCACAGGAGCCACAAGCCGCATCAGCTCCATTGACTTCCCTCCACCTGTGAGGAAAGCCACACCAGTCAGAGCATGTCTCTGGATTCAATACAATAGGAAAAAAAAAACTTTTAAATTACTTGATTCATGGCTATGAGGGAAATCCTTTCTCAGTACAAGGCCCTCACACAATGAGCTGCTTTTTGAAGCGAATGTCCATAACGTCAACTGTATGACGTTTTAATTTGTATTTCTTGCTTTCTTTTTAAGATTGTATAAATTTAAACATCTGCCTGTATTCTATGATGTAAAATATGACATAGAAATTTATTTTGTATTGTCCCTTCACTTTCACCATTAAAATGTAAAAAAATTACCAATATGAAGAGTTCTGTCTTTATGGGCCAGAACTCTAAATGGGCCTTTCGAAAAGTACGCACATTCACTTTAAAGTAAGGCAGACCATGCCTCATTCACAATAACTACTTCTTCTATTTTTGTCCCAAGTCTGTAACTAAATAACTTATGACATTTGAATAAAATTCAGGATGATGACGATTTTAAGCACTTACATATTGCTTGTAAAGGAACAGGATCTATGCAGTTCATGAATGCTATGAGCTGTAGTTGTGGCTTTCAGATGACAGGTTATATAGATCTGTTGGAACAGTCCAATAAAAAAAGTTACTTTCATATTGTTGAACAAGTTGATGTTCCATGATTACAAAAGTATTTTAATCTGGACATTGTCTGTAATCAATCCAATAATAGAAAGCCTGTATGTCAAAACTTTGCAAAAAAGCTTTGGCAAAACAAATGAGTTCATATGCATGACTTTGGATTGTCAATTTGATTCAAAACGGTGTCCAGATGACTATCACTGAAAACTGTAAGACAGTGCTCACCTGTCCTGATTCCGCTCCCTGGAACCTAAAAGCCTCCAGTTGGAAGCGAAGTTTGTTCTCTGCTGTGCGGGACATGAATGTTGAGGATGAAGGTGTCACTCTGCTGTCAATGAAACATCTGTATGCACACAACACAGGCTCAGAGAAAAGCCACAATGTAACTTCCCATTGCATTTGTCTAGATTTCCTCACCCGTGATTGTCAATGAAGGCATATCTTGGGCTGGAGTTTACATCAGGTAACAGAGTAGCAACACAGCTGTCCACGTAAACGCGGAGAGGGACATGGAAGAACTGCATTACAGTTGCCTCAACGTGAATCACATCACCCAAAAAGTACTGACTGCTTGGCCTCTCATGCATCCAGTCATCTGTGCAAGAAAACAATGTCACAATGGATTTAAAACTGTGAAAAGTGAAATCGAACTCACCTGTCATAAGTTTCAATGAGAAGTACAAGAATTCCTCTGCTGCCTTCACGGCAGAAAAAGGAATCCAGAGTGGATCGAGAGGCAAGCTGCTCACATTATGTTTCCTACAAAAACAAAAGCAGGTGAAAATCTTTCAACATTTAGTAACAATAGCAAACCGTTTTCATCCGACGAACCTTGGGTAGTGGCATTCCACAATCACAGCAGCTTTACTTGTCCTTATTACAGGAGTCTCACCATGTGTTTGAGGGTTGTAGTTCACAACATAGGAGTAGATGAAGGAGTCTTCTGTCATCTGTAAGAAAAATACAAGCCTTAGCATACAGAGTCAACCTGTTTGTGGCTTTACCTCGGTCTTACCGTCAGCTCACTGCCACAGTTGTGCAGCTCATTTTCAAAGATGAACACCTGTCCGCTGCTGTCCTCTGTAGTCACGGCACAGTCCCCCAGAGTAAGGCCTGCAGAGTCTATGAACTGTCCTATTCCAAACATGTCCTTCTTCACTTCCACATGGACAAAGTTCTCTCTGCAGTCCACTGCTACAGTACTCACTGCGACAGGCTCTCTGATCTCAAAGCTTGTAGGGAGCCCCGGGGTCTCCACCTGCGGATCCACTGGGAACTTCCAGGTCAAGGCTGGCTCAATAACCTGCCTGGACTGCTGGATGTCTAGTTGACCATCACAGAAGCTACTAAACACGGCTAGTGCCAATAGGCACGCAGCAGTGCACTTGAACAGCATGGCTCTGACTGCAGCTGATCCCTACTGGGTGCTGTAGAGAAGCATGAAGTTAGGGCTAGTCTTTATACCCTCAGAGCCCTCCCTCTGGGGGTTTGTCAGCAAGTGCCCCATGGACCATTGCTCTGGCCAACATCAGTCTCAGGTGACTGGAGCCAACAGGTCGAATGAGTTTCTGCAGATTTCGGACGAGCTGCTGCAGATTATAAGACATATGTAATTAGTAAAACATGTAGCTCCTATTGATTCTGTTATATATTTGCAAATGTATAAATGTTTGGACGATTTGGCACCAGGTTTATCAACATGTCACACTGACCTCTTGTGCGGTCTTTTTGTCCTAAAATGTCAGACAAAACAATGTGCCAAAGTAAATTTGTGTGTGGAACAAATCAATAGAAGACTGATCACCAGTTTGTAAAACAGGTCAGAGAATGTTGTGTTTTTGTTTCACAGTTAGAGAAACAAACTGTGAGAATATCATTTCTTTCTGAACCTTTTTTTTCAGTAGTTAAAAAAGGTCCTTTATGTATATTTGAATTTGCTTTTAACTATTTTGATTTGTTGTGTTTGATTATGTAACTTTTTCAGGCTGCCCCTGAAGTCCTTGCACGGCAATTACCAATACGAATTGGATCAAATTAGTCAGAATCGTTTTCAATAAGTTGAAATGTACAGCAAACTACATAATTTAAGAAGCCATAAGGGATTGACAAGGTAAAGCATTTTATCAGAGAACAAAACTTTCTTCCAGTTACTTCTGAGGTCTGAAAAGTGCCTTACTTTCACAATGTATTTATCTCTCCTTAGAAGCAATAGATCTTTGAGAGAGGCCTTGCTTGCAGCTTGACTTTAGCAGGAGAAAGCTTTTAGTTTTGGCCATCAGGAAGTTTTAGCGACGTGATAACCTGAGATTATTAAATGTATTTGATTTCATTATTTTGAGCCAATTATTTTGAAAGGTTGCAATCTTCAAACTCTGATTGGCCTATTGCAGTTTAAAGGGATACACCCTTTACTCTATGTGGTCTACTAAAGTCCTGTTCTAAGGACTGATTACTGATGCAATCCACCTGCTGGGATTAATCTATTAATGGTACAAACTCTGGCAACCCAAACAAGAACCTCATTCTGCTCTCTGATTGGATAAACGCTTGAAAATCTTGAAAATCGTAAACATTACTATTATGTCCATTGGAGTTATTCTTAACTTCCATCTGAATTACATCTGGATGTAATTCAAAAGAAAAGGACCACATACAGTCCGTTTAAACAAATCTTACTAACTAACTAAACTAATCTTACTAAAATAACATGTTTCACTCCCATTTCCTGTTTCTGCATTTTGAAAAATGTCATTATTTGTAGTGTTAACATTTGGATCAGCAGAGTAGTGTTGTTATGTTTCCATGAGGTCACATGTATTATGTCCTGGTGTGACCTGCAGTAGCGGTCATACAGACCTCTTTGACCCTAATAACCTCAAAAAGGTTCCTCTGCCTTTCCTTGGTAGTATGCCCACACATTTCAACATATATTTAGGGTGCATTAAAAACATATTTGATTATCTGAAGTCAATAAAAACAGGTCTGCAAGGACCATATTTAATGTCAATAGGACGTTTGTGGTTTTAAAACCCTTTGCTTTGCAGCACAGACTGGCCAGAGCCAAGGTCATCTGATTGGCAGCTGAAGTCAGCAAATAGGAGAAGAGCTGTTGACCAACATTCCTCACCCATACTTATATAAGTGAGGCTTTCCCCACATCTTCTACAGCCTCTTGCCCATAGTGGATCGCTGAGCTGTGAGCCATGGCAGTCAGACTTGTACAGCTCAGTCTTCTGGCATTATTGCTGGGGACTTTAGCAAGTGCACAACAGCCCGGGTCCCAGAAGGCCTCATCTCAACAACAATCAAAAAATCCTCCAAATCCGGACCGATCAACCTGTGAAGTAGCAGCACCATACAAGATCCAGTGTGGGCCTTCGGACATCAGTGCAACAGAGTGCCAGGCCATCAACTGTTGCTTTGATGGGCAGATGTGCTACTATGGCAAAGTTGGTAAGTATTTCTCTTTTATCTATTTACAACTAACGTTGACATATTTGTAATGACCATTTCTTCTTACAGTGACCCTGCAGTGCACAAAAGACGCTCAATTCATTGTGGTTGTGTCCAGAGATGCTACGCTGCCCAACATTGATCTAGACTCCATTCAATTCTCGGCTACAGGTTCTAGCTGCCAACCTGTTGGAACAACCTCAGCGTTTGTTATCTTTCAATTCCCAGCAGGTAACTGTGGGTCAACTGTGGAGGTAAGTCATAATTGAAACTTCTTTTAACAATGTGAATTTGGATCACTTGACTTGTAAATGTTCCATGCAGGAGGATGAAACTGGTGTAATCTACGAGAACAGATTAGCGTCTTCATATGAAGTTGCTATTGGTCCATATGGAGCTATCACCAGGGACAGTCAATTTGAGTAAGTTTGAAATAATGGATTAATAATGGACTACATACACAACTTAACATGCATATTAGAATATGTACGTAGAAAAAGAAGAAAGATGTTAATGCAGCACTTTTAGATATGCCTTTTAGATCACTTTACGCCCATGCAATTGTTAAAATTCTCAAGCAAAGAAATCATTCTGGTGATGTAGCGAAGGAAATATGATAAATAGTGTGTGTGTCTTTTAATATTAGGCTATCTGCTTTAGGTTGATGCTTCAGTGCAAATACACTGGATCTGCAGTGGAAGCTCTGGTGCATGAAGTTGGCACGCTTCCTCCTCCTCCTCCTGTGGCAGCTCCTGGTCCTCTGAGTGTGGAGCTCAGGCTGGGCAACGGACAGTGCACAATGAAGGGCTGCGCAGAGGGTGAGTGTCAAGCCTCTGTCGCTTTTATTCTATTGGGAGTTGATGGTTTGAAGTTAGTCTGTGTATGTCTGAACAGAGGACGTGGCTTACACCTCCTACTACATGGACGCCGATTACCCAATTACAAAGGTCCTCCGCGACCCTGTTTATGTGGAGGTGAGAATGCTGGATGTGACAGATCCAAACCTGGCACTGACACTTGGCCGCTGCTGGGCTACCTCCTCCCCCTACCCCCAAAGTATGCCCCAGTGGGATCTGCTAGTCGATGGGTAAGGTTGTGTTTACAGTTGTTTTGTTGTGAATAATTAGGATTGTTGAGAATATAAGAATTGTGTTCTTCTGGCAGCTGCCCCTATCGTGATGACCGCTACATGTCTACGCTGGTTCCTGTGGGCCAGTCACAAGACGTGATGTACCCATCACATTACAGACGATTCATTTTCAAGATGTTCACATTTGTAGAAACTGGTCCAAGTAGTCCTCAGATTCAACAAGATGGGGTGTTCACACCGTTACAAGAGAAGGTTCAGCTTTTAATACTTTCCTCAATTTAGTAATCCATGAAAATGACATTAATACATGTGCTTATGTTGGAGCAGGTGTACATCCACTGCAACACCGCAGTGTGCAAACTGGGTCCTAATAGCAACTGCCAACCTCAGTGCTTCAGAAAGAGTGAGTATTGGTTTTGTTTGAGGGAAAAACTTCAGATAATTTCCTTCTATTGACTCTGTCTTTGCACACAGGGAGAGATATTGCTGCTTCAGTGAAGAGCGGTGCTTCTGACACTGTTATCGTGAGCAGTCAAGGTATCATCATGGTGAAAAGCACGGAGCTGTAAAAGTATTAAAAGACATATTTTCCAGGCATATTTTTAGAACCATGAAATATAACTATAAACCCCATAACAAGCATTAAAAGATGAAGTTACAAGTGATTGTATCAGAATATTTGTGGAAATAAACCTGTAATGTCAAACATGTTTTAGAATAAATAGACCAAAATCAAATACTGTGTCATTGTCCTCATGACTGTGGAAAGCCCCGAATAAAAAAAATGTGAAAACTGTAGTTAAGTGTTTCTTAATTGGTGATATGCGTACTGCTCATTCTGCTGGTGTGGTCTCCTCTATAGTGTTAATATTGATGCAATATTTCTGCATTGCACATAAAAGAGGCACATCCTGTTTTTAGACATTATAGTTGATAGTCTCTTCACGTGCACAGCGCTCATTTGACACGTACCTGCTACCATACCACATGACATGTATACGTGCTCTTAACGTGGCCTACTGTAAAGCAAGGCAATGACTGATGATCCTGTAGCTCTGGTAGCACCTGGGAGATAAACAGGTTCTTAGTTATGATGTCTGAGAGAACCACTGAAAAGAATCCAGTTTAAAAACGTGGAACACTGCATTACCCACAAATCCTTGCAGATGACGTCTCCACTGTGTGCGCTCAGGACGCGCTCCTATTGGACGCCTGACGCGTCCGTTTGTTTATTTCCTGCTTCGTTGCAAATCCATACGCACTGGTGTTGGTCTGTGCCTGCGCAGAGTCAAAGTGAAACAATCTTGTGAATCCGATACGCTGATAGCCGCCCGGGCCTCCTCCCATGCGGTGCGCACGCTCCTATGTGTGTCTCTTCCGCAAAAGTAGCTTTACAGGCGCCGTGCGCTCGTCCTCAGCAGCAGCAGCAGGAGGAGCAGCAGGAGGAGCAGCAGCAGCAGGAGCAGCAGTCCCCAGAGCAGCGCTTCACGGGCAGCTGCCACCACGGCTTCCTCCACTATTCACCAACAAACTGACGATGCAGTCAGGTCACCGCATGAGCCACAGCCAAGCCGCCACGGGACCACCCAACCCCAGCCCCGTGGAGCGCAGCCGCGCACAGGAGGAGCCTGACCTCCCCGTGGAGAGGAAACTAGTGGGGAACACACTTGATGTAGCGGTACAAAGGCTGAGGACCCCGAGCCCACAGGTGGGCGATGACGACTCGGAGGCTGAGTCTTTTCGAGACGGGAGAAGTGAGGAGGTGGACCGGGACACCAGGACCAGGGCGCACGCGTGGTGTAGGGACTTTCTGTCCGGATCCTGGAAAAGCTTACATGAAGAGGATTTTCAAATCAGCATCGTCAGGTAAATATGCCTCCAGGCTTAACGTGAGTCTGTAGAGGGCTGTAGAGGGCTGTAGAGGGCTGAGGACACTCTCACACTGTAATAACACCCTGATGTGTCCAGTGGTGGGCTGAGTAACCAGCTGTACCTGTGCTGCTTACCTGAGCATGTGCCTGTGGAGGGAGAGGAGCCCCGACGGGTGCTCCTCAGGATCTATGGTGCTATCCTACAGGTGCGTCTATAACAGCTCCATGTATATGTGTATATGTGACATGACTGTGCCATAACTGTGTCCACTGCTTGTGTCTTCAGGGTGTGGACTCACTGGTGTTGGAAAGTGTCATGTTTGCCATACTTGCAGAAAGAACTCTTGGACCAAAACTTTATGGCATATTTCCAGAGGGACGTTTAGAGCAATACCTCCCGGTAAGAGACTGGTTGTAGTGTTGGATAGAATGTGTTGGTTACGACACAACACGTTAATAATGATATGTTTGTATCAGAATACTCGAATGCGCACTGATCAACTCTCACAACCATCGATCTCAGCTGAGATTGCTACTAAAGTGGCCCGCTTCCATAACATGGTCATGCCTTTCAACAAAGAGCCCAAATGGCTTTTTGCCACCATTGACAAGTAAGGCCCTTTCACATGGTTTGAGTGAACAAATGATGAAATTCTCTAAAAGTTTTGAATTGTAACTATCTATATTTTCAGATACATGGATCAAGTGATGAAACTTCAATTTAACCGAGAAGCACATGTCAAAAAGTATAAAAAGCTGATGAAGTTGGACCTGCCCGGTGAACTGGAGAGGCTACGGTGTGTCCTTTAATCACACTACCAACACTATATCACATCCTTGCTTATTCCACACAACACAAATATTTCTTTATAACCAGTAATATATGTGTAATTGCAAACAATCTTCTAGAAACCTCTGATTCCCGGTAATCTCTGTAAATCCTGGAACTTTCAGTCTGGTGACCTTTGTGCTGTTATCCCCTGATCCCTTAGTGCAATGTGTATTTGAACTCTTTGTATTTATTGGGCTTGTTTATCTCTGGGCAGATGTGATATCTCGTACAAGACCATTTGAGTGATAATTTATGACATAAGAACTCCTAAAGGAAGTGTGCAAATATTCTAAATAGGCTTGTTTTTGTTTTGATAGTCTAGACCAGGGGTGTTAGACTCATTTTGGTCTGGGGGCCAAATACAACCTAATTGGATCTGAACTGGGCAGGAGCAGAAAAATCTCCACAAAAATACCCAACAAAAGTTCAAAGTTCAACTTTTTGTGCACTCAGTTTTAACTGTAAATCTGTTGCTAAGTTTAATTTTACGGAGAGTTTTTTTATAGTGCAAATTATGTAAGTATTTACATTATTACATTGTAATTGGCATTTCACAATATTTATATTAATATGTTTGTGTTAGCTTTGAGTGTAGCTTTGTTTTAATAACGCTCATTACAGAGAAAACTTGCTCACGAAGGTTCAGTAGATAGATAGAAAAAAACACTTCAACACAGCACCTCAGCTTAACCATCTTCAGTGTGGTGAGGTCCATGGTTATGTTATTATCACATTAACCATCTTCAGTGTGGTAAGGTCCATGGTTATGTTATTATCACATTAACCACCTTCAGTGTGGTAAGGTCCATGGTTATGTTATTATCACAGAGAAAGCATCAAACTTCCATAACGTGTTCTATTCTTCACGACTGCAGCAGTGTCTCTGAGTAAAATACAATGTGATGTCCAAAAATTATCACCTCCATTTGCGGCTTTGTCACAACACCTGCTTTTACCATCGGCACCAGGCTGAGAGCGTAGGACCAGTCCACACCGACTCTGTCCAACACAGCAGCAGCAGCAACAGCACCAGCGACAGCAGCAGCGCTGATGGTGTCCTCAGCTGTTCTGGTATCCAACACAGGGACCAAGACTAAAGTCTCCTCTGTGATGTCAAAGTTTCAGTAACACCATGAATGAATATGCGACATCAGTAACATCAGTCTCTCATCAATGGCAACATGATGCTGGTAAAGGCGTGTCGTTTCTCAGGACACAGTCTGCAGCCTGTTTGAGAGTTTGGACAAACTCCCCACTACAGAGGCACTCAGCGCTGCGGTGCGTGGCGTTGCGGAGAGGATTTTTAAATAAATCAAATCTCTTGGCAGGCTGGATCTGGCCCGCGGGCCGCATAAATGACACCCCTGGTCTAGACTCTATTAGTCTGCATTATAATAAGCTTTTCTTACTTTTGGTCTAGCTTTGGTTTAGTCCAAGCATGCAATCATTCTCTTTGAATCTAAAAAGTTAAGTGTAAAGAAATAAAGAAAAAACTGATTCATACTATTAGTTATAAACTCACACTTAATGAAGAAAGTAGAACACCTAAATATTACAGTAAGGACAAAAAAAGGGCTCATGGCCTGTCTATGTTGGCGAGGGGGACACAGGGCATAGAAGGTTGGGAGCCACCGAACTCGGGCTGGAACAATGACTGCATAACAAAATAAACATGATTTTACAAAGTATTCTTACCCAAAACCCCAATGTGTAAAAACAACTTCTCCAGGGGCATTACTTGAGTTCGAGTTAAATGTACAGTAGAATAAATAATCATATCGATTCCACATTTATCATTTCATTTTTCCAGAGCTGTAACAAAAAAGTAATGTCACACTTTTCTACAAATTTCAGTATAATTCAAACTTCTTTAATTTGACTCCAACAGTGCTTTACTGGCTGCCACTCCCTCCCCTGTGGTGTTTTGTCACAATGACGTCCAGGAGGGTAAGTTACTTGGACATTTATCAACATTTATGGACATAGGTCATCTGCCCAATAGACCAATGGCTCTATTTGTTTTTTTGGCATTGCATTTCTTGTATTTGAACTGTTTGATTCTCTGATCTTTGTTGGCAAATTCAGCTGTTTTATTAAGTCCTCAGAGATAACTATTGTTGTTATTTAGGGCTATACAAGAATTTGAATTTGGTTTAAAGTCTGGTTCTAGTTCTCTTAATGAGCTGTCGTATATACCTCACTTCTTAATGGTGAAAGTGACATGTGTTGTTTATGTGGAGCGTATGGCTTCTGTTTTTAGTCATTTCTAGACATGTTTACATAGAATTTTTCACATGTACAAATATTGAATAGGCCAGTTATTGCCAATTCCACAAGGATCAGAAATCCTTTGCAAATTTTTGTAAAAGAACGTAAGCACTTTGTCTTGTTGTAGGTAACATTTTGATGCTGGACGATAGGGACCAATCCTCAAACGATTGCCTCATGCTGATAGACTTTGAATACAGCAGTTATAACTACAGGTATGGTGTAACATCCTGTACTTACTGTTGTTGCCTTGTATTAATAACAATCATTGATTTGTTTTTGTTTCTTAGAGGTTTTGATTTTGGGAACCACTTCTGTGAATGGATGTATGATTACACATATAACCAATGGCCTTTTTACAAAGCCTCGCCTGAGAATTACCCGTCCAGAGAGCAGCAGGTGAGTCATTTGTGGGAAACGCGTTACAGTTGGGGTTGGATTAATGCCATGTGACAGCAATGTTGGACCACGAGTCAATGTAAGTGTAATCGAGATTGTGCAAGCCTCAAATTCATGTGTAATAACATTGTTCTGTAGGTGTAAGAACTAGCTCTTTTACTTAAAGCTAAGGTGCCTAAAAAAAAATAATAATTTAAATTCAAGACTCATGCATATTGGTACACAAAAAAGGGGAAATAGGAGCAAAGACACTCACACATACAGACTCACACACGTAAATGTCCATAATGTTGTCTGTTTTTCATTGTATTTATATGTCAAGACCTGTATTGCATGCCTGTATTTTCACCAATACAAAAATGAAAGATAAAACAAAAAATCTGAGAAACCTAACTCTATTCCAAAAAATAATACATTTTGTCTGCCCCCAGAAAGTCCGTTGGGAACAAGTTAGAATAATTATAAACTAACCACAGACCACAGCATGCAGTGTTTATCTTAAAACATCTTTTTTTGCATTGTTGTAGGAAAGTGCCTTGTGAGTCACTATTTGATGCTTTGGGCTGACACTGAGGGTGGTCTTCTCTTTTTCACGTTTCTGTCTGAATGAGCTGATAATAATAAATGCATTTGAAAACTAGTGATAGAACCAAACTGTTTTGAGAGCGAGGAACTAGCTCGATAATGTTACTACATAAATACTTCATACTAGATAAATGCCTTTTCTTCCTTGTTCCTCATTCTTTGTCATGATTCTTGATGGGTTCTGTTTCATTCAGTTAGCATGACTGAATGCATCTGATAGTCACTCTGAAGATGTGAAATCATACATGTGCCGCTTTGCTAATTCCCCTAGCGTTTGTGCAGCGTTGGTCATTTCTGCAGCAGTCTATACCAGTTGCTAATGTCATCTCAACTTGCCTCTGTAATCACCTTGTGAGGTGAAAATGGGAAAATATCTGAACTCTGAACATTGTAAATCGGTTTGGGTGACTTTGGTCGGTAAAATGCGCTTCATAAAAAAACTTTATTTACTTGCTTATTTAGTTACTTTGGTCCAGGAACTCACGACAATGTTTTTATTTTCTCTGTGCGTCTGCGGCAGATGACATCACTGCGTATGCGACATAACAAAGTACAAAAGTATCTCCATAAACTAAGAAATATTACTAAAAATATTGTAAATAAATGCTCCAATTTATGAAATCATTTTTTTTACTTTATGAAACATGGACTAACAACGTCAACTCCTTTACATCCGGCCAAAATATGTAATTTTTTGAAGAAGACAACCAATGATCCGAAAGTTTAAACAATGGTGTCCCCCTAATCTCTCACATATACAGTGCCTTGCGAAAGTATTCGGCTCCCTTGAACCTTTCAACATTTCGCCACATTTCAGGCTTCAAACATAAAGATATAAAAATTAATTTTTTTGTCATGAATCAACAACAAGTGGGACACAATCGTGAAGTGGAACAAAATTTATTGGATAATTTAAACTTTTTTAACAAATAAAAAACTGAAAAGTGGGACGTGCAATATTATTCGGCCCCCTTGCGCTAATACTTTGTAGCGCCACTTTTTGCTGCAATTACAGCTGCAAGTCGCTTGGGGTATGTCTCTATCAGTTTTGCACATCGAGAGACTGGAATTCTTTCCCATTCTTCCTTGCAAAACAGCTTGAGCTCAGTGAGGTTGGATGGAGAGTGTTTGTGAACAGCAGTCTTCAGCTCTTTCCACAGATTCTCGATTGGATACAGGTCTGGACTTTGACTTGGCCATTCTAACACCTGGATACGTCTATTTGTGAACCATTCCATTGTAGATTTGGCTTTATGTTTTGGATCATTGTCCTGTTGGAAGATAAATCTCCGTCCCAGTCTCAGGTCTTTTGCAGACTCCAACAGGTTTTCTTCCAGAATGGTCCTGTATTTGGCTCCATCCATCTTCCCATCAATTTTAGCCCATCTTCCCTGTCCCTGCTGAAGAAAAGCAGGCCCAAACCATGATGCTGCCACCACCATGTTTGACAGTGGGGATGGTGTGTTCCGGGTGATGAGCTGTGTTGCTTTTACGCCAAACATATCGTTTTGCATTGCAGCCAAAAAATTCGATTTTGGTTTCCATCTGACCAGAGCACCTTCTTCCACATGTTTGGTGTGTCTCCCAGGTGGCTTGTGGCAAACTTTAAACGAGACTTTTTATGGATATCTTTGAGAAATGGCTTTCTTCTTGCCACTCTTCCATAAAGGCCAGATTTGTGCAGTGCACGACTGATTGTTGTCCTATGGACAGTAGTTGTCCATCCTACCTCAGTTTATCCAGAGTGATCATGGGCCTCTTGGCTACATCTCTGATCAGTCTTCTCCTTGTTTGAGATGAAATTTAGAAGGACGGCCGGGTCTTGGTAGATTTGTAGTGGTCTGATACTCCTTCCATTTCAATATAATTGCTTGCACAGTGCTCCTTGAGATGTTTAAAGCTTGGGAAATCCTTTTGTATCCAAATCCGGCTTTAAACTTCTCCACAACAGTATCTCGGGCCTGCCTGGTGTGTTCCTTTGTCTTCATGGTTCTCTCTGCGCTTTAAACAGAACCCTGAGACTATCAAAGAGCAGGTGCATTTATACGGAGACTTGGTTACACACAGGTGCATTCTATTTATCATCATCAGTCATTTAGGACAACATTGGATCATTCAAAGATCCTCACTGAACTTCTGGAGTTAGTTTTCTGCACTGAAAGTAAAGGGGCCAAATAATATTGCACGCCCCACTTTTCAGTTTTTTATTTGTTAAAAAAGTTTAAATTATCCAATAAATTTTGTTCCACTTCACAACTGTGTCCCACTTGTTGATTCATGACAAAAAATATTTTGTTTATATTTTTATGTTTGAAGCCTGAAATGTGGCAAAATGTTGAAAGGTTCAAGGGTGCCGGATACTTTCGCAAGGCACTGTATTAAACAGATGTGAGCGTGGAGGCTGACGGCACTTGCAGACTCCCTGATGTCTCTGATCAGACCAGGGCTTAAGGCCAGGCTCGTAGATGGATTGGAGGCAACACTTCCTTTGGGGCATGTAAAAAAGCAGCTTAAAAGCAGCATGTTTCATGTTCACTTGGAGAATTCTATTGCAGATCAGAGAATCAAACAAGTTGAAACACAGGAAATGCAAAAATAATAACCCACATAGAAGCCATCGGTCTATAAGGGGCAGATGACTAATGTCCGTAAATTTGAATAAATGTCCTTAAATGTCCTGGATCATCAGCACTGTCCTTAGATCCTCCTGTATCGACAAGGAACCACTAAAAACCCAATGGGAAAAAGGGAGAACTTTACAATGTTATTGATTTGCCAACAACAGATCAGAGAATCTCGCCCATAGACCTTGAATAGTAGGGGTATGTGATGAAACAAACAAATATAAAGAATATTTAGTGTATGCACATGGAGGCACTGTGTGTAATAATCACCAGGTATAGTTGTCATGCAGAACCCTCTCAGCTCAACCAATATATGTCGGACAACAAACTGTATACAATCCAAGAAATATTTACACATGGGAAACAATGGACATTAACAAGACTACTCTTCTTTCTCTTTTATAGCTTAATTTCCTTCGAAGTTATTTGGCAGAACAACAAGGGCACTCTGACATGAAGATGGACCAGACTCGGGTTGAAGAAGACATGATCATTGAGGCCAACAGGTCATTCGGTTTCAGTATCAAACATGAATCACTATTATAAGTTGTTAACAGTCGAGTTTGGTTTTGCAGATATGCTTTAGCGTCTCATTTCCTGTGGGGGCTGTGGTCAATCATCCAGGCTAAAATATCCAAGATTGAATTTGGATATATGGTAAGAATGCATTTCTAGGAATTAATTTATATTTAAGTAACTTGTCTTATATATTTACCAGGACTATGCTCAGTGTCGTTTTGATGCCTATTTCAAACAGAAGAAGCTTTTCTCCTAAGCTTTTCGGCAGATTGTACGCAGGCCTGTGAAAGATGCCTTAAAGCGTAGAATCTTGTGCACTGACCGGCACACGCAAAAACCTCTTTAGGAAATGTGAATTGCACCATAGCAGCTGATTGAATGTGCATGTTGCAATATGTGTGCAAGATGTCTTTTTAAGTGTCTGTTTAACATTTTTATCCATTTTATCCAAATCATACGACCAGAGGCGGAAGAAGAACTCGATACACTAACTAAAGGAGTCAAAGCATTGATCCACGTATTAATTTAGTTTTACAATTCAAAATAGTGCTGCATCACCTGTTTGAAATGAACTTTTATGAAACACATGGAACGAACATATAGTAGTTCTGTCTGATTTTAAAGAATGATTTATTTGGAGCTGGACTTGTACTCCAGTTTCCATGAACAAGTCTTACAATAATATACAAATTCATTTCAGCAGGTGTTAACTATGCAACAACATCTTCTTAACTATTGACGCTCAGATATCCTGCAGTAAAGTACAGCTTCTAATGTGGACTGTACTTTAGTGCCTGGTTGTTTAGTTTGTTCAGTGGGCCATCAAACTGGTTTACCTCAGTATCTACTAATACTTAACTTTATATGTGTTCGAACGCCCTCATGTTGTAGTTGTCCATCCTATCTCACTTTCCCACATCTATCAAAACAATGGGCTATATGCACGGGGAGGAGTGACGTCATTTCCTGTTAACGCAGATCAGCCCGTTCACTTCCTGCCTATGCTATCCTATGGCATTTAGGTGAGTTTTAGTGACGTTTTTTAGTAATTAGATTCAGCTGTGAGACTGACCCAAAAGTGTCACTGTGCTTTCTCTCTGAGGTAGAGCTTTGACTGTGGCCACTTAGAGCGATTTTTAAACTTTATAAAAACACAATGACAGCACAATCAAAGAGCACTGTTGTGTCCCAAAAATGCCCAGTATCCTCACAGTTTAATTCCCGTTTGAGCATTATTTGGGAAACTTGTGTAAACCACTGCTGAACGCGGAAGTGGTGCGTGCATAGAGCCCATTGCAGATCCTAGCACAAAGGGCTTGTGTTCTGTATCACCGACTGAGAAGCAGCTAGATTCAATACAAATTATTGAAATGCGATAGACATATTTTCTGTATGAAACCAGTTTGATATGAGTTCTATGTTCATGAGCACAAATAACCAAATGAGTGTTAAATTTTCAAGAACAAAATTCTATTTTTTTTTATTTTATTTGACAAAAATGTGAAGTTTTTTAGTCGACTAAAACAGTTTTGCTCTGTTTTTCTTGTACCCGATTGTGCAGGACAAATGTAGTCTGTTTATGTTTTTCTGAGGAGCTCTGATGTTGAAACATTTCAATCTAGTCCTTTTTGTGTTTCATCATTAATTTAGCTTCTAGATTTTATTTATTTGAACACTATTCTAAGTTTTGTTGACATAAGTGTATGTCGTTTTAATCTTTTTTTTAATCAACATTTTTTGATTTTTTTTTTTTGACATTTTTTAATCAACAAAATGAACCGGATCATGTTGGGTTTGCAGATGTTTTATTCATGTGATAAACTTCCGAAGTATAATTTGAAAGTACCTTTCAAATTATACTTGTCTTACATTTTAATTATACCTTTTATATTTTCTCATCTTCACTTTTGCTTTACTGAATCACACTGTACTTTTCTGCTCACATTTCCAGCCAATATCTAATTCCATCCTTGTTAAATAAAAAGCTGAAGCCAGTTTTGATGCAGTTCATTATTATTATTATTATATACATGTTATTATTATAATATTATGCTGTAATTGCGTGGAGTTCCCCTAGGTCAGCCATTCCCAAACTCAGTAACACCGAGGCCCCCTTAAAAATCTGACGGGTCTGCGTGGCCCCCCAAAATAATAACCAAGAAGACAACATTAAGAATAGGCTCTTCTGGTTATTTTATTTTGGGGAAATAGCCTCTGCTACAAACATTGTAATACAAAAATGATTACAGTGGATTATTCAAGTCTAATAATGAACACAAATATTTTAATATTACAAACAAAACATTATAAATTTAACATTAAATAATTATATTATTTTTTTTTTTTTTATGACCTCCCGCGGCCCCCTGCAGTACCCTCACGGCCCACCAGGGGGCCGCGGACCCCACTTTGGGAGACACTGCCCTAGGTGATGCCATGCAGGGGGCAAAGTTATATATTTGACCACACTTCCCAAAATAGCAGCCCCCAGACCACACTGCAACAGGACACTACAGAAACAGGCAACATTTTACATTATCTCTCAGTTCTTATGCTTTTGCGGAGTTATTATTTTGTTTAAAATTATTAATTCATAACGTTATGCATATATAGTCAGAATAGAAAGCTAGCATAATGTGTGTCTGGAGGGCTATGCTAACAGTGCACACATGCTAACAGTGTTGACAGAGCTATATATTGATTTTTCAAAAGCAGCTGAATGAAGGTACTGAGGAAAGATTATTGTACTCATTTCACTACATTTAATGGAAGATATCACTCATTATATTTCCTATTTTATGTCAAATTTAGTCAAGTTTATAATTGGACTTCTGGTAGGAGGACCAACTACTATGAGATTGAGCAATGATTGGTTTGTTTGTTATTATTCAGATCCCATTAGCTCCTGAAATATACAGTAGCCAATCTTCCTGGGGTCTATATACTCGTTAATGTCACAAAGATGAATGTACAAACAAAAAATATGCTTAAACAAAAATGTAGAATATAATACAAAATATACAGATAATGAAAATATACAGAACCTTTAATACCCTTCAGAATAAATTGTATGAATATTTTGTATTTATAATCGATAAACTTAATAAACTGTGTTGCATTGATGTTTAGAACTATGCATTTACATCTACAATGTGATATACAGTATATATTTACCAGAAGTTCTCTCTTTAGTTTGATAGAACCTGTAGTTTTAATAGGTTTCATTTATGTTTAAAGTCTTAACCTACAAACCATTAAAAATTTGACTACGTAAGAAGATCCATCATACTAGTTCCTGGATCTAAAACTTAAACATACAATACATCCACGTCTGTATATATCTTTCACATCAGATCAGTTTTCCAGGTAGAAAAGTGAAAAAGAGAGGACAGCCATAAGCCAACCTGCTCACAGCCCAAAGCGTCAAATAGTGACACACTGGGTAAAGTATAAAGATAACATGTTTTCTTGTAAGATGAAGACACGTGTAATCGCTTATGTTCACAACTCTTACTTTCACAAGACTCTGTTGGAATAAACAGTATTTTTTCCTCAAACAACAATATTAGGTACCCCAATTTTAATCACTCAAATCCAATAAGATGCAGACAGTTGGATATTATTATAGCCTTCTCATTAGTTGGATAATCTCATTACGTCATGTTCTCTCACACATCTGGGAGATTTTGGTTGCATTTAGTGATTGGAAAGCCACTTTTAAGACAGGAAATTCTCTACACGGCCATGATGACTCTGAGGAGTGGAGGACCAATGAGGAGCTACGCACTTATCACTATGGAGACGAGGAGGAAGCCACGACTGTCCAGACCAGCACACACGCCTTCATCGTTAGTACATGTATATTTGATTCATCTAATAATATTGCAATAGACAAAAATAAAAAGTGCATTTTTGTATTTTGTATTTTTTTTCTTTTTTTTGATAATCAGAAATATAGGATAATTCAGAGGACTGGAATGCTTGGAAACAATCATGGAATCGACACTTTTAAAGGAGTTTCTAATGTCTTTTCATTTAAAATTAGAAGAAAAAAACTTTAATTTTATGTAACATAAGCAAGCACCAACAATGTTTTTTTTTTAATTTAACAAAAAAAGTTCAAAATATAGCCCAGAAAAAATATATGCCTGGTGGTGTCAATGTTGAACTTCAAGCACAACTGAATGTCATGTGTCTTTCGTTTTGTTGGGCTTTTTTTGATTAAACAATCAACAATTTTAAATTATAATTCCAGAATTGTAATTTACAACTGTATTTACACATTATACATCCTAAAACACTGATGATAGATTTAACATAATGTCTGTTGTTTTGTTGAATACCACTTAATCACATTTTTGACTACTACTTCACCTGAATGAATATGTGTGATCACTACAATAACATGGACTATATTTTCCCTTTTGGACAGGTGGACCTCAGAAGGCTAGCAGCTATCAGCGAGTACTTCCGGGCCTTGTCCCAGTCCAGAATGAGAGAAACCACTGAAAACCTTATCTCTTTGGAGCATGTTCCTTTGACAGTTTTCCACAATCTCCTGGAATTCTCATTTAACGGGAAGTTTGCGGTCCCAGCTGCGGAGTTGACTTCACACATCCAGGTAGACTCTCCTCACAAAAACAGCACTATTCAATCAATCAATTCAATTCAATTCAATTTATTCTTGTGTTGCCCTAAATCACAAAAGTAGTTAACTCAAAGGACTTTACATAACCGTCCAGAGGGGGACAGACCAATGTCCATAATGTTGTAGAATGTTCCCATTCAGTTAGACCTTTTAACAGTCCAGACTCAAGCTACAGAACAAGGACCAAGGCCACACAGTGTAGGACTCAAGCTGCAGAACGAGGACAGGTGCAGCTGCAGCCATCCCATTGTGGCACCCAAAGGTCTCCCATCACAGTTCTACCTCGAGCCTACCTTGCTTATTAGCGCATATCTGATTAGGTTTTCACACACAGGTATGGCCACAGAATAATTAGTTTTAAATATATGTCTTCTTCCAGGTGAGCAGTTATCTGTTGGCTGAAGCCTTCCTCTCCCGGTGCCTGTCTGAGCTGGCAGCTGCACTGAGCCCTCACAGCTGTGCGTCCTTCCTGATCCTGGAGCGGGACATCGGCTGTCCCGAGCTGAGGCGCACGCTCTTCAGGTATCTGAGCCACAACCTGCTGGAGCTGCCCCATATCGTCAGGTAAGCAAAAGATTTAGGGGCGGATAGAGTTTTTAGAGGTTTCCTCAACCATTTGGTGAATCACTTTCTGATTGTAGCTTGGAACTGCAATATACCTCATTGGGCCTTTTTCACTTGGCACTCTTACCATCAAACTGCCTCTCAACCATTTGGTATAGGTCGATAATTAAAAAATAACATTTATTTCTCTTTACAATTAAATAATAATAAAAAAATCTTCCAGCTCCTATTTCCCTAACTATTCCTAGAGTTGAGCCAAAAACTGACGCTTCAGGCCTGTATGATGGAGGTAGTTAGCCTCTGTATCTGTCCCTGCTCAGACTAACTCACACAAATTCAGTTAAACAGTGATATCAAATGTGCAAAGGGGAGGAGCATCTGGAGGTAGTGATGGCAATATGAAGCCCCATGAAGCCTTGAGGGATCGCAGCCTATTACTCGGCTCATGAGTCGAATGCTCCAGGTGAATCATGCTCCACTACGCCATCATGTGGACAAAGAAATGTAATACATGCCAAGGGCCTATAACAAATGGTAGGGTCTGAATATGGGCTGAAAGAATACAGCCAATGATGCTTATGCAACTATTGACAGGAGTTGAAAAACAAACAATACAGTTTTGGTTCAAGAGTATTTGGACTCAGGCAATTTCTTTTTTTGCACAGTATTTCACCTGCCTTTGAAAAAACCCGTTCACAGGGCACAGAGGATGCAGGTGAACATAAATATGTAATGGCAAGTTCATATAAATTTGGAAATGTAAACTTATGTTTGTCCTAATATTGAAGGGGACTTTCGAGTCGAGGAATATTTGGCTCCCCCAGGTATGTTTGGACCTCCACTGTAGCGTTGGCAGTTATGTTTGGGATTTTGGTCTGCTGGCATGTCGTGTCAAAACGTTGCCACAGTTTGCTCCCTAAAACAGAATAAACAGGTTATAAGTGACTTATTAGCACAAATAGAGTATACATATTACCTTCAGCTACAGATGATGATGATGGTGATGATGATGATGATGAAGCAGAAGCGGACAATGAAAGTCTCAAAACTCGAGCACATTCGCCAATCAATCTTTTTTCAGCTTCTGCTGCCTTATTGGGGTTGAAGAATCCAATCTTTTTAAATCTGGGATCAAGCAAGGTAGAGAGGGACATGATGCTCATTGATTGGAGGTGGCTGAGCTTGTCCCTCAGTTGTCTTCGCAAATACTCAGCCATGTCTCTGCTCTCAGGTGTTTGGATATGGCCAATCTCCTCTTCTTCCAGAGCATTATGGAGAATGGTCAAAAGTGGAACTACTTTTGACCCAGAGACTCTTTTCTCCTCGGACACCTCAATTGTGGCATAGTAGAACGGAGCGAGCACCTTCAGACAGTCTGCAATGATGTTATATTGTTCTGCTGAGATTTGTGTAATGTCTGTACGGAGCCCAGCCAAAGCTGCTCCAACAGGCTCTCTCAGGTTGAACAGACGCTGAAGCATTAAGTACGTGCTGTTCCATCTTGTATCCACCTCTTGAATAAGTTTAAGCACGGAGAGACCCATTTGTGATTGAATCTGTGTAAGTCTCTCCTATAAAACAGTCAACAAATTAAAACAGTGCAGGAGCAGAAATAATAATTGACATATTACAAGTAAGGACCTTACCTTTGCAGTAGTGCTGCTCTTAAAGTATCTATCTATCTATCTTACGACAGTTTGTCCTGATGTCACACAACTCAGGACTTTGGTCGAGAGCTTTTTTGATCATTAAGTTTAGCGTGTGTGCCACACAAATTGTGTGACGCATATGTAGCTCTCAAGCACAAGCTCCCATATTTGCAGCACCATCAGTCACCAGACATGTCACCTTTCCTGCTAAACCCCACTCTGACATAAGAGAGGTCATCACTCTCGCTAGATTTGCTGCTGTATGTGCCTCAGGGAAATGCTGCACCCCAAGGACAACAGTCTGCAGAGAAGTGCTCTCGTCAATAAAATGACCAGTCACTGCAAGATAGGCATCAGTGTTGATGGAGGTCCACATGTCTGCTGTTAAACTAACAGCAGATGCAGAAGACACCACCACTTTGGCCTTGTCTTTGGCTTCCCTGTATCTCTTCTCCACCATGGCTTTCAAAGTCTGAAAAAAGTAAAGTCTTGAAATAGTGGATCTGAGGATAATAAATTGTTAATAGTTCACATAAATACCTGCCGCGTGGGAAGAACATAAGATGGTGCCAAAGCTTTCACAAGCTTTCGGAAGCCAGTTCCCTCCACAATGGAAAAGGGCTGGGAATCCTCAATCACCATATCCACCAACGCCTCAGTCAAGTCAACCGTCTCAGCTGAAAGAAAATGCACATTAGGGTTAGAAATTTATCTAATGAACAAATACATTCAAATAAAATATATTTAGTGTAATTGTAGGACAATCATCAATTATTATCATGATATAAAATGGCCTACCCGAGACAGGTTCACCTGGGTTGGAATCCACATTGCTATGCAAGGCACGATAGTGCCTTAGCATAGCTGAGGTGTTATTATTATAACCCAGTTGTTTGGAGCATAACAGACACTTCACCTGCAATTGAAAAAACTATTATTCAAACGTATTTATAACAGAGAAAAGTGAGCAAGAGAAATGATGTGTTGTCATATTTGTGTAATCTATTATTACAGAATTATTGATATGCCTTACCTTATTAGGTGAGATCTGCTCAAAGTGCTCCCAAACTGGAGAAAATCTTCTCTTTCTTGCCGGTTCCATCGCAAAAAAGAAGCTCAAATAGGATGCCAAATAGGATGCCAAATGAGAAGCGCAATAACCCAAAAACACACAAAGTGATGAAGGGGAATCCATTGCGTTCACTCGTCCCTTTTATTTCGAATCGCGCTCCAAACCAACGAATCATTTCCTGAATCAGTCACGTGGTACGGCCGTTCGCGAGGCTTCGAACGTCATCACATACGTGACCAATACACGCCTCGACCCACACTTTAAAAGAAACGCCCCCAGATTACTCGGTCCACGCTTCGAAGACTCGGCCCGCTCAGCACATCACTATCTGGAGGTGTCATCTTTGGCCCCATATATGGAAGAAGTCTCAGGACTTGGTCCTGGTCTTGGACTTGGCACTGGTCCTGGTCTCAGCCTTGGTCTCCTTCCTTTTTAGCAAGATAAAGGAAGACTCCCATTCTCTGAAAGACACTGGGCTTCATTTTTCCATGAAGGACAAATCAGCAAGGACGTGTCTACCTCATTACACATCAATGAATACAAAAATACCTCATGATTAATACAAAAACACTTTATGATCAATACAAAAACACTTTATGATTAACTCATTGACTGCCATTGACAAATTTGTCTGAGACCGGTGATATCTGTCAAACTTCCCTCTTTTTGACTGGGGATTACAGAAGAACAAAAAAAGCTAGAAACCAACTTATTTTTGCTGATAAAAGTAGACAGTCGGGTCTTTCAGAATCTGGTTTCATTTTTCACAAAGTCAAAGCACACAATATTCTGTGGGTCTTGAAAATCAGTCAAATCGTCAAAAACAGCTGGCAGTCAATGAGTTAATATAACTGTGAGTACATGAGACTACTGATAATAAAATAGGTTATTATACTTTATTCACTGTGTTTTTGGGCAGCGTGTGGGTGTAAACACATTAACACAACAGAGTGAACATTAAAGGGTTAATACTGTATATGAAAAGACACCTAGTAGTTTTTAATACTGGACATGTGCCAGTAGAGGGCTTGTCAGAGCAATGACTACTTGAACATAACAACAACATGCAAGAGTCACCAACAATTAAAACCTGACTTCAAGGCAATTAGAGACAAGTTTTATTTGTATAGCACAGTTCATACAGAAAGCAACTCAAAGTGCAAAACAGGAAAGGCAAGATAGCACTCTCGCCTCTCAGCAAGAAGATCCTGGGTTCGAATCTCAGTCAGAACAGGGTCTTTCTGAGCGGAGTTTGCATGTTCTCCCATCTGTCTGCGTAGGTTTCCTCCGGGTGCTCTGCTTTCCCCTACCACTAAAAACATGCACACAAGTTAAATCGTCCAGCTCCGGTAGTCCTGACCAAGCCAAGCATCAACATCTGGAGACGTGTTCCCGAGCGCTGTACTATAGCGACCACTGCTCCTGACGTGTGCCTTAAAGACAGGGTGGGTCAAATGTAGAGGACAAATTTCGCTATGGGGACAATAAAGTGCACATTTACAATTCCATCTTTCTGTGAGGAGTTGAATGGTTGTACTGAATGCTTGTGAATGTGACTGTGGCAATACAGATGGAAACCTACATTTACAATTATTGCTGTTCATTAATACTCACTGTCCCATCAAAAAATACAAAATACAAAGACCAATATTTGACAGAACAGAACTTTTAATTTCAATTTGAACTGTCAGAGTTACCAAATACATTCCAAGTTAAATTTGCATGTGGCAGAAACCTGCATGACGACGAAAGAGCAGAAGTGGTCCACCTGAGGGCTGACGGTCGCCTCCGCCTGTGCTGCGTCCGGAAGGAGAACCTGACCACGTGGAGCGACCCGCTGACAGAAAAGGCCCGGCACGTCTTTGTCCTGGGGGAGAGCGGAGAGTGGAGCCGGCTCACGGAGCTCCCCTTCAGGGCCGACAAATGGTGCTTCACTACAGCGCTCCTGCACAACTACCTGTACGTCATAGGAGGATACAGGCAGCGTACAAAGAGAGGCTGGAACTTCAACATGGCGTCCTATAGATACAACCCCTTCACTAACACATGGGTCACCACAGCGCCGCTCCTAAAGGTCAGTGTTATTAAGACACTTTGACATCACCAGTCATTAAATCACTGATGGAGCTTTAACATTGACAAAAACATTACATTTTTGTGGCATTGTATTTGGTTCCTCCAATTTAAACAATGAATGTATTTTTATAAACATTAAAATCCTCATAGAAAAATACTGTTTTTTATTTTGACTTCCCGATTCCTGGATTAATTACTTTTGGCTTCATAGCACAAGTAAATTTTCAAAATGTTTCGATTGGGTTCACTTCTTAGTGTTTTTACTGTAAGTACAAAGTCATTTCTAGTTTTCGTTTTTTCAGTTTCATTCTTCATTCTTATTCATAAATGCATTAATATATTCTCTACGCAATCTTGATAAATCAGGGTCATCATCATCATATATTAAATTACAGAACTAAATTAACTTAAATTAACAATATTCACATTTTCTGAGTTTCTGAAAATGTAATGCATGTATGTATTTGATCGCATATAGGAACTTCTATTGATCTTGTTTAATAAATACACACTTTTATTATCTTCAGTAACCACACAACTAACCAACTAACGTTTTTTTCATACTTTTCCCAGTGCCGTAGACACTTCAGCGCCGTGGCCTGCTCCGGCTGTATTTACGCTGTAGGAGGCTGGTACTTGGACTCTCTGGTGACCCCTGACGCTAGCACAGCGCTGTACACAGCTGTGGAGCGCTACGATCCCTGGGAGGACACCTGGAGGTCAGTGGGGAAAGGGGCAACGCTACATTCAAGTCTAGTTTATTCTTTTTGTATCAGACAATCAGCGTGTACGTACAGTAAATGGCACAGAGAAACACAAGAAGCAACAGAAAAATGCCAAACATGAACTAAATCTTTTACTTACTTTCAATTTCTATGGAATAATATACAATAGGAGCAAAGGAAGGTTTCTCACCCGAAGAACTTTTGTTCTTTGGATTAAGGAGGAAACGTCGGGAAAATCTGCTAAGAAGTACAGATGATGGGTGAGAACCCTTCCTTTGCTTTGAATAATCCCTGTACGACTGAGAGCTTACACAAAAATATGAATTAGGGCAAAGCGACAGTATTAGAAAAAAAATCCATAGAATTATTTTACAAATTATGTTGGAAAATAAGTATTTAGTCAATAACAAAAGTCAATTTCAATCCTTTGTTATTATACGCTATGTTGGCAATGACAGAGGTCAAGTGTTTTCTGTAAATCTTCACAAACTGTTACTGTTTTGGCTTTAATCAGAAATATTGTCAGTAGTGCAAATAATGAAAACAGAAGAAAACTTTGCAGACATCGTGCCCGGACTGTTTGATTATTCCACAAAACTATTGTGACTGAACTTTGAGGACATTCTTTTCTTCATGTTTGAGGCGTGAGAACGTGGTGAGGGGCTGCATCAGGTGTGCGTGTGTGTGTGTGTGTGTGTGTGTGCGTGTGTGTGTTGGCTGCTTAAACATTAGTTCACTATGGTTGTTATAACAGTGCAGTTTGTTATATTTTGTGTCAACATAATGTCTCTTGTGCAGGTTTGTCTCCTCTTTGCCGCTGACAGACTTCCAGTTCACGGTGTCTCTTTCTCATGATGTGCCGCTGGTTGCCAGTCGCGGACACTGTTTTTACGTTTTGGGGAACATCCAAAGAACCGGAGAAAAACTGCTACTTCAGTACGACACCAGACAAGGTAACTATACACACATATTTTAACTTTATATAATGTCGTGTGTGTGGTTTATGTTTGTTGTTGTGATCAGACAGCTGGTGTGAAATCCTCCCGACGCTGACCAGAGCTGATGCAGACCTGCCCACTCTCTACTTCCTGGGGGCGTCAGAGAAACTGTTTGTGATTGGTGGAAACAACTCGCATAATGTAGTGACCTCATTTTGCCTACAGTCACACAGATGGGAACAGGTATGACTAACTTAAAGGGGACTTTTTATACTTTTCTCTGCTATCTGATCTATAACACCTGTGAGTCATTAATATATTTAAGTTATATGTATCCGCCGTTTCTAAGAAGACTGTAAACGTCATCACAACATGTCAGTGTAGCAACATCAGCTTTTTTCTTCCTTCCTCGTGTGGAGGAGTTCAAGTATCTCAGGTTCTGTTCACAGTGAAGGATGGAGCATGAGATTGACAGGTGCAGTGTGTGCTGTGAAGCAGTCTCTGTATCAGACTGTTGTGGTGAATAGGGAGCAGCGTCTGCAGTCAGAGCTGTATCAGACTGTTGTGGTAAAGAGAGAGCTGAATCGAAAGGCAAAGTTATTAAGATAAGATAAGATAGACTTTTTTGATCTCACACAGGATAAATTTACATGTCACATCTGGCATGGATAGAAACACTCAAGATTGTGCAAAATAAAAAAATGTGCAAACATGTTAAATGCAGGATATATTATGTACAATAATATGTGGCAGGTTTTTCAGTTCTAATGAACTTTTTCTAAAAAAAATAACAATTGTAAACCGCTTTGTGACTCAGATCTGCAGTGAAAAGGCGGTATATAAATAAAGATTACTTACTTACTTACTAATGCAAGTGACTTATTGTACAGTCTGACAGCAGTGGGGATAAAGGCCCAGCGGTAGCGCTCCTTGCACTGAAGGTGCCTCAGTCTTCCACTGAAGGAGCTCCTCAGCTCCTCTACAGTCCTGTGCAGTGGGTGGGAGGTGTTGTGAAGGTGACTTTGACTATTGACTATTGATTTACCTCCCCCATGGTCATGAGCTTTTGGAATGACCGGAAAGACCAGATTGTGGATACAGGCTTATCCTCAAGTTTCCACTGCACATTACCTGGGTGCTCCCTTAAAGATAGGTCGCGGAGACAAGTCACAGGGGAGGTGCATGGAGTAGAGCCACTGTTCCTCCACGCTGAGGGGTGTTCCGGGCATGTCCCACCAAGAGGAGGTCATTATGGAGGGACTGTGTCTCTCAGCTTTGGAACCCCTCGGGATTCTCCCAGATGACCTGGAGAGGGTGTGTTATGCCTCTGCTCAGACTTCTTCTTCTGCGACCTCGCAACAGATAAAACGGAAGAAAATGGTTGACACCCATTAAATATATACATATTCAAAAGAATAAAACAACTTCAGTGGGAAAATGAGATGGTTTTAAAGCTTTTAAATAACACAGAAACTATTTAGACTTTTCCTAATCATCTGTTGAAACAGAAACCTAAGCCAACTAAAGAACCAATATAGGTCCATTGGTCCATCATTCTCACAGAATCCTCACTACTGTCTTCAGGTGCAGACCTTTGACAAAGTAGCGTTCTCCGGACAAGGGACAGTGTTTGATGACTGCACCTTTCTTCCAAGTACAGTGCACAATACAGTTCTGAAGCTGGACACCCGGACCATGTCTTTACACTCCCTTCCTCAGCTCCCAGTGCCCACCTCCTACGATTCAGCCTTCCATATGTTCTTCTAATGCTCCTGCTTTACAATGGGATTTATCTGATGTGAACTAGATATTTGTAGAAATCTATGTAGTTCCCTTTGTTAGTTACAGCTGTTTTCTGTAACTGAATAATAAGCAGTGGTGGATTTAGATTTGTAAGTACTCAATGTTGTTACTTATTTACAGTAAAATTACAGAGACGGGAGGATGAATTCATTTATTTTTTTAGTGAACAAAATCTGCTCTGGTTAAAGTCTTTCTGTTAGAGGTTAGGATCAGTGAATGACTCAGAATGTAGTTGTTGTGAAAAAAAAAGTGCTGATCTTTAAACTCAATAAATCAATTTGTAAATGTTGGTTTTCTCAAAGTCGTGTGAGAATGTTCTGTTTTGTGATATAATTGAGTGTATGAGGCTGGCCACACGCTGCTCTTTGACCTGCTTTAAGCGTTCAGGCCCTTTCTGTCATCTCCACACACCGCTTGGCAGGGGCTACTGTTACATAGCGGCTGTATGGGCACATGAGGACCGGGCTTGTGACGCTGCTCGGTATCACATTACCAACAGAAAAAAAAGTATGTGAGAGGTGAAGGAGAGCGTTGGGGAGAGAGGAGAGGAGAGGGGAGAGGGGAGGGGAGGGGCCCAAGGCTGTGTCCGCACTACCTGAGTGTAGAGCCCATCAAGGACAGCAGAGTCAAACCGGATCGTACACTGCACTTCTTCTACTATACGAGATTGGACAGGTACTTGCATGTGCTTTTTTATTGGAAATCTGCTTGTAAGAACAAAATAATATGGTTTTTGTAATTGGATAATGATATTTGTCTAATTTAAAAAGATAACATATGCTATTTTCAAGACGAATTTTGTAGCAAATCCAACTTATTGCATGGTGTGTTCATGATATTGACTTCATGGTGTAAAGCTTTTTGCATAGGGAGATTCAGATCACTTCATTCAAATTCAGATCACTTTATCAAATTCACAATAATTCCAATACTTGACCAAAGTATGCAAAATAATCACATTTTTATCCTCAATGTGGATTGCATGGATTTTTTTAATAGTAATTTTATTTATAGCGTAGTTTCCACTTTCATTGCTAGGACACACTGTTACTTTCCAAGCCTTATGAAGCTTACCAAAACTATTTCAGGCTCCACCATCTCATAATCACAATCTGATATACTGACACAACTCTATTATTTGCTCAGTGATTTGTGAGAAAGCTCCTGTTTGGCTTGTGGAAATCTTGTGTTTATATTTTGCTTGCTGACGTCCGCGCACATGCCCAGCCGGCACGCTGCTATATCTGGACATTGAACTTTGTCCCAGTTTGTGAATGTACAGTCATATGACATCCAGTGGAAAAAGTAATCCTAGACCCGCTCGTTTCGCACAATGCCATGTTTGGAATTGCACGGCGCATTTTGAAACATTACAAATAGCTGTTTACCTTTGATTGTATATGACTTGTGAATCATAATAAAGTGTCTTGTGTGTGGTCCACAGTGAGATAGAGCCATGGCTGAGGCCCATCAGGCGGTGGGCTTTGAGTTCACCGTACGTCCAGACGGAGTGGACATCAAGCTGAGCCGAGAGGTCTTGAAGAATATCTACTTGTCTGGGGTCACCGCGTGGAAGAAGCGGGCCATTAGGTTCAAGGTAATATTATGACAAGAACAATCACAATGTTGCAGTTGCAGGACGGAGATGGTGTGTTTGTGACAGGTTATGTTTATACACAGGAAGTGGTAGCTCCTGGTGGGAGAGAAGCCTATAGTAAACATTTAGAGTTCCGTTTTTCAGGGATGCTAGTATCAATAGACAAAGTGGGCTACGTCCTCCCTGCATTGTTGTAGAACCATGAGAAAATATGTTATTTCTTTATTATTTGTATGATCAAAAGTAGATTTATGAACATTAGCTACATGCGGCTAAATGGCTTAAGCAGGTACAATAATCTATAAATAAGTCATTCTAATAATCCCTCCTTCAAATGTAGTTAACAAGCCGCCACTCAGATAAATGACAACTTATACAAAAACTAGAGGAAGTAATGTTCTAAAATGGAATCCCTTCACTTCAATCTTCCAGTGTGTAAGAAATTGGATTATCTTTGAGTAACTTTTGAAAAAAGGAAAATGACCCGTAGTATCATGTATGTATTTTTTAACAACTGTCCCTCCTCTTGAACAAACCACTACTAGTCCGATTTGTTGGAAGATAATTGTTGACTTTATTTTGTCCATTAAAAACATTTCTTCATCACAATTTGAAAAGTAAAAGACACTTTAAAGCTGGGATACCTAACGTTCTTTGTTTCACTAATAATAGATTTCATATGTCACAACAGAAAAAAGTCTTGTAGAACTTTGTGAATAATATTTAAATAAGACCTAAACATGCTTTCTTCTTTGCTTTGGGCTAAGAGCTGATTGGCTGTGGTACTCTCTTTTCCCTTCTAAAATATATTTGATAGTGGAAAATTCATGCATATTAATACTAGAGCAAACTCTTCTGAGAGCAAGAGACTAGTTGCATTGATTTGATCATTTTTTATCATTTAATTTACGGTAATTTGAAAATGACATAAAATCTACAGTTTAGTGAAATTAGTAGTGTGGCCTGTCACATGGGCTTCAAGAATACTGTCATAGCTTCTCAGACAAATTTGAAATAATTTATTTGTTGTAGATATAGCAAAATGCACACACAATGTAGCTTCCCGCCATTTTCCAGTTCAAAAGGGAGTCCCTTAAATCTTGGTTTTGGTAACCTTATCCAGATTTTGGCTCTTACATGCACATTTGATAAAGACATGGAAACAAAATGTGAATATTTATCTCAGCCCAGGACTTAATACCATGATTTTAGTTGGTCCCCTTTTCTGAAGATGAGAGAATGTTTTGTTCAGTAACTATGGCAACGGTTCATAGTCACTCTCATTTTGCATCACCCATGGACAAAATAATATTCTGCACAATGTCGATATGTGTTGGTGAATATTTTGAAAGTGCTGTTGAACGTGCCGCTACCATGTGCTCTGTGTGGTTTCCTTTGGGCAGAATGGAGTGTTGGCGGGGGTGTACCCGGCCAGTCCGTCCAGCTGGCTCATCGTGGTCATCGTCATGATGAGCTCTCTGTACACGCGCATCGACGCCTCTCTGGGAATGATCCACGTCATTAGAGATACGCTTCCGTTCACGTAAGACCGAGGAGCAGTAGTGTTTGGAGTGAATGGTGGAACCGAGTGTGAATTTTCTGATTGTTTAAAGACGAGACAAAATAAGACAATGCATTACCACATTGGCTAACAAATATTGATGAACAAACAGTCACATAATTTGATATAATCTATGTATGTAACCAAAAGCATTAGTTACAGATACGTGAAAGCCTAAAACATTGGCCTATCAGTGTACAATAACAATTCCTCCTTGACATGACGTATGGACATGTATGTTGCATTGTTCTTGTGTCTTAAACGTTTCCATGATTTAAAAAAATGTATGTCTTTGAATGTATTTTGAAACATTATTATTATAAATCAAATACTGTGAACCAGCATCTACTCAAAAAGAATAGAGAGAGCCACTAGAGTGAATGTTATTTTTTGATGTTCTTTTGTCTTGTGCACATAGAGACCAACTGTCGCTGCAGACCAGAGCAGTGCTGGGGGCCATCCTGTTTGCCACCGGGCTCTGGCTCTTCCTCATCTTCCTCCTCAGATACACTCTCAAAGCTCTTCTGTCCTACCACGCCTGGATCTTTGAGTCACACGGGAGGATGAGCACCTCCACCAAAGTCTGGCTGGTGAGTACAGCTCCAGAGAAAACAAAGGATAGAAATGGTCCATACAAGGTGCTGCTTTAACAAGGCCCTGGATCTGGAGGACCACAGCATAGGCATGGTAGGTTATTCTACAGTCATGCCATTTACAGTATGCCTCAATTATTACAATGTACTGTGTAAGATTCAGAATCACACCACAACACATTAAAAACCATACTTTGGATAAATTCCAATAGAAAAAAAAGGAAAAGTTAGAACAATGTAAGGTATTGCCAGGTCGCTATATGGAAAGTAGAAATGCTTGATACTTTGGCATTTATAGGATTTTAGATATACATTTTTCTACAAATAACATTTTATAATCAAATTACTTTTCCTGTACCCAATGTTTGGTAAGAAACCAGTAGGCAAGGCATGGCAAGTTTATTTGTATTGCACAATTCATAGACAAGGCAACTCAAAGTACTGATCAAGACAAGAGTGCGTTACAATCATAAATAATCACAGAACATTAAAAAGAAAGACAAAAATATAAAATCCCTCAGTTGTATGCACAGCTAAACAGAACTGTTTTTAACCTGGATTAAAACATTTTTAGAGAGGAGGCCTGTCTCACATGACATTACAGTACATTATCTTTGCATCTTTATAAATATTGAATTAACATTTAAAATTGTTTAAATGTTGTTTTTTGATTAGTTATTGTCTGCTCCCTCCCCTTAGTTCCACATATGAAATATTTACCTCACACCATAATAATGTCAAATGTTTTTTTTTTTTCAATTGATAATTTATAGACACCATCATCCACACGTGAACCTGATCTGACTAACGGAGCATGCACAAACAGGTTGTGATTATTGATTCGTTTTGTGTTGTTCTTTTCCGCACAGAGCTTAGTGAAGATGTTCTCTGGTCGCCGTCCGCTTCTGTACAGCTTCCAGGCCTCTTTACCCAGACTGCCCGTGCCCAGCGTGGAAGAGACCATTCAGAGGGTCAGTCCATTATTATGCATTATACCAGAAAAAACATTGAAAAGCTGCCATCATGTGATCCTTCAAACCCATTCATCCAAATCTAATGTCTAATGTTGTGGCTCAAAACAAGTCCAAAGTTCATTCTCTTGTTTTTCCTACAGTACCTTGAATCAGTGCGCCCTCTGCTGGACAACGACAAGTACAACCAGATGGAGATTTTAGCCAACGAGTTCATGGACACCCAGGCCAGCCAGCTGCAGCGATATCTCATCCTGAAATCCTGGTGGTCCAATAACTACGTGAGTGTCTAAAAACCCAAGATAGTCTCCTGTGATTCGTTAATTTATTTTCCTTTCGTTGTTGAATGACGTTCAGGTCAGCGACTGGTGGGAGGAGTACATCTACCTCAGAGGAAGGAGCCCAATCATGGTCAACAGTAACTTCTATGTAATGGTAAATATGCCTGAACTATTCATTTTCATAAGGAGCGATTACAGTCTAACGAGTGTAATTTAGGATCTTCTCTACATAACGCCAACACATCGGCAAGCAGCCCGGGCGGGGAACGTGGTCCACGCCATGCTACAGTACCGCCGCAAACTGGAGCGAGGGGAGCACGCACCGGTAATGATCACATGGGAATATTATGATTTATTTAAACGTAGAAACAGGTGCATGACTTACTGTTATAAACTACACACCTGATCAGCCTCTTCTCATAGCTGCATTTCATTGAAGCTAGCAGATGTTGAGAAAGACCTACTTTATATGACTACTGCTACTACTACTACTAAGGGAAGGCAAGGCAAGGCAAGTTTATTTATATAGCACAATTCATACACAAGGCAATTCAAAGTGCTGAACAAAACAAGAAAGCATTAAAATCATAAATAATCACAGAACATTAAAAAGAAAGATACAAATATAAAATCCCTCAGTTGTATGCACAGCTAAACAGAACTGTCTTTAACCTGGTTTTAATTGTCAGAGAGGAGGCCTGAACTACTGCTACTACTACTACTACTACTACTGCTTCTACTCAATAAGTACAGGGAAATGGGAGGAGATATGTTGTAGATGAAACAGAGATTTACAGAAGACTGAAGATTTCTCAAAGATTCAATTTAAAGCTGGGGTACCTAACTTTTATAGCACAACAATAGAAAAAGGTAATACCCATCTAACTAGTAGTTTCTTGCTCTGTTTGGTTCCATCACTAGTTTTCACATTCATGTATGTTTGTATTTTGTAACAGAAAGCAAAAAAGATAGCACCACGCTCACTCAGCCAATCAGCTTTCTGCCCAATGAGTCAAAAAGTAACTTTATGCAAAAGATCACATGTTTTCTAGACAGTATGTTGTGGTCTATTTTACTTTTACAAGACTCTTTCTGTTGGCACAAACTTGTAATATTTTTGAGAGATAAAAATGGGAGTTACCCCTTTAAGTAAAATAATGACAAGTCAACACATTTTACACAGTGTGTCCCCTTTAATGTGCTTCTGATCACTCATCAAAGGATCCATTGTCATGTTTTTTTGTTGTGTTGTCAGCTGAGAGCCCTGGGGACGGTGCCCATGTGCTCGGCGCAGATGGAGAGGATGTTCAACACCACGCGGCTGCCAGGCGTCGAGACCGGTCAGCAGCCTTTCTCTACATTTGTTTCCATTTCTCCCAAAAGGTGCTGATCGCTCATGTCCAAATGAGACACGAGTGGTCTGTGAAAGTCCATTTGTGGTTCAAACATGTAGCGAAGTCATCATAATGTCTTCAATCACATCTGTCTGACTAAATACACTTATTTTCATCAAATAAAAGAAATATTTGTATCAAAGTGAACGTGAGGTGGAAACCAGACCAATTACAAACTCAAACTTATACAATTTAACACACACACACAACTTTTTTGTTGACTACACAAAACGGTCTAAATCTCAAAGATTAAAGATTAGCTAACTTTCAAACCACAAAAGAACAACGTAATTACATCAATCTGTTTGGTTCTATCACTAGTTTTCACACACATGTATTTTTGGCCTTTGACGTAGCTTTAGATAAAAATTTTCACACCGAAAAGTGAAAAAGAGAGCACCACCGTTACTCAGTCAATCAGTTCTCAGCTCTCTTTCTTATGCAAAAGATAAAATACAGTTTCTAATAAGATGAAGACTGTAGGGGCAAACAAAATGGATTACTGATTTTAAAAAGTTATAGTTTGGCACACCAGCTTTACATCTAAATTAGAACATACGTTTTTCTGCTATGGTGTCCACTGTTTTTGATGTATTGATTTGTGCTCAACTTTATGCTAGCAGCCTCAGAGAAACAGTCAACACGGGACCTGTAGACACTCCAGTGAGAATGAAGTTCACTGAATTGAACTTGTAGCCTTCCAAAGCCACCCGGGCCTTCAGTGCTGTCTTTCTCGGTTAGCCTCGTTATTGCTTGTTCAGACCTAGAAAGACCAGTGTCTCTCGTGTCTCCGTCAGACATTGTGCAGCACCTGAACGACCGGAAGCACCTGGTCGTCTACCACCAGGGCCGCTTCTTTCAGCTGTGGCTCTACACCGGGGGGCGCCACCTCTTACCCAGTGAGCTGGAGATGCAGTTCCAGAGGATTCTCAAGGACAAGTCCGCACCCCAGCCCGGAGAGCTCAAACTGGCTGCTCTCACTGCAGGGAACAGGTGCCTCATGTTACACTGGCCCATGACACATTTGCTTTTTAATCCGAAAGAGTGGGTACAGAGAGACGGATCATGACTTTTAAACACGTCAAATAGATATGGGTATCTTTTAGAGTTTGCCGATATGGTATGTACAATGCTATAATACTATATAAACCAAAATAAAGGGCTTTTTCCATTCAAAATGATATATTTCCAAGCAATTTGACATGATTGAGTCAAAAATATAGGCTTTTTGCTCCTTATTTCTTGCTCTGTGCCATTTGAACAAAAATATGTTTTATATTTCATTTATTGATTATTGATAGTTTTTACAAAAATCTTCTCAGCCTCATGCTCCAGTTTGCTGTTTGTGGGTCTCTAGCTCAATCCTATTTTTCCTTCAATCAAAAGAAATGTGAAGAAATAAAGTACTAAATGAAAAATATATGTTGTATCTAATTAAATATATTGTTATGATTGTGAACATTCCAATGCGTTTGGTTATGCTAAGCACTCAGCGGCTCGGAAACCAGAGCTTATTTTCTCTACGTACTGTTCTTTAGAGTTCCGTGGGCCCAGGCGAGACATCAGTTCTTCAGCAGCGGAGTCAATAAACAGTCGCTGGACGCCATAGAGTCCTCTGCCTTCTTCCTGTCTCTGGATGACGAGCCACAAGGATATGACCCTTCTAAAGAGCGCTCACTGGACAGCTACGCCAAGTCCCTCCTCCACGGGAAGTGTTACGACCGGTAAGATGAGCAGCGTGGATGGAAATGTTCCTATTGGATAAAACTAACCTGTCTCACAGCAATTTAAACCCAGCTCAGTGACACAATCCACCGCTTGGATGGAAAGTTCTCCTCCGGTTATTAACACATTATTTTCTCCTACATTCAAGTTTACTGTATTTATATTAGTTTTGACAGGTAGGAAAGGTACTGCCATAAATTACTGCCAAGGCTGGAGTTCTCTGAGACATAAACAGTTCGCCAAAAAAACCGCACTGGGAGAGAAACCCCCCTCCCCTCAAAGTCGAGTGAAGGGGTTGGTTCATGCTCTCATCCTGATGTATTGTTCAAAAATCCCACATAATGCAGCTTTAACATGCTCAAAGTGAGATTAACACGTCCCATAGTTTATAATTATATGGCAGAATGTAGCACAATATAAATTCTACCACAGCGTCAATTTGTGGTCATTCAACGATTTTATATGGATTCGATTACTTCTTTAGATTCTTTATGATTCTTTGTTTGTTTCAGGTGGTTTGACAAATCCTTCACCTTAATCTCCTATCCCAATGGGAAAATGGGCATAAACACTGAGCACTCCTGGGCGGACGCGCCGATCGTAGGCCACATGTGGGAGGTACTGTGTGTGTTTTGTGTAAACGTTTTCATGTTCCTTGTACTGTATTTGTTGAGCTGTAATGTTGTGTGTTTTTACAGTTCGTGCTCGCGACAGACTGCTTCCACCTGGGATACACTGAGGAGGGCCACTGCAAAGGGGACTTGAACAAAGGCCTTCCTTTCCCCACGCGCCTAAAGTTCGACCTGCCAACAGAGGTGACTTTTGTGCAGTGTTTATGAATGTGTCACTTTTTCTTTGTTCACTCGGATTGTAGATATTTACAGAATAAAAGTCAAATGGCAGTTTGGAAAAACACTGAAAGATATGAAAGAATTTCAAACCATTTCAGCAATCAACCAATGTTTTTACAAGACAAAGGAGACCATTGTTTAGCTAACATAAATGCACCACTGTGGAGGTCAACCACTTGGTTTTGGTTCTGAGAATGTTTTAATACCTGATGGACTCTTCAGGAGTATTGTTCTACAAAGATAAAGTTGTCCTGAGTTCCCAAGGATGTTACTGTCTGTAGCATGAGTTGTATTCTTGTGCCAGTCCAAAGGGTCTTCAATATATAAATGTTAACTATGTTTTAATAAAATTATAACTGTCGACATAATAAAGTGTATTTTTGCTCTCTCAGTGCCTGAAGGTGATCGAGTCGTCGTACGTGCTGGCCAAGCAGATTGCTGATGATGTGGACTTCTATGGATATCTGTTTAATGACTTTGGGAAAGGGCTGATAAAGAAGTGCCGCACCAGCCCTGACGCCTTCATTCAGATGGCCCTGCAGCTGGCCCAGTTCAGAGTATGTCTTTGTGTAGACTGTATATACAGTAGTATTCGTCACATAGTGAGCTCAGGCTCTGTCTCCTCAGGACCAGAAGGTCTTCTGCCTCACGTACGAGTCGTCCATGACTCGCATGTTCAGAGAAGGACGCACAGAGACTGTGCGCTCCTGCACATGTGAGGCGGTGTCCTTTGTGAGAGCCATGGAGGACTGCAGGGCCACCGTGAGTAAACACACGCCAACAGACAGGCTGACACTGTCAGAGTGATCCCAGCAGGACTCGGTCACCAGAACCTGTGGGACAAGATACTGAGCCATGATAAAGAGCTGACGTCCAAATGTCATCCTGCTTCTTATGTAACACTCACAAATACTTGTTTTCACTTAGATTTTTTTTTTTTACTGAATAAAGCATTTGAATTAAATTATGAAACATCCTAAAGATGAGCTAACTGGCTCATACCTGTTTCCATCCATAATAAAATTACAATGTATTCATGTATAGCCCTAAATCACAACAGAAGTCATCTCAGAGGACTTAACAAAACCATTGAAATCACCAACACATGTTGAAAAATGTCCGTACATGTTGTAGAAAGTTAGTTTCCTGGATCATCACCACAGTCCTTCTAGTTGGACACTAACTGCCCAACAGACCCTCCTGCATTGACAAGGAAAAACTCATAAGAAAACCCAGTGGGAATAATATGATCATTAATAAGATCCTTTAAACGTTTAGGAACATTTCCATGGAACTTTGAAAGTGACGTACCACCTTCAAAAGGAGACTGTTGCTTTTAATAATGTATCCTCTTCAAGTTTATATGATAGGATGTTTTATTTTTGACTTAGATCTGCCACTGATGACATCACACTGGACATGTTATGACACTTGAATGCATTCAGTAAAATAACTGTGATATACTTGTTATGAGGACTGATCAGATATCCAGAAATATGCAATGATTAAAGATGATTTGTTTGTGTCACTAGAAAGCACAGAGACTGTCTCTGTTTAAGAAGGCTGCAGATAAACATCAGAACATGTACCGATTGGCCATGACGGGAGCCGGCATCGACCGCCACCTCTTCTGCCTCTACATCGTGTCCAAATACTACGGAGGCAACTCTCCTTTCCTCAAACAGGTGACCAGAGTCTACCCTAATTCAATTCAATTCATTTCAATGTATTTTTGTATAGGACTAAATTATAACTACAGTTTTCTCTGTGGACTCTACAAAGTTGTTGATTCGCCAACAACAGATCAGAGAATCAAATCGTTCAAACCCAGGAAACGCATAGGAGCTGTTGGTCCACATAGGAAGCGATATGACCAATGTCTGTATATGTGCATAAATGTCCCGGATCATCACTGTCTTTAGACCCTCCAGCATTGACAAGGAACAACTCAAAACAAAAAGAAAAAAACCATTGGGGAAGCCCAAATTGAGTGACTGAAGAGGCAGGAAGAAAGTGGGAGGGCTGGGTTCAGGGGTCCCATCATCACGCCATGAGACAGACAATGGGACAGCGGGTGAACAGCAATGAACAGACAACAGCTGAAGTGATAGTAAGGACAGATAAAGCAGGAGAGAGGAGAGGATAGTGTTACAATACAACCCCCAGCAAACTCCCAATCTGGGTTTTTTTTAACTTTAGCCTGATCTCATAACCCAGAATTTCTGCCTTACTCTTCCCATGTGTCACCGATACAGGTCTTGTCTGAACCATGGAAGCTCTCCACCAGTCAAACCCCACAGCAGCAGCTAAACTTAGTGGACATCAATAAGTTTCCCAAATACGTGAGCGCAGGGGGTGGATTTGGACCGGTACAAACTTTGAATTTGTTTTAAAATTATTTATATTCCATTCCACTATATATTTTATTTAAGCTTAATATATTTACATCTTATGGCCTCTAGGTGGCTGACGATGGCTACGGCGTGTCCTACATCTTTGTTGGAGAAAACCTCATCACATTCCACATCTCGTCCAAGTACTCCTGCCCCGATACAGTACGGCAAACACAAAAGTGAACAGACTTTTCATTCTACTCACATGATTCAGTAAGCACTCCTTTCTTCTTCTTCTCGTAGGACTCGTACAGGTTCGGCCAGCAGATCCAGAAGGCCATGCTCGACATCCAAGCACTCTTCTCCACTGAAAACGGTTCGGCGATCGTTCAGAACGGCAAAAAGCACATGTAATGATTTAGGGCAACTTTTTTCAGAGTATTTTTTGTGTTTGGTCATTCCATGTCTGATAAGGGAGTTGATGTTACTGCTAAAACGTCTATTGTCAAGTTGGAGGGAAGCCTGGAATATTGAAAATGTCACAAATTCTCGCTGTATGTATAGAGTAATAAGTACTTTTGGCTGTATTTAAGCTTTGTAAATGTTTGTAAAATCTGTAAATATGTTTATTGTACCATGCAAGAGTGCGTATTTAAATAAGACTTTTTGAAAATACACCCAAGAAAAATGTGCCACTATCTTTCTGGATATTTATTAGTTCAGGTGGGGACAATACAAAAAGTCAAAGTAATAAAAAAAACAACTGATCTTTTCAAATGGTTTCTTTTCAAGGCATCAGATACAGCGAGTGTAACTAAAACTAGGCTCCAGAGCTGTACAAAGAGAATGGATCAACAGAAACGCTGCCAGTAGCACCGCCCACTGTTTGATCAAAGCCGTTTAAAAAGCCCCAAAGGCACCGCGCGCCAGACCTCGCCAGATTCTAATCGAATCAACAGGATTACAATTGTCCCTCAACAATCTTTGACATGAAACAACACGGAACATGAAAGGCAAATGAATATAGCTTGAGATCCTAAAACCTACAGGTATAGGTTTGAGTCCACTGAGGCCGCCGCGTGGATCCTGTTTCTCTTGAACCCAGGCCTGGCCCAGTCCTTACGTCTGGGCGTGTGAAAGACGGTTTGGAAGTTTGTGTTTAAAATCGCTGAGCAGAGCTGTGAGTGCGGCGGTCTGCTGATGCACGAGGATTAGGAGGTGGCGCCGGGGGTGGGGTTGACATTCTGGGTGGCGGCCTGCGGAGCTACTTCTATGATTCGGGGCTTGTCGATGATGCGGGCTGTGCGGTTTCCTTTCTCTACGATGCCGATGATCCACGCCTGGTGGCCCTCTCCGTATTTCGGCGATTTGATTTCCGCGCAGAAACGTGCGGCTTGTTCCCGGGGCAGGCAGATGAGAAGGCCTCCTGCAGACGCAAAAGACGCGAGTCAAAATATTTACAGGCTTATGCCCCATTAATAGGTTTTAGTGGAATCTGGATTATCAAAAAACATTCTATGATCTGTAGATATATTTATGTTTTGGCTGAGGTGAATGTTATCAATACATTATTTATGCCATTGAATAACTCACACATGCTCTTCAAAATCAACCAATATCAACTCAAGTGGTAAAAGTAGTAGGTATTCAATAAGTATAGAGTATAATATAGTAAGTCTAGATACTATAAAAATCCATTCTGGTAGAAGTGCTGTAATCAGTCTATGTAAATCTATAACGTACGTGCATATTTGAGACATTTTAGGGAATTAACATGTTTCATATGGCATGTTAACCAAAACATATAGAGCTTAAGCTGAATGGTTAGATCTTAGAAGCATGGATGAGCATTGTAAAAAGTAAAGAGAAAGTTCAGATATTTGGATTTTTAAAAAAAGTAAAAAGTCACAATAACTTAAGTAGTTTTGGAATAAAGTCCAGTCAGACATTTGATTCCAGTAAATGCGGCAGTCCCCGATGTTTTTACCCAAAATATACACTACATATTCATAACTAGTCTTGGATCTAGTTATTATTTATTTACATTCTCCGTGGTATTGTGAGCTGTACGTGTGAAGGCCGTACCTGAGGTTTCGGGGCAGGTGCCGTGCATGAGCCCAAACATGTTCCCACAGGCCTTAGACACGGCGGCCATCTTGGCGAGCACCGGGAGGTTGTGGATGACGAAGGAGACCTCGCTCCTCTGCTGCTTTGACAGAGTTTGTGCGTGGCCTAAAATCCCAAATCCTGTGATGTCCGTGGCTGCATGGGCGTTGAAGGTATGCATGAGACCAGCCGCTGCGAGGGACGTATCAAATACAGGTTTAGAAAAAGCAGGTGTAAACATATAGAAGCTGGATGACGGCACATCTAACCTGTCCTGTTGAGCCGGGCCATGTTCAGCATGGCTTCATGGTAGGCCAGTTCTACGTCTTCTTGAGTTACAACGAGCTTAATCTTGTTCCATTTCTCAGGCTAAGCAATGAAACACGGGTTATAATCACATTCAGAATGATTCATTTTTGGATTAAAGTAAACTTACAATATCTAGCCACTGGTGCACTGCTACAGCTACTTGTGTCCCCAAAGGCTTAGTCAACACGAGCACGTCTCCAGGAACAGCGTTGTCGGGCCTGAGTGACAACACATCAACACAATATCAAAACCAGCCTGGAGTGCAGCTGTATGTACGAACAGTCCTTACATGATGAACTCGTTAGGCTGACACACTGTTGTGGCCACACCTCCCATCACCACCCATGGGTTCAGTACGGTCTGCCCTCCTGTCACAGATGTCCCGGCCTCTTCAGACGCATCTTTGAAGCCTTGGATGATTAGTGGCATGACCCTATCACGTTCCTAGCAAGTAGAAATGAGATATATTTAACAACATTGAAAATATTGTTAATATCTATCCATTGCTTGAATATCAAGTCCATACCTTCTCTGACATTTTGTTGCTAACGCCCAGAAGCATTAGCATGTTGTCACATTCCGTTACCCCCATAGCATACAAGTCACTTAAAACATTGGCACATGCAATCCTACCCTGTAAAGGGAACAAGACTGAGTTAGCACGTGTAAAACCGCCAATCATACAAGTGTGAAGGGTCATTACCATCATGTAGGGGTCATCTACAATGGGATAGATATAATCTGTAGTTTGAACTAGTGAAAGGCCTCCATGTCTGAGGGGGATGACACACGTGTCCATGCCTATGCCTGTCACACAAAACACACCTTTTACATCTACAATCACACACATGTTATGAGCAACAATATTCAGTGCATTATAGTTTGTATAAACGCATGTTGTGAATATTTGGCACTTCACTTATGGGTGCAGAGTAAAATATCCCTAATATATCCATTTAAGGTTCCTGAGGATGTGTGTTGAATAGAAGAAAACATTTACCTAGTCGAGGCATAACTGCCCCCAGAAACTGCTCATCCTCTTGATAGTGGTTTTCTTGTAAACTTTCAAGCAGCTTCTGTAACACTTCTTGTGGCACCTGAAGACAAATAGAGCCCATGTTACAAACAAGGAATGTCTAAATTCTGGGGAAAGTAAAGAAAAGCCAGTAGACCTTGCAGCCTGTGCCCTTGAGCTCTGCGAAGCGTGTGAGCCTGAAGTTCTTGTCCAGGTCATAGCTCTCTGGGTTAAAAGACTCCCTCACCGACATGTCTGGAGAATCTCTGGGCCTTCACCACTGCTGCGGAGCACAATCACAAAACCATCACTTTCATTTTAAGCCTTAAATGATTCAAGGTGATGATGCACTTGAAGTACGCTTCATGTGTGGAGAAGATGTGCACCTGGTTCACTGGTCACCAGAGTTATATCATTGTATGAAACTAACAGTGACTTATGTTGACAACTGTATGTACCCAGACTCCAACAGGAAAGTCAGCCATTTTAACAGTAACATTTCTTGGAAACATTTAATATATATGAGGAAAAATTGGTACATGTTATGGATAAACTGGAAGATTATTGAAAAGGAATAACGTAGTTTGTTAGATGTATGCCCACTCACAAGGACATGGATTTTTGTTATTGTTATACTTTTTTATTAACAATGTTGTTACAGAAAAATAAGGTTCCTACTTTATTTATTTGTCACAACAAACCACTAGCAGCATAACTCATAATGACGTATTGTTCTACCAAATACCAGGAGCGTCGTAAATAATCCATGAGTGTTGTTGACAGTCTTTAGTAGAAGACAGGAGAGCTCTCTCCTCTTCTGTCCACACAGTCTCTGCAGCAGCAGCAGCAGCGGGAGGGGGAGTGTTCAGGTCAGAGCCACATGGCTCTAACTTCATTCTGTGACATGAAAACACTGCAGCTCCTCTCCTGCAGAACTGTGCTGGTGCTGAGTGGGCGCAGTGCATCAGGCTGGACACAGATGCGGATGACACCTGTACTTCAGCAGGGACAGTGTTTTGCAGGATGAAGCAGCTGTGTTTTCATGCTAGCTCAGGCTAACGTCAGAGACGTCAAAACCCGCAAAGTGTAAACACTAAGCTCAGCGTGCACATGAGCCACACGTCACAGTGTCACAGGCGCTTGTGACACTTGTACATCTGCACACAGCACTGCAGAGAGTTAGGCGCATGGAGGAGAAGTCTCTGCATTAGAGAAAATAAAAATGTCGGCGGAGGAAAAAATTAACCCTTTCGGGTCCCCCGCCATGAGCCCAGCGCACATCCCGGTGCTCGTGTGTGGGAGAGAGGGCCCCTGAGAGCCGCCTGCAGCCTGGGCACATGCACGGAACAGAACCAGGCTCTACTGCGGATTTAGGCAGGATCCCAGGCTCAAAGCGCACTTTTATTCCCGCTACTATTCCCCTTTAAGTGCGTGGTCTTACCAGGCTCAGGTCAGCGGAGGATCCACAAGAGCGGGGACCGGACCACAATGCACCGAGGCGGCAGCAGCTGTCCTCCGCCCGCGCCTGCTCACAAACACCCGGCTTTGGCTTAAAACTCTGCAGCATTACACACGCACTGGGCTGGCTCTGTGCGTCAGGGCGTGCTTCAGGAATAATGCATGGTTCACGACATCACAGGCAGGTATAGGCTTATAACATGGAGATAAATGTAAAGAGAATATTCACAAGATGTCCGCGGGTCCTTCGGGGTCCTTCAGGCTTCAAGAGGCGCCCCGGCCTCCCCTTTAACGGGACCAAGAGTCTGGCAACAAAATTCATACAATGGAGTGTACCTTTAACGGGCTGTTTTTCCCTCCAATTACACATCAGACACATGTGCAATGGATACATCTTATTATTTTGACCAGACACATGTGAAATATAAACACATTATCACATCATACATACCGATATACAGTTTAATGTTATATGGCAATCATTATTCTAGTGTAATCAGACAAATATGCATACACATATTTGCATGCTAGAGAAAGATCCCGTCAGATCTCTAGCTGTGCTGGGGTGGGACTGGTTCGCATCGCACTGTGATGGGAGACCTTTGGGAACACCAGGTGCTGCAGTGGGAGGGTGCGGCTGTAAAGTACCAAACTGTCAATGTGTCCATTTGCAAGACACTTCACCTACATTGCCAAGAATGAGTCTGGTGTGTGTAAATGGCTGGTGGTGATATACATATTGTTGCCTTGCTTCTGTCAGTGTGCCCCATGGCAGCTGTGGCTACAGTAGTATCACCACTGTGTATGGAGGGGAAAATAATAACATGTGCGAGTCTTTGAGTGTCCTGAAAAGTATTATATAAAACCATAGACTGTAAAAATTATAAAACCGATGCATTATGTATTATTATTCCAATCACACAGATATATAATATACACATGTGAGTGATCATCCATTTTGAACATGCACATGAGCAACTCATATACGACTTCTTCTATTGTAAGCAATACACATGTGCAATTATAATATACATGGACAGTAAATAACACAACTGTCTGTGATAGCACAAACTTTACAGCAGGGGGCAGCACATTTTGTTTTACGACCAGTGCCACGAAGAAGAAAAGAACAACTTCCGCTAGCATTAGCCTGTTAGCTTCACGGATTCTCGCTGCTTTTACTTTTCAGATTCTAATAATTCACAGACTTAACGAGGCTGAAAATGGATATTCTTAAAGCAGAGATCGCAAGAAAGAGGAAACTTCTTGAAGAAACGAATCTAGTTGATGTAAGAATCTGAGAAGTCCATTGTTTTTGTCTGACCCTGTTTGTGACATGATGTTTACCACCAATGTGTTTGTACTGGTTTTATAACCTCGTCTCTGCATGTATTCACCTGTTACTCAAATATCACAGCACATGTTCGTGAATCCTGTGATTGGACCCGTACTACATATAATTAATCTTTATAATATAGTAACGCTCTATCATAACAACATAACACTGTTTATTAGATGTTTTTACTTACTTATTTTGTAATTGGACACAGATGCTCTATATTTACTGTGTTAGAGTAAATGTTTAGGGGGGCAGTACATTTGTATTTGATTCTGAAGGGATATCAATAATAATAATAATAATGTACCATAAACATAGTGCCTTTGGAATTTAACATTGGCCCATGATAAATAATCTAACATATACGGTGAGTGTAAAATTAAGTGTATTCATTACGATTTCAGGCCTTTAAAGCATAGCAAAAAAATTGAAAAAATATTACAAAAAGGTGTATGAGGTTGTGGTTTACTACTTTGCCTGTTTTGGGATTTAAGAAAACGTCACTCAGACAACTCTGATAATGTCTTTGTCAGCATTACATAATTTACATTTGGATACATTTGTCTAGATTCCCAAATCACCTCAAACTTTCGATGCAGTAAAAATACACACAACAGCTGGGAACTATCCCGAGGTAAAATCTGCGCTCAGTCCCATTGAGATAAAAACAGATGATGATAATAACATGAATAATTGGTATTACATTTCCCTGCACCGCACGAAACCTGAGGCCACCCTGTATTAGCTACATTTACGAAAAGTTATCTGATGGGGGTATGTTCCAATTTACAGCAAATGTTTTATTCTTCATTTTTTATTCTGCCCTCTCTACCCTCACCTCTCTTCTGACTGTTGCACTGAGCCAAAGCAATTTCCAAGTCTGTGACCTCCTGTTACTTACGTGGCAATAAAAATGATTCTGATTCTGATTCTGAAATGTGCGTTCCTCATGTTGGGAGCTTTCACCAGTTGTCAGCTTTGTTCTTAAGATAAGATAAGATAAGAGATCCTTTCCACAGTGGGGAAATTTCAATGTTGCAGTACACAGATAGGACAGTAGTAAGAGCACACAAGCAGCACACAAAATTTACAAAATAAGAAGCTGCTATGTGTTTAAGCTAGCTGTGAATGCTTCAATATTCCTCCACTGCTCCTCCCACTCAGCTAATGTTACATGAAAGAAATGACAAACCATTGTGGGAAAAAAATGTGAAAACAACTTCACTTAATCCTTTGTTATTGTGTGTTAGTGGTTAATGACAATAACAAATATGTTTGAACACACAGGACTCCAAAAAGTACTTCAAGAGGTCGGATCTGGCCAAAAAGGAGCAGGAGGAATACTTCAGACGGTGCGGATTGAAGGTACGGCTTTGGCTCTTGTTTAACCCTCGTCACATTCCGGTGCTGTGGTTATTGTACGCTGCAGACAGAAGACAGTATAACCATATGAAAGGTGCTGAAGAGTGTGTTGGTTTCATGTGCTGTCTGTCCCACCTGCCTCCGGCCTCCTGTAGGTACACACTCCGGAGAGACAGGTATGGTCCCACTGAGCTGATGCATGACCAGAGACTGAAGCGTGTACCGAGGATGTCTTTATGCAGTCTCCTTTTGCACTAGCAGCACAGAGCAGATCCCTTTTCATTTATGTGTCTTATATTTGATTGTAGACTGATGTTGTGCTGGACAAATGGCTTATCACACAAAGGTGTTGCTGATGAGCTATTTTTCTGTTTTGCCTCCTTGAGTGTGACTAGTACAAGTTTAAAGTAAATGTAATAGGCCTGTCATAATAATTACTACATCGGCTTTTTGTTTCATGAATAATGGATTTATCAAGTATGCATTCGCTTTAGTGTACTTGAAAGTGGAGCTGGGCAATTGGTTTCCCTCATGTTTAGAATGAGGCTGTTGTTTGGTTTCCTAATGACAACCTTTCTCTTTTTAATAAAAAAATCCCAAACAAAAATGTGTATAAATGAGAGCAGTTTGAAAAATATCTAGTCAAATGGACTAGAGTTTGTACAGTTATTATCTAAACCACAGCAGGTGGACCTGTTTTTGTTTTGTTAGACCACAATCAGTGCAAATTGTGTACTGTCACTTTAAAGAAAATCTGCGATAAAGAATGATTGAGATGTTCATTGACAAATAACAATTTTTAGGATTATTTTTCTAAAAATCTTTATTTGTTTGAATTGCCAATTACCAAATGTATTTGTTTACCAGATATTAAAGGAATACACATTTTATTCTTTTATGTTTCAAAACCCCCAACACACACAAAATAATGTGTTTTATGTCTGATGTGTGGATTGTTACACAAAAATTAAATTCTGCAGATTCTGAGCTTTAAAATGAAGCATAACATTTTTTGCTTCATAATAATAATAAATAATTTGTATGAAAATATGAATGGATTTGGAGTCTGTCATTGACACTGATGTATTGCGCCTTTTCATCTGTACCGATTATCGCGTGTGGTGTATTGTGACAGGCCTAGATATTAAAACTTGCCTTGAAACTATGATTGGTTTTGTCTCTGATTAGTCTAAAGTACGACACGTGCACTGTGCATGGGCCTTTGAAGCATGAGTTAGTGCTGTGCTGCAGTAGTTGTATCGTGGGGGTATTCCATGGAGCCAGAACAAACCAAGTCTAGTTTTTTTGGCCGCTCATGGATCATTGAATCAAAAGACACAAGTTGCCAACGATAACAAGCATCTACGTGGAAACACAGTGAAGACGTTGTTTTTTTTCCTCAAAGAACGTCTAAAGAATCAATTTATCAAAAGCATCTGTACTCCAGATCTTTTCTCACTTTGTCTCTTGCTGAAAACAGTGAAAGGTAGATGTTTTTTCGTCCGGTGCTGCTGACCCGCTGTAAGAGCTGGACTCGTGCTGAAGCTTAGTCTACATCATGTTATCAATCTGATCCTGTGAACGTCACTGTGGAATCAAGCTCCTTTGATCCAAACGGAAGGACTTTGTTACCAGGTTTTATGGAATACCCCTTGTTTGTTTTTCAGTTTGAGTTTTATAGACGGAACATGCTCTGACTTTTTTATGTGAAATTGGAGTTTAATAGAACACGGATACACCAGACTGCTGCATGCCTGCGTTTTCTGAAACAGGGCCCCGAAGCGTTTATTCTCGTAATGTGGTGACATTGTTCAGTGTAATGACATTGTAATTACTGCTGCTCGTCTGTTCTAGGTGGATTGTGGCGATGAAGAAGAACCATCATCTTCAAACAAGAAGCCAGTGATGGAGTTAGAGCTGACGGAGGAGAAGCTGCCCATGACCCTGTCCCGCCAGGAGGTGGGTGCACCGAGACCTCGACCCAAACAGACTCATACAGAGCCGGTTAATCGAATACAAAGGTCCTCTCCACTGCTCAAATAGATAAATCCACAAAGCAATATTTCACAGCAAAAAGAACACCTGTGTGCCTTTTTAAAATACTGGTACTCAATAATCTCAAATAATTAGAATACCTTACAGTACACTGCAACAACGCCACGGTCATTTGGATTTGTTTTGTAAATGTCTTGAAATAAACATTTGCGATAGATTTAATGGAAAAGATTCTCATTTAGGTATTGAATGCATTGTCAGTTCTCAGACGCCAACATACACAGCATTTACACTTACTTTCCTAAGTGGACAATAGAATAGTCTTTTTTTCCACTGTTTTGGTTTTACTTTTTCACCTTGTCCTTGAAGAGCACCTGGCTGTTTTTGAAATATTTCATGAACCCACTGAAACACCCATTCTTCTGTCTTCTTATACACTTCAGAAGCCGTTTGTACTTTTAGCACCCTCTTGTCTAATGTGCCATTCTAATGTTATGATCATTTTAATCAGTAATTTTCTGTGAGCCATAAAATAATTACTGAATGACAGTTACATGAAACAAGATTAGTAGATATTTACCATCGATGTTTGGTTTTTCTTCTATTCTGCTCTGGCTAAAAGTCATAGCTACAAATGATCTCTGGGGATATAGTCTATAGAACTAAACTACTTCCAATAACCTATGCAGAGATGCAGAGATGCAGTTGTGAGACAGAAGTGTTCCCGAGTCCTGCTCATGTTAAACCTGGCTCTGTTTCCCAGGTGATCCGGCGGCTCAGAGAGCGCGGAGAACCCATCCGTCTGTTCGCAGAGTCCGATTACGACGCCTTCCAGAGACTGAGGAAGATCGAGATCCTGACACCCGAAGTGAACAAGGTCAGTGCTGCAGGCTGCCAGTGCTGATGCGGCCTCTGCGGAGAACCCTGCTGACCGCTCTCTTGTGTGCACAGGGCCTGAGGAACGACCTGAAGGCGGCCATGGACAAGATCGACGCGCAGTACCTCAACGAGATAGTGGGAGGGACGGAGAACGGAGAGGTGGACACACAGCATGACCTGAAAGTGCACGAGGAGAACACCACCATAGAGGAACTCGTGGTGAAGCAACACACACTCGCACACACACACAGACACAAGTGAGAGAAGAGGGAGATGTACACAATGTGAACACTAGATGGCACTAGTAATGAGAAAATCAACTAAGGCTTGGTCATGTGGTTGCCAGGCATAGGTTATTATGTAAAATTTCACACCAAAAAATGTATTTGTCAAACCAGGTAATATTTTAGGCAAAATTGACAATTGCTTTCTGTCTATTAATAACATCAACATTCCCCACTGGGATGAATAAAGGTTCTCTAATCTTCAAGAGGTTTGTTGTTTGATGTATCGCCCTGTGCTACCACAAAAAGTTTTTTATTTTTGATGAAAATGGGCAGCGCTCTAAGCGTGGTGTCAAACTGGTGCAATGACATCAAACAATTTCAGGGCTGAGACAGAAGGGGCGGGCTACATGTTTATGCCAGAAGTTCCTGATATTAGTGTGGATGGATCAAAAAACAACTCCCTGCATTGAAGCACTGGTGCATAAAAAAATCTTCATTGTTTTATTTTTATCCAAGGCTCTCGGCAGAACTCTGGGCAGAGGAGACGATCATGGAGACCAAGATGTCATCGACAAGTTTTTGAGGGTAAGTCTTAAAATCAATGGACTATATTCACAACAAACCAAAATGGCGGCAGGTGAACTATTGCTACGTATGCTCCGAGCGCTACACAGAGGAGAATTCTACTCCTTCGTCCGTCCAAACAAAACCACACAAAGTTCTAGTTTCAGTTTCCATTTTCGCAGCTACTGTTATATTCAGACACAAACTATAGCTATAGAGGTACTTTCAGTGTCATCCAGCCAACTTCTGCTCCACCAATATAGTCTTGCTGTACCTCTGTATAAAGCTCGCTACCTCTGAAATCCAGTTAACTTGAGCCAAAACAAATGTCAAATAATGTAGTGGTGTGAAACAATACAAACATATCGCATACCCCATGTTAAAGGCCAGAACTGCCTGAATCCAGTCACAGTTTCTGCCCCTGGATAAGTCTGGTGAACCCTGGCAACCCTCTTAGTTAAAAGTTTGGACACCCCCCTGATCTGAAGTGAAAAAGTTGTGACATCCCCAAACCAGTCAATATAATACGGTCTGTTGTTTTTTACTGTCGTTCAGTTCCTCCTGGGCGTTTGGGCCAAAGACTTGAACAGCAGAGAGGACCATGTGAAGCGCGGCGTCCAGGGCAAACTGGCCAGCGCCACTCACTCCCAGACCGAGTCCTATCTCAAACCACTGTTCCGGAAACTGCGCAAGAAGGTGAGCGGCGGACCATCAAGGACTCGAGTGATGGTTTTCACACCACACATGGTCATTAGGTTCTGCGGCCATTCTAGGCTGTAATATCTGTCTATAATGGCTCAATTATAGAAGCAGGTTCATTGAGTCCCCATTCAAAATTTCTGAACTTTTTTTAAGTCAACATGTGTGATCTTAGTTACAACCTTTGCTTCTGTCTCTCAGATGTTGCCCGCCGACATCAAGGAGTCCATCACAGACATCATCAAGTTCCTGTTGGAAAGAGAATACGTCAAAGTAAGTAGCGTTGTTGTCTGTAGATCGACCCTGTGGCGTGAGATCGTGATTTGATGATGTTTTTAAACAGGCAAACGACGCATACCTGCAGATGGCCATCGGGAACGCCCCCTGGCCCATCGGCGTGACCATGGTGGGCATCCACGCTCGTACCGGCAGAGAGAAGATCTTCTCCAAACACGTGGCTCATGTGCTCAACGACGAGACGCAGAGGAAGTACATCCAGGTACCGCTGCGGCTGCAGTCGCTTGACTCGATAATAGTTATTTATGGCTCACTTTTAATTTACCAACAGCTGATGGACAAAGCCGATAGTCTGCTGTTCTAACTGGACACACGATTTAATGACGAGGTTATGGTGATCGTAAAAAAGGCGCTAAAACACAAGTGTATGGACCATGCTGACCAGGATATAGTCTAATTGTGCAGGGCCAGACCTGTTTTAATGCGGTTGCAATCTAATTTAAATTGCCAAAACATATTTACTATTTTCTGTGAAAGCTAAAAAAGAAAGGAAAGAAGGAATGGGCAACATCAGGCATTTTCTTTGTGTTTGTGTAAAGTTTGTTTATGCCTCATCTTAAGCTTACGTTTTGTTTGAACCTTTTTACACTATGAAGGAATATGGGAAGGCTCCGGGGGCCGTATTGAAAGGTGACTCTGGCCGTATGTGGCCCCCAGCCCGCAGTTTGCCCAGGTCTGATATAGATCCTAATGAACCAATGGCTTATTTGTGTTATTAATACATTTCTTATGTTTGAACTGATTTTCTAATCTGCGCTTGCGAATCGACCACTTTGTAAAGTCCTCAGAGATAACTGCTGTTGTGATTTAGAGATAGACAAAAAATAATTGAATTGATCAAAGCTTTCAAAGCCGGATAATGTCTGCTGAGGAGGCAGACATTATCCGGCTTGCATTAACTGTTAGCTTGCACGTCCTCTCATTTACCTATATCTATTTTGACAATAAGCATGCGTCGTAAAGTAAAGTAATTCATAAACTCTGACAACAGCCATAATTACATAAGTGTCAAACTGCAAAACCAAGAGCTGCTCCTTCAAGACATGTGCTGCAGGTTATTTTTAGAACGTAACCAGCGCGATAAACGAGGGACCACCGCAGTGGTCATTTTCTTTTACGATTATGATGCTTTTGACAAATATTATGACTTATTATTGTCTATGAAATTAGGATATCAAAATACAATGTGGTAATGAACAGCTCATCCTTTTTGATTTCAAGCTGATTGATATTCATGGCAGACCTGTGATGTTTCCATAGGGACTAAAGAGACTGATGACCATCTGCCAGAAGCACTTCCCCACCAACCCGTCCAAATGTGTGGAATACAACGCTCTGTGAACTCTCCGCTGGTGCAAGAAGATTTATGATTCATTTTGAGTTTGACTGGATTACTAAAGCTCCTGAGGTTTTTATTCTTGTCATTTTTCAGTGTCCATCACGGTCAGAATGTGTTACGTGCATGTGTAAGTTTTATTACACAATTCTACACAATTCTATTATGTATTACTTTAAGTCTCTTTGTGGAAAATAAATGTGTTGATTATATTGTTCCGAGTCTTTTCTGGTGATGCACAATAATATTACTATATAGAAGAATCAGAATTAGTTTTTTTTATTACCTACAATGGCAATTAATGCTTTGGTATCTCACTTTCAAATCCCAAAAATAGACTTGGGTTATAAAATGCTTGTTACTTCTACTGGTCTTAAGCAGATGGTTCAATAATCTTCAGATAAATGGGTCTTTTGGTTTCTGTCACGTAATTAAATCATCGGAAAAGTGAAACAGAGCGGACCAACCTCACTCAGCCAATCAGCTCTCAGCCCACATGGATTTCTATTGTGGGCTGATTTGTTCACGACATTTAACTTTTATAAAACTCTTTCTGTGTGGGCAAACCGTATATAATTCTGTAGAAAAAAATATGTGCCGCAGCTTTAAACAACCAACTAAACCGTTTATGTCATGTACAAAAAAATTCCTGCACTTATTTTCCAAAATGGTCTTGTCTTTTCAATTAGACGTGATATTTGGATCGTCTATGTGCTGTGTTGTTCTTCCAAAGGCTTAAAGCAGGCTCTTCACACACAGCTGCGTTGCTGAACGGGAGTGGGACTATATTTAGCGCCAAGTCTGTAAATAGTTCTTATTGATCGTTTTCAACCCTCTGAATGCGAGGCTGACGTCGCCTCGAATGGGAACGGAACTTATTCTTTTGTATTCCGTATGAGAGATTCAAATATAAAATACACAATGACTGATTCATGAACAGATTGCAGAGTGTAGATGATTGAATATGGATGATCTGTCGGAGCGTTTGTGTGGAACGGAATGTCATGTGGATTCCAAAATCATCAACCTCTTAATGTAGTCGGATTACGGATGGATATGAATTTTTTTTTACATGAAATTAAAGAGTAAAATAATTTTTGTCTGGAGCAAGGAGGACTTCAAAGTGTCCATTCTGAACTTCTTCCAATGGGGTCTGAGCATAACAGATCAAATACATCTCTGCTGACTTGTCTGATTACAGAGACATTTACAGCCAGTGCCGAATGCATTATGAACCATCACAAACCAAACTTTTTACCCCCGTGTTTGCTGCCCGGATGAATGTGGCTTATAATGACGGCATGAGGAGCTGCTGAGGGTCCCGCGGTGGATCAGCGAGAGCCAGAGGTTTGTGGATGTGAGCGTCACTGGCGTCAGAGCCTGAGCAGTCTGATATCTTTGTTGTTTGTTCCTGTCCAGTCTTTTTCATGTCCATAGACCTCTGTTTTTTTAAGTGAAGTTTATTAATAATAATAATAATAATACTTAAATAAATACCTACTTTTATTTTATTTTTACTTATTTATTTATTTGGAATAAAAGCCACTATCTTTTGAATCTTCAGTATAATCTTTGGCAACCTGTAAATTATTTCTATATATTTGGATTTTGCATTTTGATCCATAAACGTTACGCCATGCCCCGTTGTACGCTGACAATATTTTCTGTGTGTGTTTTATAACAAAATGCCAATTATTATCATTATTATTATTATATTTCTATTTCTGTTTGTTGTGTTAGATGACTGTAACAGGGAGACATTTTGCTGATTTTAACATGTTTTCTTTGGTACAAAAGGGGAAAATATTCTTGATCACTGTTGGCAACATACATCACAAAGAGACCTTGTGATGTATGTTGCCAACACTGATCAAGAATACACTTTTTATGTTCACCAGGGAAAATCTACAGATATAAATTCTGTCAAAAACCGAATTCAATCAGGTCAATCACGTTAAAAGCCTTCTCCATTAAGTTCATTTACAAATTATTTTTCTTAAGGTACAGTCTTGTGTAACTGAGAGCAGGAGGTCACACCGTGGCCTTTTCACACTACGTTACCATGGAGATGGGAGCTGTTCCGGGCCGAGGCGTCACCAGGACAAGGACACGATGGGGAAGAGAGAGGGAACTGTAGTCATATGAAAAAAATATTTGTGATATTAGGATTACTGTTCAAAATACTTGCATAGTACACAGACACAGAGGGCAAAAAAACAACATAATATATCCTTTAACCTGTCAAAGAAAAGAGTTGGAAGAATACTTTGTTTTTTGTTGCTAGTGTGATCTTTCTCTTTCTCTGTGTGGCGTGTTTAAAATGCTTCATCGCTGTAGCCTTCGAACAGTAAGTCCCACATTCTGTCCGGTTTCTCCCAGACCTCGTCCTGACTTCCTCTGGCTGCTCTTGTGACGTGGATCCTTGAAACCAGGGTTAAAACATGTGTACTTTTGTCTCTCTATATCTGTGACTCCTGTATCTGCAGGCTGGCGGTTTGCCCAAAGGAACACATTTGTCTGCGGCCGACCTTATACTGTAAATCTGTTGTCACATATGTTTAACTTTACCCAATCGCAACGTCAAAGGCCACGGTAACTTTGGAGGTTTAAGAGGAGAAAGAAAGACACACATATATGGATTTCCTTCAGTCTTTTCTCTGAGCCATAGGACGTCTAAGAGAGTTTTTTCTTATTATTATTATTATCAAAACATAATTCAAATACAGTACAGAGATTCAAAAAAGTATTTACACACAAGAGGATGGGTGGGTAAGTGGGCAGGGTCTGGATGGGATGGGGAGTGGACACAGTATGAGCAGACAAATGTGACAACAGACAAAAACATGGAGTATTTACAGTCCATTTCACAGTTGTAGGGGGGGGGATTATCGGGGCAAGGGGATGTGCCAGGGATCCATGGTGAGCGTGGTCAGAGGTTCAAGGTCAGTCCAGATGGTGTGAGTTGGATCAAGGTGTTGTGGATAAGACAGTTGGTCGCAGGCTGAGCTCTGTCGGAGACGTGGGCCATATTTTGCCCTATTCATTAGCCTGTGTGTGTGTGTGTGTGTGTGTGCGTGCGTGTGTGTGTATATGTGTGTATGTGTGTGTGTGTGTGTGCGTGTGTGTATAGATGAATACATTAACATAAATCAAAGCGTAGATGTTGATTATGAGTCATTTCTCAAGTATTTTTTTTTTATAAAGACCTGAAGAGATGTAAATGCATGTGAGGGGGAGTGGATCTCTGTCTCAGCCGATTCTGACAAAAAGCACTGACTGATTTCAAAACCTAATATTGCCGCACACACCACATGTTATTTTAACCTAGAATTTTTGACAGGTTTTTAAACAATTTAAAAAACAATTTAAACAATTTAAAACAATTTAAACAATTCTGACCCGTTACAGACATCTCTATATATGAGAAAGATTTATTCTGCTGTCCTCTTGGTTGCTCTTGGTCAGGACAAGAGCTGGAGAACTTTACCTCTGGTGCGTGTTTTGAGGGGTGGGGGAAACCGGAGCGACCAGAGGAAACCCACCCAGACATGAGCAGAAACATCATTACACAGAAAGGCCCAGGATGATACAGGAATCTAACCAACAACCTTCACACTCTCCATTCAGCCACATTACTGCTACTTTATCTAGAACTATAGACTTAAACGTGTGGGAAGCGGTTTTATGGGTTGGACATTTCTAGAATGAAAAACAAGTCATCCAGGGGCAGCACTTGGGCTTTGTTTTGGTCTAATGTAAAAATAAAAAAAACACCTTTTGGGATCAAAAACAACTAATAGATTCTGAAAAAAAATGTTATTACAGCCCTAGTTCAACTGTTTTCTAATTCATTGACAGGAATGTGAAGGAAGAGTGGTTTGTGTCAAAAGTGTGTGTTTAGAATCCACCTTCTGTAAGAGAAACACATGTTGAGCTTTAAGAATGTATTTTTGGAAAGAGTCAAGGTGTTTTATCTTCCTACATCACCAAAAAGTACAAGATTATTTCATGAAACAATCAGTGAAACCATGACATCTTAAAGAGAGTAAACGATTCCATGCAGTGACATCAGCAGCCGGTGGTGCACAGTTTTGTTGACAATAAACACAGAGATATTACAGGTAGGAAACAGTTTTGTTGTTGTCTATGTTCTTGAACAGACTCCATGTCATCACTGTCATCACTGTCCTGCAGAAGTACTCCTGTCTAAATCTGGAACAGTCTTCCTGAAAATGTAATACCCTGGCAGTTTTCAGATCCAGGTTAAAAACAGTTCTGAGGGTTACTGAGCCTTTTTCATACACTTTTAATATTTATGATTTTAATCCCATGTGTGACTTTAATGCTTTAAGGTTTTCAACTACTTGTGTGATTTTACTTTCACTGTTTTTAATCATTCTTGTGATCTTAGTGTTTGTGTAGATTTTTATGTTTATGCCTGATGTGATATGGGTTGTGAGGCGCTTTGTGTTGCCTTGTGTAGGAAAGATGCTCTTCAAATAAAAGTTGATTGAGTGATTGACTAATATTTCCCGTAGTTGTGTGTTGAATATGACCCTCACAGAACATTGAGCCCCTCTAGGTGAAGGTGGAGGGCCTGGACAGAAGGTGAGGGGCCCGATCCCTGACGCAGAGCGGACTGTGGCCTGGAGCAGGAGCCGCCTACAGAGAGAGTAAAGTAAACACACATCCTCTAGAGAAGGGCGTGATGCACACAGGCCGTAGTCCTGAACACAAGTTCCATGAGTGCACAGCAGGCGCCTAGCAACGACCAACTGTCCATCCACCAGCAGACAGAGAGAGGACCCCAGAGAGAGAGGGGCCCAGAGAGAGAGGGCCCCACAGAGAGAGAGATGACCCCAGAGAGAGAGGACCCCACAGAGAGAGAGGGCCCTAGAGAGAGAGGACCCCAGAGAGAGATGACCAGAGAGAGAGAGAGACAGAGAGAGAGGACCTCAGAAAGTGAAACAACTCTGGTCTTAAAAAAAAAGAATCAACTTCTAGAATCTGTCAGAAGTCCAACTGAACCTCTTTGGACAATCTCGTTCTTCCACAATTTCTCGACTGTATTTTTGCTGGTTGCAGGCGCAGGTTTCAGTCACATCCCGCTGCACAGACGCACATCTCCATGGAGAGCGGCATGGCAACGGCTTTCTTTAGCTGAAGAGACGAGGGGACAGAGTGGACAAAAGCATCCATACAACCAGCGCGGAGCAAAGATGAAATTACATAGGAGAAAAGAGGAGTGTCATGACTCATGAGGACGTCTACAAACACACACAGAAAAAACACCAGCTCTGTACGAGACTGGGGAGAGAACATTTGTTGACAATTTCCTAACAAAGATATATCTATTTTTGCAAGTAAACTCTTCAAACATAATTATTGGGGTCATAACATACATAATCTGTGGCATTTTTTTTTTTTTTTCTTGAACAGTGGTCCCAACCCTGGATTTGACCCCACCCTTTCTTTCAAGCCCCACATCCGCAACCAACATCACCAAAACAGCCTTCTTTCATCTTAAAAACATTGCCCGTCTTCGCCCATATCTGTCCTCCACCGCTGCTGAAACCCTGATCCATGCTTTCATATCCTCCAGACTCGACTTCTGCAACAGTCTTTTATACGGCCTTCCTTCATCTGATCTCCAAAAACTGCAATATGTCCAAAACTCCGCCGCCCGCCTCGTCACTCAGACTTGCTCCAGAGAACACATCACCCCTGTCCTTCATAAACTCTATATGACTTCGCTCCTCCATACCTCACTGAACTTCTACAGCCCTACAGTCCCTCCGTCGACTCTGATCTGCAGACTCACATCTCCTCACTCCCACCGTTAAATCCAAGCACCGAACCTTGGGGGCGCCGAGCTTTCGCCACCTCTGCTCCCACTCTGGAACTCTCTTCCCCCTAATCTCAGAAACTCGGACTCACTTAACTCCTTCAAAAAACAGCTAAAAACTCCTTCCTCCAAGCATATGACTCTTAGTTTACTCTTCTTTCCTGCTTTTAGATTTTTTAGTTTTAGATCTGTTTTTGTTTATCCGAGTCTAAACAAACTTTTCTTACTTGCACTGTTTTTACTCAGTTCTTCTTATTTTGTTTCTGAATCTATACCCTGATGATTTGGTTGCACTGAACAGCCATTGTTGTTCGAAGGAAAATATATTTGCTGATCACTCAGTTCGTCTGGTCTGAGCGGAGCCTTACTTTGGAAAATATTGATTCTGATGTTCTAAAAATACGAGTGGTCGATCGTACCTCTGCTCCCACTCACAGGGGTCTTAAGTGGTCTTCTCATCTCATCACTTGTAGAGGGATTAGTGGGAGACAAAAAGGAGCTAAAAAGCACAACCATAAAATCTTAGTGAAACATTTTTCAGAAGAACCGCATCATAAGGTTAAAAGTAAATATAAATAATGCATTGATTTTAAATAGGACTTTTTTGAACACTAAACTAAACTACTACTATAGCCACAGCTGACCTTGGGCACACTGATAGAAGCGCGGCAACCAATCTGCACTCAATCCAAGAATTGTGGGGGAAGTGTCTTGCCTGAAGACACAACAGCAGTTTGACACTTTACACCTTCAGCTTTCCCAATGTGCCAACTGGAGTCGCCAAAGGTCTCCCATCACTGCACTAACCAGGTTCTGCCCTGCTTAGCTTCAGGGGTCTGCCGGGGTCTGTCTTTCACGTAAAGGTGGCGCTACAATTTACAAAGTGGGGAACAGATTGAGTCTTGTAAGAGTTAAATCAGACACAACCTACTTTCTCCATCTAATTAGAAAACATTATATATTTTGCTAACTTAAGAAAGAGCCCTGGAGTCACTGTTTGATGCTTTGAGCTGATTGGCTGAGTGAACGGGGTCCTCTCATAATCACTTTTTCTACAGTTGTGACAGAGGCCAAAGATACATACATGTGAAAACTATAGAACTAACTACTTTAGACTAAGGAACTACTTTTACTACTGCTATTTTATTACTTAGTTCTCTTTTGTGATTTGAAACTTATGTACCCCAGTATTCTGCAGAGGAATTCAATTTGGAGATGACTATCAAAAACATTCATCTTTCATTGTGATGCACAGACCAACCTCATAAATTATGATATCATAAGAATTGGTGAAAAAGGCAACATTTCCTGACCACGCCCCCTCAAGTCCCCCGCGTTAACCCCTATTATGTTTGTCAACCGTTCAGTGGATCACTTCTGAGTCACTACTTCTACTTGAAACTTGGAACTAAAATATTTATCACTTGGTTTTAGGCACTTTTACCATCAAAGTGCATATCAACCATTTGGTAAATCCCTGCAATTAAAAAAAAATACTTAAATTTTACTTGAATGAAAGTTTATTTTAACATAGAATAAAAACAAAAGAATATGAGCAAAAAACTCCAAACGCCAAAAAATACAAGACAACAAAGAAAATAATGTCAACAACAAGACTTTAAGATTTTACCACATCTTTTTTGGAAAGAACCGCCCTCTTCACTTTTTGAAATAAACTCTCTGGTCTTATTTGAGGAGCACGTTTCACCAGAATGATTGACAATTAGGAGGGCCAATAGTCTTGATGATGCACCCGGAAGTATAAAATCTTCTTTATACCTTCGCCTACTCACGTTTAATACGTCATTTTAAGTCACTAATGCACTAGGATTGAAAAACCTGCTCTGCCACTCTTTCATTAGTTGCCATACATAATTATATCCTGTTTTTAACCTTACCATGTACATTTCTCCGGTGTGAGATCAATAAAGTTTATTATTTTATCTAATGTTCAAAAGACGCCAAAACGTATCAAATCCCACCCTTTCCCCCCATGTTTAAAAAAGTGTTATTACTGCTCCTAGCTTGTAGAACTTAAAAAAATAATAATTCATTTCTTTCCCCAAGGAGTGAACATTAAAGGGTTAAACACGCAGCAGTCTCTCTCTCTCTCCTCAGTCGCACACTACACACAGCTACAATAACAGACCCATGCCACACACGCACACGCACACGCACCATGCCTTCTCTCTCGCAGCCTGAATAGACCAGCGCGCTTTGGCACACATGGCTCTATTATAACATCGTTTGGCGCGAATGGATCTATTTTAACAACATCGTTTGGCACGCATGCTCCCAGCGCAGGCATGGATCCAGCTCAGAGCGGGACTCAGCAGCAGGGGCAGGGGCAGCAGCAGGGGCATCAGCAGCAGCAGGAGTTCCACGCTCTGGCGCTGGACACGGCTCTGAGCACCCTGGCCGCGCTGCTCGTCTATGTGGCGGTTAAAGTGAGCGTGGACGGGGTGAGGACGTGGAGGGCGCGGGTGTCGGTGCTGGTGGTGGGCTCCGGTCCCGTGGGGCTGACGGCGGCTCTGGTGGCGGTGCGCTCCGGGAAGGTGCAGCGGCTGACCGTGATGGATGAGAGGTGGGTCTGACGCACGGTCTGGAGAGGCACTGCGCGACTTTCTCATGTGGTCTGGTGTTGTGGCTGAGTAGAGATGTTGTTGCTCTGATGGGGAGGCGGATATTCATTTGTTTGTATGGTTGGATGTGTTTCTGCTGCTACTGGATCTATCTATCTGTCTCTATATTATCTATCTATCTCTAACATATATATCTATCTATCTATCTATCTCAAAATTATCTATCTATCTATCTCAAAATTATCTATCTCTAACTTAACTCTCTCTTGCTTATCTATCTATCGCTAACTTAACTATCTCTTATCTATCTATCTATCTATCTCAAAATTATCTATCTATCTCTAACGTATCCATTTATCTCTAACTTATCTATCTATATATCTCTAACTTATCTCTATATCTATCTATCTCTAACTTATCTATCTATCTCTAACTTATCTATCTATCTCTAACTTATATATCTATCTATCTCTAACTTATCTATCTATCTATCTCTAACTTATCTATCTCTAACTTATCTATCTATCTCTAACTTATATATCTATCTATATATCTTTAACTTATCTATCTCTAACTTATCTCTCTATCTCTAACTTATTTATCTATCAATGTTGGCTACGTCAGGATATACAATTTAAAACATGATTTTAAGTTTGTTCATGTCACAAGAATCTGATTTAGACTCTAGAGTTTTGAGTCTATTCTTTTGTAAAAATTTGCAGATGTTCTGAATAACTTGTACCTACTTCCTTTTGAAAAGCAAAAGGAGGGGTAACTATTCAACTTTGTCTGAGGGCTGGCTTTGACAATAGCTTGTGTATAGATGGACAAGGCCCCTCTTGCTCAATGAAGACCAATAAGGAAGTATTCATGGGTGAAGTTTTACTCCAACTCGTTCTGGCTCATATTGACTTGCATAGAAAAAAATAACTCCTCAGTAACCATGTCACACTCATCATTTTGGGCTTTAATAATCCACGTTTTAGAATGGATGCAATAATGGTGTTTATCATGAGGAAATTGGCTCTAGCTAATTTATGTTCACATCGTCTGGGAACAGATGGACAGATTATTAAAAAATACCGTAAATTTAAGACAGTGGTGATTTGCAAAGACCTGCACTGTACCATAAGTGAACAGACCGTGACCCGTGTGAATTCTATGATTTATAAACACAGGGTCCGGAGTGCGCTGCTGTGCCGGCCGCAGCAGATCGCCTTGGACCCCCGCAGTGTGAAGTTCCTGCTCCGGCTGGGGGTGGACTTCGACAACATGGAGGGCTGCTGGCGCGGTGAGCACTTCTTCACCCGCATCGGTGTGTTCCAGGAATATCTACTGAGCATCCTGGAGCAGAGGAAGCACAGCGTGGACGTCAAGGTGCAGCTGGGGACCAAGGTAAGGGACAACACTGGGAATTAAAATCATTTGTACACTGTGGCGCATATTTAGGAGAACTCACAACAGCAGCCGGTCACACATTAAAGGAGACGTATTGTGACCGTTTTTTTTGTTTTGAGTTTTTAACCATGTTGCTACAATGCCTTGTCAGAAACAGACTGTTGTGGTTTGGGTTTATTTCCTTTTTTATGTTGTATTTTGTTAACCCCTGTGTCTTCTTTAATGTGTTACTTCCTGTTTCCTGATTACCTGCCCCGCCCTCATCTGTATCACTTGTGTCTTGTTAGCCTTGTATTTTTCGACCCCGTCTGTTCCTTCACTTCCTGTTTCATCATTTTCTTTCCTTGTCTGTTTTATTTCCTGTCTTCAGTTACTTTTTGTATTCTCATATACGTTTTATTTTATTAAATCCATAATTGTTTAATTTTTGGGTTATTTTCCTTTTTCCAACCGTGACCAACCCTGAGTTTGTTTGTATTTTAGTATCAGAGGTAGTATTTATGAAACTAGAAAAGCACATTACACTACTGCCAAGTTGTTGAGGAATATTAATCATTAACATTGGAGAATGTCATCCAGTTTGCAAATATTTGTTTAATGTTTAAAATGTTACATAACCTGGCACCTCCAACAATACAATACAATTTATTCTTGTATAGCCCTAAATCACAACAGTATCATTTCAGAGGACTTAACAAAACCATTGAAATCACCAGCACAGATCAGAGAATCAAGAGTTAAGACACAAAAAGAATATAGAACACTTGTTTAAAAAAAGAAATTCCGTCACTAAATATAATGTCTTTGTGTGAAGGTGTGAGGGGGTTAGACTCAGATCCACCAGAGCCACATCCACAGGGGACTGTTGCATGACATAACATATGGATAATCAGGATAATCAGGTGTGCTGTCATTAACATCATGTAAATACTGTATGTTGTTTATACTGGATTGTGTTTCTTGCTGCATTGTACCTCTATTTTATTTTCTATGCAGGCAATCCTTTTTATTCAGTCTTGGCAATGGCTGGTCTGTACAATACATTTATTGTACAATGTCCTTGTCAACTAAATAAATAAATACAAATAAAAATGAAAATAGAGCCTTGTATCCACGGTGGTTTGGATTTCCTCCAGAATTGAAGGACTTGTTCACTGAGCACATGTTTCCAGACTATTTTGTCAAAATCCTCCCATCATTTTTTGCGTAACGTTTCTCAAAGACAAACAAAATACGGTGATTACTTCACCTCCTATGCCCAAGTAATAACACACAACTGTTTTAGAGTAAGTCATGTTTATTTAGTTAGTGCATTTTACAGACCAAGATCACCAAAGCACTTTACAATGTTCAGAACTCAGATGTTGTTCCATTCTCTCCACACAGAACATGGCGAAGACATTAATGCCTCCAACCAACACCATCCATTCATTCGCTCTTTACATTCATACCTATTGTACATGTTTTTAGTGGTAGGGGAAACTTGAGCACCCGGAGGAAACCTACATGTAAACACATGTTAACATCACTTAAAGCTGCACTAACTGACTTTGGGATTTTGAAGCCGCGGACTCGCTGGCCTCTCTCTTTCTGCTCCCCTCCCCGCACCCACGAAGCTATCGCCCCCCACACACACACCCACTGTTGGGACGGAGCTAGTGTCTCCCAATATGAATATTATGGATATATGGATTTGCACGTGGATGGCGTGACCATAGAACCATAGAACGGGAAGCACGGAGGAACGGGACTTTCTTTTGGATGTCCCACGAAGCTTCAGGTTAGCTCCGCCGCTTGTTGTGCTAACTCAGCCGTCTATGCTAATGGGCCTGTAGATTTCTCACGAAAGTGGGGGCTAGTGGTCCGCTGTGATTGGTCACAATCTGCGACCCGAAACACGTTCTCTTCCTTGTTTCATCAAAACTCAATCTAAAATATAATGTCACGCCAGCACAAATCTGTGCTACTTTTTCTTCAAAAGGACGTATATCCCAATGCACTACATGGACATGGATAGCATTTTCGTAATGAATAAAAAAATAAAGTCAGTTAGTGCAGCTTTAAGACCCCGTACAGGATCTAATCACTGAGAAGCAAGAGTGCTATCCACTCAGCCACTGTGTGTCCCATGGCCGTTGCTTCCATGTAGGTCAGGTGAAGAACGTTATAAAACTACACACAAGTCAAACAAGGGACAATACTTTGCATGTCGCCTGCGTCATGAGCCTCATAAACACTTTATGGCGTCACGGACAGAGCTGTTTCCTGCCTTCTTTTTTTGTTTTGCCTTCAAATCAGTTTGGGGAATTTCTTTATATCTTCAACTGTGTGCATTCAACATAACATAACCGCTGTCCCTCTTGGTAAGGAATAAAATAAGTTACCAAACCGCCGGTATGTAATGCATAGAACCTAGATTAGCATGTACCCAAGCCCCGGTGATCCGAGATGGCGCCCTATTCAAATGAATGGCCTGTGCTCAGTAGCGTATGGGACTTCACGGAGACGGAGTCTATATTTGGGCATCGTCTGGTCCTCCCGGTTCTGCGCAGTGGATGAGCTTCCATGATGCGTTGCGCTAAACGTGTGTGTGTGGCTTTCATGCACGTGCACAGAGGGGCTCGGCTGGGCTCTGACCAATCAGAGCTGCTTATCAGAGCAGCAGCTGAGCAAAATCAGCGCGGGAAGGAAAGGAGCAGAGTTTGTGGCAGTAAAGTGTAGATTTAAAGAAAACCGAAGGATTTAAGAAGAAAAAAAAGTTCAGGATGACAAGGGACACTAAAATCCCCACAAAATCCGATATTTCTGAAAGCTGTAGGTTCTTTGTCAGCTGAGGTCGAGTTGTTTTAATTTACATTGAGTTCTATGAGACTTTTTTCTGGGTAGCCCGCATGAATTTAGTCTGAGTACCACGGGCGCCCCCTGTGCCCATGGGTGGGACAGCTTTAAGCTAGTAATACCCTATCCAGTTATTATTATAGATCCATGCATGTACCAAACAACCAAACAATCAAACGGCTCCCCTCTAGTCCAGGGGATCATAAGACCAACAGATGAGACAGGGTTCTGACCACCGACCGTTGCTAAACCAGGACTTGTGAGCCATGACAGGGACCAGCTGGTGTGGCCATAAGCAAAACACCTGCCCTCCAGTGGGGCTTTCAACACGCTCAGTAGAGTATGGAAGGCACACCGCTTGACGTGAGAGTCTAAAATAATCTATAGTCAGTCCACATTCACACTGTTTCCTCACGCAGTTTCTCATCACAGAGAAAGCACTAGCAGTGTCCTTATTATATTCCACCAGTTTTTTTTCCACATTCTTAAACATCAAATACCAAAGTACAAACACAATGCACAACAGTAGTCCTTCTAAATCCTCATCCTTTAGTTATGCATGTGTTGATACAAGTATAAAAACACATGTCTTGAGCCTGCTTCCTCTTTCCTCTTTCCTCTGCACGAACACTCACTGTGATTGAGCGTGTTTCCGCCACATTAAGTGCTGTTGCGAACCCAGCGAGCGAACACGAAGTGGCTCTTCCATCAACCGGAGTTAAAGCCGAGCTCCCACCTGCTGCTCTCTCGCTGCTCAGAGACCGACTGACCTTGTTAATGAAATGTATAATGGCTCTCCGGCAGGATGATGAGTGGCTGTTGCTAAGTCGAGTTGTTATCTGAACTTCGAAGCAACACTAATTACAAGGAATGAATTAAGTTAGAAGCATGGCTAACAGCACCAATTTTCAAGTCCGTTTTTATGTCACGTTGCCATCTGTAAAGTAACTCGAAGTTCAAAAATGTAACTTGCAAAAAGCACAGGTGTATGGTTTTAAAAGTGAAGAGTAAAAGTGCTATTATCAAGGCAAGGCAAGGCAAGTTTATTTATATAGCACAATTCATACACAAGGCAAATCAAAGAGCTGAACAAAATAAGGAAGCATTAAAATCATAAATAATCACTGATATTTAAATAATCATAAATATCAGGCAAAAAAGCTCCCCTCTCTCTGGGGCCAGGACTCCCAAGATTCTGAAAATGTCTTGGGACTGAGTCATGGTTAAATAAAGGTAAATAAAAATAAAATATGTAAATAATAATAGTAAAATAATAATACAAGTAATAAGACTGAAAGATATATCAATGTTGAGATATAGTAAAATTAACAGCAAAGGTGTTAATATGAAAAAAGCAACCAAATAAACAATAAAAATTTCCGTATAGAATTGAGGTAGATTTGTAGTACAAGTTTTTTTAATTGCTATTTCTATTTTTCATTGAACTTTATATTATATGTAAAATACAATCCGTATTCGCAGGACTATAAGCCACTACCTTTCACAAGTGCTTTAAAGCCTGTGGCCTATGCAGCAATGCAGCCGATGTCTGTATCTGTATTGTGCTGGAGTATCTCCTGGGCACAGGGAGGAATGTGGACAGCTCTATCAGCTGTGGTTTATGTTTATGTGAACAGCAGACAGACCCACAAAATACAAGGGACTTGTTTATTCATAGGCTGTTGTCAGAAAAGAGATTATGGACGTATTACTGTGACTCAATTCAAGGTTAGTAGCTTTAAGACACAGGTTTATTGTCAAAATAGATTGGTAATTGAGTCCCGACATGGAAGCAAACCGTTGTCTCAGGCAGGAGGCTGCGGTCCATCAGGACTAGAACCTCCCTCCACAAGAACAGTTTCTTCCCCTCTGCTGTTGGACTCTTGAACACTTGAACACTTCTTAACCTCCCCGCCCTCTAGAAGTTCTACTGCTCTTTATAAAGTCACTTTACTGCCCATCATACGTCACTTTACTTCACTGTACGGCTGCCACCTTACATTGTGTGCACCATGTGCACTGTATATTGTAAATAGTAACTGTAACTCTATTTAAAATTTAAATTTATTCCTTAGAAATGTTTTTTATTCTCTATTCTTTATTATGCCTCTCTACCCTTACTTCTCTTTCTGACTGTTGCACTGAGCCAAAGCAATTTCCAAGTCTGTGACCTACAGTTACTTACGTGGCAATAAAAATGATTCTGATTCTGATGTTTGCCTCCTCAAAGATGTTATTTACAAAAGTTCATTACGACTCACAGTGAGGTTAAACACTGTCAACACTTGTCTATTGGCTTTGTTTTTCCCCATCAGCTGTTGGTTAAGTGTTATATTAACATTAACACCTACAGGTTATATTCAATTGCGGCCTATGGTGACAATATTTACTTTTAACATTTAGCTGGTGCACTTTATCTATAGATGCGTCCGTACAGTGCTGCAGTGACTTGCCACCTCTTATCCAGAGAAAAATCCACTGCTTAGACTTAGTTTGTTCACTCTGTTGAGATGGATGTTGGTGAAAAAATAGAAACAAGAAAAACATGTGTATCCTGGATGAGACACCGTAGGCTAAATGTATTTCTGTTCCGACCTTTGGAAAGCAGAGAATTGTTTGCACATGATCCAGCAGCATGTGTGGGGTCAAAGGAGAGGCAGCGTGAGGCCCTTTTCTCCAGAATGCCCCGAAAAGCAGCAGTTTCCTACAGAGGGCTTATATCAGGCACCTGAACCACACAGTAGTTGGTGTCTAATGCGCACACAATCACAGTCAAACATACAAAGATGATGACCAAATGGAGGCCAGGCGAGGTATGCTGAGCCGTTGTGAGTGTCCTAGTTTATTCAAAGGCGTGATGTAATGTGATTGTGTGGGATCATTTACACATGACCCAAAAGCTCAGACAAAGCTCCCTGTGTGGCCTGAAAACAGAAAATTACACATCAATACCTAATATTATATCTTTCTCATGTCAACTGCTACTGTACTTTATAATGGTTAAGCAAATGGCGGGACCCGGTCTGGACTGGACTAGAAGATCCACTATTGATTTAGAATGGGCTCATAAAGGTAGTAACTGTAACCTATAGAACTACCAAGCCCCGCCCACTTCACGGTCCGCTCCAGTTACCGCTGTGATAATCTTCATTCATTTTTCATAACGGAAAGAAAATGTGTCAACTACTATTCTCAGTGTGGTAGTTATTAACCCAATTAGCACATTTGATACACAACATTCTGCAAAAAATGGGTTTCAATAAAAAATGTAGGTCTTGTGGTTATTATTCACATTAAATAGTCGTCTTTTCTTCTTTTAATAATCCTTTTTACACCTCTGTAACCGCATGTATCACTGCTGTGTTTAGAGACAGACCTATATATACATATATCGGTCCTCAACATAATCACTTTGTTCAGACCAACCTACCAAAAAAAAATCAAAACTTTCATCCAATTAAAGTATTAAGAAATGCGTGTATTCATTGATTGGTCTTGATTGTTTTCACTGCTTTTGACAGCTGCAGCAGTGCTCAGACCAGGTTTGATATCTCCGTGACCGCACTTCAGCAGTTGTGAGTCCAGGTGGTTAGAAAAGTGTATGAAGAAATCCTGTATAATGGTTTAGATGGTGGACCCCTGGTGGCTGGACTGTGACCCTGCATCAACACAGTCAGCATGGCCTTGGAATAATCAAGGTCAGGAGACAATGAGAAACTCTGTACATAATGAGCCGGAGAAATGCAGTAAGATCAAATACTGAAATCTTATGTGAAGAGATGTCTTTGTGTGACATCACAGAGTTTCCGATGTCTCCTAGATACTCTTTGTACAGAGAAGAGAGTCGATACTAATGTATTTTTGTCTATTTTATTCCAACTTCAGCAGTTTCTCCCTTTGGCACTATTTTTTGTTAGTTAGATAGTTAGAAACATTTATAATATATGTACTTACGTGTTTGTATGGATGTGTTTCTGCTGCTGGACACCTTCATTTCACCTACAGCGGATCAAGAAAGTATCTATCTATGAATAAATGTCCATGTTTTGCCTCTGAAAACCTGGTAGCTTCACTCAGCTCCTCTCTGGCAGTAGCGACATGATCTTTTTGTGAATTCATTTTGGGCTGAATTAAGCTTTCAGACCTAGTTATGATGTGAACCCTTGAGATGTGTGAGTTCTGACACACAAAAAATACATTTAAAATATACAAGCGACCCAGATATGCACTTTAATTATAGTGACATGTTTTCTCTGTGCATTTTATTGTCTATATTTCCCTGTGTGTACCCTGTGTGGTTTCTTATATTACTGCTGATTGTTTCTGGTTTTGCACATTGACAATCGTTGAGTCAAAGCAATTTACAGCGAGTCCAAAGCATTTCTCCTGTGCGTGTCCTGTCCTGCTCTGCCCTTTTCAAACCGCTGTCTGCTTTATTAGGCCTCTGAAGCATCCACAGCAAACATTATGACCTCCTGCTCCCTCTGACACACGACAGCTGTCACCGGAGTGGCCTCGGAATCATAAATGTGTCTTAAGTAAATTCTGGCTCTAACTAATTGTGTCTCCTATTACGTGTGTGTGTGTGTTTGTTTGTGTGTGTGTGTGTGTGTGTGTGTGTGTGTGTGTGTGTGTGTGTGTGTGTGTGTGTGTGTGTGTGTGTGTGCGTGTGTGTGTTTAAATGGGGGCAGTGTTGAGCTGTTTGTCCCCTTACTCAAATATGATACTAAAATACTGGAATTGCAATTTCATCTCCACTTCAATAATGTATTTTGTTTTTTATGTTGGATTTTTACAGTCAACACATTTTAATTTCAAAATAAATCTACTCCTTTTTATCATCTCATTTCTTTGTTAAGCCTTTTTTTCTTTTTTCCCAAAGTTCCTTACCTTTTTCTACTTTTTATAGATTTTTCTGTTATTTATTTTGTAGTCCTCTATCTCTAATTAGTCCCCGGGCCCTACCTTTTGTCTATTTCTCATAATTTCTGAACAAAATTAAACATTTAGAAGTATTTATTTTTATATATAATTTTAAGACGCATCAACGCATTTCAACAACAACAGGTTCTAATTGAAATAACCCCCCAATCATCCACAACATCCAGTGGAGCAGACGGCTGGCTTCAACCTCACCTTTTCACATCCATACAGCGCTCCCTATACTTCTCTGTAACACAATGCAATCCACCTGCTGGAGTTTAGTTAGAAACTGTGCAAACTCTGTGTGATACATATGGATACTTTTTTTCAGCTTTCGCTTCAATAAATGCGAGTGATATGTGTTTGGGGCGACAGTAGCTCAGTTGGTAGAGCATTGGCCTTCAGGCCTGAAAGTCGTGGGTTCAATTCCCACCTCTACACCTTCTCCACCGTCTCCCACTGATGACTGCTGTCGTTGTGTCCTTGGGCAAGACACTTAACCCCACTTTGCCCCAAAGCCCCCACTGAAAGATCAAGGCTCTGCTCACACTCAGAGAGCAGCCGTCCTCCTGTGGACTCACCACCTGCAGAGGGTCAGTGAGGGGCTGGTGCTATGAGACTTGGGTGGCATCTCTGACTGCCACCCCCCTGACCCAGAAATGGATTAAAGGGTAGAAAATGGATGGATGGATGGATATGTGTTTGTTTGTGAGTTTAGATAGTGCTAAAGTCAGCTTCATTTCATCTAACAAACTGGAAACCCAAATGAGAGCCACCTTCTGTTCTCTGATTGGATATTCAGCTTGACATAAATACTATGTATGTTATATTTTTACTCTTTTTCCACTTAAAAATTTGGTTCAGAAATGGACAAATATATATTTTACATGTTAACAATCTCAGGACACATAAAAAACAAAGTAGATGCAATTTAAAATGAATTGATTACATAAGGTCACTTTTTAATTTAAAAGTTGTTGATCAGTTTGGAGATTGAAACTAAAATCCCAGATTTTTATTGAAAAAGCCTTGTCACAAGTCGGGCTGACTCTATCTTCTGTGTCCCTGCAGTTCTGTGAGGAGTACCTGCGGCGCCTGCCCTCCGCAGACTGGCCGGGGGTGCTGGTGGTGGCTGACGGCTCCTGTGGAGAGTCCTGCTCCGTGTTGGGGCTGAGCTCGGACTACAGCGTGGAGTCGTGTCAGGCCTACGGAGCCAACGCCACCATCGAGAGGCTGGACCAGAGGCAGGTCAGCTCCGAGCTCACTGCATGGCCTGTCTGTGGGGACTGGGTTTGGGATCTGAATGTTTGCGGTTTTGTCTCTGCACATTGCTGGCACACACACACACACACACGGCTGAACGATATTATCATTATCGATATCAAGATAGGAACATTCAATACTTAACTTACACCTGTATTCCAAGAGCAGGTTGTTGTAAAGAGCATGTTGTCCTTTCACAGCCCAGAGTCACAAAGCTTTACGATTGCGACACAGAAAGGCCCTGTCTGGAGGTGGATTCAAACCCAGCACATTCTTACTGTGAAGCATGTGCTAACCACTGCGCCAATGTGCCGTCTGAAGGGGACATAACCTAAAAAAGTTCTCAGATTTTGTCATATACAAATATCACACACACCCACGATTCATGCATGTTTGAGTTTTTTATATGCTTGTTTATGCACGCCTCCATTGCTCTCCCCTCAGTCCGCTGAGCGCCGGCATATATACAATCAGAGGACCTTATATATACAGTGCCTTGCGAAGGTATTGAACCTTTCAACATTTCGCCACATTTCAGGCTTCAAACATAAAGATATAAAAATTAAATTTTTTTGTCAAGAATCAACAACAAGTGGGACACAATCGTGAAGTGGAACGAAATGTATTAGATAATTTAAACTTTTTAAACAAATAAAAAACTGAAAAGTGGGGTGTGCAATATTATTTGGCCCCCTTGCGCTAATACTTTGTAGCGCCACCTTTTGCTGCAATTACAGCTGCAAGTCGCTTGGGGTATGTCTCTATCAGTTTTGCACATCGAGAGACTGGAATTCTTGCCCATTCTTCCTTGCAAAACAGCTCGAGCTCAGTGAGGTTGGATGGAGAGCGTTTGTGAACAGCAGTCTTCAGCTCTTTCCACAGATTCTCGATTGGATTCAGGTCTGGACTTTGACTTGGCCATTCTAACACCTGGATACGTCTATTTGTGAACCATTCCATTGTAGATTTGGCTTTATGTTTTGGATCATTGTCCTGTTGGAAGATAAATCTCCGTCCCAGTCTCAGGTCTTTTGCAGACTCCAACAGGTTTTCTTCCAGAATGGTCCTGTATTTGGCTCCATCCGTCTTCCCATCAATTTTAGCCATCTTCCCTGTCCCTTCTGAAGAAAAGCAGGCCCAAACCATGATGCTGCCACCACCATGTTTGACAGTGGGGATGGTGTGTTCAGGGTGATGAGCTGTGTTGCTTTTACGCCAAACATATCGTTTTGCATTGTGGCCAAAAAGTTCGATTTTGGTTTCATCTGACCAGAGCACCTTCTTCCACATGTTTGGTGTGTCTCCCAGGTGGCTTGTGGCAAACTTTAAACGAGACTTCTTATGGATATCTTTGAGAAATGGCTTTCTTCTTGCCACTCTTCCATAAAGGCCAGATTTGTGCAGTGCACGACTGATTGTTGTCCTATGGACAGCCTCTCCCACCTCAGCTGTAGTTATCTGCAGTTCATCCAGAGTGATCATGGGCCTCTTGGCTGCATCTCTGATCAGTCTTCTCCTTGTTTGAGATGAAAGTTTGGAGGGACAGTCGGGTCTTGGTAGATTTGCAGTGGTCTGATAGTCCTTCCATTTCAATATAATTGCTTGCACAGTGCTCCTTGAGATGTTTAAAGCTTGGGAAATCTTTTCTTTATCCAAATCCGGCTTTAAACTTCTCCACAACAGTATCTCAGACCTGCCTGGTGTGTTCCTTTGTCTTCATGGTTCTCTCTGCGCTTTAAACAGAACCCTGAGACTATCAAAGAGCAGGTGCATTTATACGGAGACTTGATTACACACAGGTGCATTCTATTTATCATCATCAGTCATTTAGGACAACATTGGATCATTCAAAGATCCTCACTGAACTTCTGGAGTGAGTTTGCTGCACTGAAAGTAAAGGGGCCAAATAATATTGCACGCCCCACTTTTCAGTTTTTTATTTGTTAAAAAAGTTTAAATTATCCAATAAATTTCGTTCCACTTCACAATTGCGTCCCACTTGTTGTTGATTCATGACACAAAATTAAAATAGTATATCTTTATGTTTGAAGCTTGAAATGTGGCGAAATGTTGAAAGGTTCAAGGGGACCGAATACTTTCGCAAGGCACTGTATATCAGGTTGCACTTTCAGGTTGCACTTTGTCGCCTCGCTCTTGGAAACTGCCAGTGAAATTCTTTGTGATTAATGTGGAGGATTGGATTCCCCACAGAAGCAGTAAACATCTCTCGTGTCAGAGCAGAGCGTGACCACAGCAGCTCTCTGTGACTGCAGGTGACGGCAGGACACAGAATATTGTACTGAGTATGACATTGGCCGAGAAAAAAGCAGATTATAAACAGGATGACGAGGACCATTTGGGGATCTGGATCATGTTCATTTACTTTGAAGCAAAAATATTACCTTCATGTAATCTTTTGCATACTTGTCTGTAGAGATCAAAAATACATGTGAAACTAGTGATAGTGGCAAACTGTTGTAAGAGCAAGAAACTATTTACTGATATAACACACTTTTTATTGTGGTTTGAAAGTTGGGAATAACAGCTCTAACACAATTGATGAATCCAATTTGTTCTTTAAAAATGCAGAGCCAAAACAAAACAGTATTTCACATTGTTGCATTTTATATCTGCAAAATCCACAAGATGTATAATGGTGGATGATTCACCGCTGGTCAAACGCACAAGTCAAGGTGAGGGCTCAGCATCACCATGACCATACACACACACACACACACACACACACACACACACACACACACACACACACACACACACACACACACACACACACACACACACACACACACACACACACACACACACACACACACACACACACACACACACACACACACACACACACACACACACACACACACACACACACACACACACACACACACACACACACACACACACACACACACACACACACACACACACACACACACACACACACACACACACACACACACACACACACACACACACACACCTCAGCAGGACCACGGCTCACTCCGCATGCCCATCACGTCCTCAGAAGATGGGCCACGGCAGCTGTTATTGGCCCCTGCGCTGGATGTTTCCTGTCTTGATTGAATTTACTGTAGCGCCCAGGATATGACCTGTCTGAACTTACCCCGCACCCACACACAAACAAACACACACACACACGCACACACACGTACATTATATCTGTACAGTTGAGCTTGAAAGACAGTTAACATGTTTTTCACAGGGATGCAAGTTTTTTTTTTTTTTTAACTTGACACAAATATATGAAATAGAATGTTGTTATTTCCCGTTCAGCCAAAAAAGAAAATGAGTGAGTCACAAGATGAAGTCAGCTGATGTGGTTTGTGGTTGATTGAGTAACTGATTGTTTGTTACTTTCCATCCATCCATCCATTTTCTACCCTTTAATCCATTTCTGGGTCAGGGGGGTGACAGTCAGAGATGCCACCCAAGTCTCACAGCACCAGCCCCTCACTGACCCTCTGCAGGTGGTGAGTCCACAGGAGGACGGCTGCTCTCTGAGTGTGAGCATAGCCTTGATCTTTCAGTGGGGGCTTTGGGCAAAGTGGGGTTAAGTGTCTTGCCCAAGGACACAACGACAGCAGTCATCAGTGGGAGTCGGTGGAGAAGGTGCAGAGGTGGGAATTGAACCCACGACCTTCTGGCCTTAAGGCCAATGCTCTACCAACTGAGCTACTGTCGCTCCAGTTGCTCTGTCGCTCTGTTACTTTCCAATTTTGAGAAAAGAGAGATGTGTTTTTTTGCAGCAAGCATCATTTCACAGCCAGTCCATGCACATCCCTCCTGCTTCCTGATTGGACAAAATGAATTAAAATCCCTGATAGACTGACTAAATTTGAACTACTCTGGTCTCTTTTGCCGCCCCTTCATCTCAGTGGGACTGTCCTGGTTAAATATAGGGGAAAAAAATCTCATCTCTGCCCTGAAATAACTGACCCATACTGGGGTCACTTATTTCAGGGTGTGGGACTGTATTATTCAAACCGTTTCAAAATTTGTACCATGTCTGTGTTTGTGTTCACGCTGACAAATGTGAATTGTGCAGAAATAAATAATCAAATAATCAAAAATGTATTCATATTTGATATAAATATTTTGTTATTTATTATCTGCTTTAACTTGTTTGCACCGAGAGCCAAAGCAATTCCCTAGTTTGTGACTTCCTGTTGCTCACATGACGATAAAAAAGATTCTGATTCTGATATTTTCTAAAAACACGTACTATTTCTGTACAGGGCCAGGTGGTCACAATATGTTTTCCTTTAAGATGAAACACATTTGAAGTTGTACAGACCTCTTTAAAATGTCAAATCTATTACACATTTTGTTAGAACGGATTTCTTTTTTGTGTTTTTACATTGAAATTAACTGCTATTTGTTTTTTTGGTGCTCTAAGAAAAATAAATGTTTGGAATTTACACTGACTAAACTTGACATTATTTTCCTTCTTTTTTTGTCTAACTGCTTGTATATTATTTGTTCAGGTGCCCACTCCGGAGATCCGCGCCCACAACCTGTTCTTCGACCTGTCAGCGTACGGCGTGGAGGCCCTCCGCGAGCACAAGAACCCCACGGCCAAACCTGGCTTCCACCTCAAGATCTATGGCACCCTGAGGAACCGCTACATGGCCCTGGTGTGTCCCGCCAGCGACGCCAAGATGGTGCGCTTTCTCCGCCACACGGCCAACGCCTCGGTGAGTGCGGCCAGTGAAAAAAACTAACATTTACTATTCTTGGGTTTCAAATGACGTCAGGGCAGTGGCGCGAATAACAAACGTAGGACAGGATGTGACGTTCCCTGGGGGTGCAGTCTGCCGGGTTTATACACGGAGATACTGTATAGTAGAAGAAGAAGCGCTGTCAAAATGCCATCTTTTTGTGCGGTGTACGCTTGTAGCAACCGCGCAAATAGAGAGAAAGAGAAGAGTTTCTTCTGGGTTCCAACTGTGGTCTCATATAAAGGAGTACACTTTGAAAAAATCACTCGAATGAGGCGGGCGAGGTGGATCAAGGCTTCCTCTTCTTTCCCTTCTTTCCCTTCTTCCTCTTCTTTCCCTTCTTCCCCTTTCTTTCTTCTTCTGTCTTCTTCTTCCCCTTCTTCCTCTTCCCCTTCTTCCCCTTTCTTTCTTTTTCTTTCTTCTTCCCCTTCTTCATCCCTAACCCTTCCAACATCTATGCAGCCACTCACAATGGCTTCAATCATTGTACCATTTCTAGTTTGAGAAATATTTTTTAGTACTCCCTTAGAATTGAGTGTCCCCGATTAAGATTTTATTTATGATTTTAATGCATTCATATTTTGTTCAGCACTTTGAATTGCCTTGTGTATGAATTGTGCTATACAAATAAACTTGCCTTACCTTGCCTTGATTTAAGGTTTTCAATGAGAGCAAAAATGGGAGAGTTGTCCCACCTCTGCTCATTCGCCCCCTTCTGGCCAGTTTAATGAAACCCAAGAATACTTTTTTATACTAATTAGCTGGCTCGATGCTCCAGATCAACTTTGACACCGCTGCAAAGATGACAACATACTCTTTACAACAACCCGCTCCGGGAACACAGGCGTATGTAAGCATGATTCATATACTGAGCAAATACACGCCCCCGCCTATTGGAAAAGAGGGTGGGGCCTCTAAAATAAACTGTATTTGTTCCACACGAGTGCCTTGACACAAAAACATGTGGCTTCAGAAGCTCAAACTGCTTTCATAAAAAAGTGACGATTGGTTTCTAGATTAATAAGAATAAAAACGTCACTTAGTTTGGAATATCTCAGGAACAGAGGCACATAGATACACATGGTTTCCACCTCCTGACAGATGAAGTGTTATGTTTCACACCTGGTATAGCACGATGCCAACCTACGACAAAGAATACTCCAAATGTTGTGAAAAATAGTCTAGATTTCTGGAACTTGAGATCAAAGCTGAGGAAAACAGCCTGGTATTCAATGAGTTCATGTTTTGCTGTGCTCTTTCCCTCTTCAAATGAAAGAAACCATATCCTTTCATACCATATCATACCATTTTTAGATGATCAATTCTATTTTTTATTTTTGCTGCTACTGGACATCTATGCTATCTATCTACTGTATCTATCTACTGTATCTATCTATCTATCTACTGTATCTATCTACTGTATCTATCTATCTATCTACTGTATCTATCTACTGTATCTATCTATCTATCTATCTATCTACTGTATCTATCTATCTATCTATCTACTTTATCTATCTATCTATCTATCTACTGTATCTATCTATCTATCTATCTATCTACTGTATCTATCTATCTATCTACTGTATCTATCTATCTACTGCATCTATCTACTGTATCTATCTATATACTGTATCTATCTATCTACTGTATCTATCTATCTATCTATCTACTGTATCTATCTATCTATCTATCTATCTATCTATCTACTGTATCTATCTATCTATCTATCTATCTACTGTATCTATCTATCTATCTACTGTATCTATCTATCTATCTATCTACTGTATCTATCTATCTATCTATCTACTGTATCTATCTATCTATCTACTGTATCTATCTATCTATCTATCTACTGTATCTATCTATCTATCTATCTATCTACTGTATCTATCTATCTATCTACTGTATCTATCTACTGTATCTATCTATCTATTGCAGTCAATAATTCCCTTTGACTGACGTGTTCGAAAATGGATGCAGAAGTAAGGCAGAGATCTTCAAGTTTAACATCTGTATTTCATTTATCTTTACAATCAAATAACAGAAATTCAACCAGCTCCTATACTATCCATGTCCCTCTCTGGCCCTGGTCTGCTTCTCCAGTTCCCGCCTCCAGCCAGAGCATAAAAAGAACAGGAAGGAGGGGAGTGTCCTATCAGCCAGCTTCCGGTCTAGGGTCCAGCCTTTTCCTCCGTCTGCCAGACTCCTGATGGAGTGAGGTTGAAAAGTGCAGAAGTCAGCAGGCCAAGACTAGGGGGGTGAAATACAAACAGCAGAATCCATCTGGTGTCCAGTTGCTGGCACAAGAAGACACCTAAAATAAAATAAGAAGGACTGGCCTCCCACTTAGAGGTCGTTTAGGTCATAAAACACATGGTTTTAGAATGTCATGTATTTATAAATACAACAGTTTCCCTCTTTTGACCTGATTAAAAATTAGGTCACAATCCACCTCGTCGTTTATCATCAATACTTGTGCTTAGTTCCGGCTTGATATCTGTGAAGAGTTAATACAGAGAAAACAAACAACACACAACAAACCACATTTTTACCATTCCTTCAATACTATTTGATGACCACTGCTGTGTTATTCTGATTCTTCTTCAACCCTGTCTGTAATGTATGCACTAAAACTATTCACTATATAGTTTAAACTATTCTAATCTATTTACAAATATGTTTGCATATTTTTGCTTTTATTGAGCCCTATTCTTAAACATATGTTTCTATCTAATAAATCTATCTATACTGTGGTTTGCTTTCATTATCAGTGGCTTTGGGCCATTTCGTGGGGCTTTGCTCATTTTTCCAAATACATTTTGTTGAACCAGGAAGTGCTGTCCCTTCCTCCTCTCAGACCGTTTGGGATGAATGTACATCGTTAATCAAATTGGTATTATCCTTACAAGAGCTAATCCATTTTAGCAGGTTTCTCTGGGGTCAGTCCCTTTACAACGGTATTTTGATTCTCTAATCTGTTGCTGCCAAATCGACAGCTCTTAAAATTCTCAAAAAATACCTAAATATCTACTTTTGTGCTATACCCAAATACATTAAAATGCTTTTAAATGTTTTTGAATCTCTGTTGTTTCTAATCTATCTCATTAATCTATCTCATTAACTTTTGGCATTGTTACCATTCACCTATGTTTGAAACAAGCGAATTTGACAGTATCTAATAAACCTGTGCATAAACTGTAATGAACTTCATCTACCTTTGAAGTAAATACTTTTGGACATAATATGAAGGAAATGGTCCTTTCACCGCTTGATATTAGCCCTGTGTAAAAATAATCTCTATTTTTGAAAGCATCTATCTATTTTATACTCTATTGTGACTCCAAATCCTGGTTGTAGTTTGAGCCAAAGCATATTCCCAATTTGTGAGTTCTGATTGTAACAATTGCATTGGCAATAGACGATTTTTCATTGGCCGGTTCTTGTTCTGCAAATCACTATTTTATGTATTGTATCTCAGACAATTCCAAAAACAACACAGTCGTTCTCCAATATTAAAGACATGAATCTATTCAATTTGCCTGAAAGGGAGCGGGAGGAAAAGAACTATTTTAAAACCGTTCTCTACAATTATATGGCTATGAAATTAATTATTTAATAAACAAAAGCACATTCATGGCTTCTGTCCGCTGCTTATAGCTGTTTAAAGAGTTGTCCCAAACTTTAATATGTGTAAATACATCAGCTGTTTGTAATAAACAATAACATTTAACCTGTTCTCCAATGGAGCAGCTTAGAGGCTGCATCAAGAGCAATGTTATATTTGAGCTATTTTTAGATTTAAAATTGTGTTAAAGCCTGTCGTTCTATGTCTGCATTTTAATACTACTCTCTATAAACACATCTGCACTAGTTCCTACAGATGTGGAAAACAGAAACATCTAAAATCTGACTCTATTTGATTCCTTTTTACTTTAGTTATTAGAACAATTTGACCTTATTGATACTTATTTCCACAATAGAACTATTTTGATTATTCACTCCTGTGGACTCACCACCTGCAGGAGGATCAGTGAGGGGCTGGTGCTCTGTGTACTGGGTGCAGCTCTGACTGCCACCCCCCCGACCCAGAAATGGATCAAGGGGAAGAAAATGGATGGATGGATGGTTATTCACTAGTCTAACTATTATTACTATTGTTTATTCTGACACCTCTTCTTAGCGACCCTTCAACCTATAGCTCCTTGAATCCAATGACATTATAGCTCCAGACTATTTCATTCTATTCTATTATTATTATTATATGATCTATTATCTTAAAGAGTAGATCTGCTTGATGTTATAAGCGCTATTATTTCTCCTTTTGAATTTGCACAACACTAAATTTAGAATGACCCCCTATGGGACAAATATAGAATTTTATTTCATTTTGGCAACTCCGAAAATTACTTAATAATTTTCCCATTTTGCTTTTTTAGGCTGCCTTTTCTATTATTTATTTGTTCTTGTAAATATATGTTTTACACTTCTTTCTAATGATTTAGAAGGTTAAGGACCATGACCACCTATGACAATACAATACTCCCCTCTGTTGGTCATGGGCCAAGTATAAAACATGCATCTGTGTGTGTGTAGATTTACTGTTCCAATCATCTCCAGTTGTTCCTCCCGGATCGTCCTCAATTCATATTGTGGGCTTTGGTGCCAAAGTAGAGGCTCATTTCCTCATGATCCATACTACTGTCATCCCTGAAGCAGGGGTAGTTTATCTCTCATCTGAAAAAGAAACATTAGAACACAAAAAATGCCCACTTTCCCTGGCATTGTGCCGCCTGTCAATCAATCCAATTGGGCAAAACATAACGACATTGACAGACGGTGTGTGACATCAGGGCAGAGGCTGTAGCCAAATACAGACTTAACAAAATGTATGTTTCTAATTTTATACTCCCCTAAATGTGAGTTACAAACCAAAGTTGTCCTCCGCCCAATGACCGTTCACTGCGGTTGGACCGAAT